GGGTGAGGCCCACAGGTGCCTGGGCCTCGAGCCCCTGCCCCCCCCCCCCCCGCCAGTCCCACGGCCAGGAGCTGCCCTGGCTCTTCGCCGTGTTCGTCCGCCCCCCCTCCTCGTCCTCCTCGTCCTCCTCCTCGTCCTCCTGTCCCTTTCCTTCTCCCCCGGCCGGCCGGCCCGGCTGCGAGGCGGGCACCTGGGGCTCTGAGGCCCCTGGGCAGGTGCCAGCGGCCAGCCAGTCGGGCCGCAGTGTGGGAAGGCAGGCGGGCCCTGCAGGCCGGGCGGGGACTCCGGGCCTGGCCGCCGTCTGCGTGAGGTGTGACGAGAGCGGGGACTGCTCGGCGCCAACAGACTGAACTCTGTCTTTACTGTCTTTCAGATGGCAGCAGTGACAATGGGCTTTGGAGATCCTCTCTCACCTTTGCAATCGGTCAATAGACATGCTCACTTCTTCCGGGGCTCATGTCCTTAGTCAGGCTAGAGGGGGGCAGTGCAGCCCGCGTGCTGGGGACCTTGCTCCCCTAGCCGGCCCTGCCCGCCAGCTCAGGACAAGCGCAGCAGAGCGCCAGGCGTGGCGGGGCCAGTGGTGTGGGCGGGCACCCACCGGGACGCCCGGGGAGGCCTCCGTCTGCTGTGAGGGCCCGCCTTAAAACTAACCGGCCAGGTAACTGCAGCGGGCAGCCGGCCAGGAGGGTAGCTGCCCACGCCAGGCCACCTAGCCCAGGCCACCTGCATGCACGGCGGTGCCTGGGCCTCCAGCTCTGCCGTCCCCAGGCTGCCCTGGCTCCTGGGTTGGGTCAGGAGGAGAGGAGGGTCCTAACTCGTGGCCCCACTGGAGGGTGGACGATGGCCGGGGGCGGGGGGCGGGCACGAGTGAGTGAGAAAGGTGAGGCCTCGGGCCTGGCTGTCAGCGCGGGGTAGTGGCCGTGACCAGAGCGGGCCAGGGAAGAGGCCGTGGCCGGGCCTGGGCTGCTGTGGGCAGAGGAGTCTGGGAAGGAGACGCCCCTCCTTCCCCTGGAGGCAGGCTGAGGAGGCGGCCAGGCCCCCCGGGAGCCTCCGGTGGGGACAGGGCCCTCTCTGGGGGCCAGCCCGGGTGTGCTGCACCCCAGGAGACTGGCCGGCCCTTGAAGGCTGGGCAGCTCCAGCGCCCTCTCTGGGAAGGTCGGCCGAGCCCTGGTCTGGGGGTGTCAGGGTGTGGGCTCTCTGTCCCGGCTGTTGGGGCGTCCACGGTGACAAGACAGGTAGCCTTGACCTGTGGGCAGCTGGTGATTTGTGTCTGGACTGCCTGGTGTAAAAGGGGGTGCAGCTCCACCTGTGGGGGTCCTTGGTCTCAGCAGGTCCTTGGTCCTGAGGCCTGGTGATGGGGGGCCCCATTGGGGGATTTCTGAGTTTGGGGGAGAGAGGGCTGTATCTTTAGGGAGGGAGGCCCAGCCTGTCCTAGGCCTGCTGGCGTCTGAGGAGGAAGCTGGTTGCGGGTCACGGGGGCCTTTAACGTGGGTGCGGGAAATCTTGTTTGTGGAGGGCTTGGAGCCAGGGTTCCCTCATATTTGCCTGCCCCGGGTCTGCAGCCCCCTCCTGGAGGCCTGCTGTGTGTGGCTCTGGGGAACCCCCACTGCCTTGGAAGTGGCAGAGTTGGGGACCCTCATCCCTAAGGCACGATGGTCAGGCTGTCCGGGGGGGGGGGTCACATCTGCCCGTGCAGGACCCTGGGCCTGGCCCCTTCCCAGTGCTGGGAGCCTTGCTGCCTCTTGGGGTGCCCCTGGCCTCCTGGTGCTGCAGGAAGTGGCTGCAGAGGCCCTGTGTGGGGGCAGGGCCTCCACTGCGTCCTCTGTAGGGCGCCCCTTCTGGGCACCTACTCTCCTCCCTGGGGGTCTCTACTGGGTGGTAGCTGCCCTGTCTTCTGCTTCCCCTTCTGCTCAGCCCCAGTGGGTCCCTCCAGCTTGGATGGCTGCCCCTGCCCTCTTCCACGGCGCATTTGGCCAGGGCCCCGGGAGGACCTCGCACCCAGCCCAGGGCACCTGACCCAAGGCTGGAGGGTGGGCCGGGCAGGCCGGCACGTGCCCCTGGCTCCTGCCCCGCCGCCATTGCTGCCAGTCTGCCTGGGACCTGGGCTGGCTGCGTCTGTGACCTGCCTTCAGGCCTGGCCTGCCTTCCTGGGGGTGGGGTCCTGCTGACCCCGCCACCCTGAGTCACTGCAGGGGCCGAGCCTGCGCCGTGCTACCGTGGGGAGCCCTCCCCACAGGGAGCTGGGGAGGGGCCGGGAGAGGAGTGGGCTACCCGGCCTCTTCCCCACTCACTTACAAGCCAGTGGCTTTCTCTCCCCTCTGTCCTGCTCCAGATGGCAGCTCAGCGGCAGCGGGCGCTGGCCATCATGTGCCGGGTGTACGTGGGCTCTATCTACTACGAGCTGGGGGAGGACACCATTCGCCAGGCCTTCGCCCCCTTCGGCCCCATCAAGAGCATCGACATGTCCTGGGACTCCGTCACCATGAAGCACAAGGTGAGGCTGGTCCTCCTGCCCTGCCCTGCCCCCACGCGGGCTCTCCCAACTTAATGTGGGTGCCTCGTCCAGGGCTTTGCCTTTGTGGAGTACGAGGTCCCTGAAGCCGCACAGCTGGCCCTGGAGCAGATGAACTCGGTGATGCTGGGTGGCCGGAATATCAAGGTGAGGCCCGGGCGGCGCGCTCCGCTTGTCACAGTCAGCGGCCTCCACGGGACCAAAGCTTACCGGGGCTCCTGGTGTCTGCCCCCAGGTGGGCAGGCCCAGCAACATCGGGCAGGCCCAGCCCATCATCGACCAGCTGGCAGAGGAGGCACGTGCCTTCAACCGCATCTACGTGGCCTCGGTGCACCAGGACCTCTCGGACGACGACATCAAGAGTGTGTTCGAGGCCTTTGGCAAGATCAAATCCTGCACGCTGGCCCGGGACCCCACAACTGGCAAACACAAGGGCTATGGCTTCATTGGTGAGCCTGGGGGCCGGGGCGGGACTGGCCCTCGCACCGCTCCGGGACGGGCAGGGCCGGTCCTCACCACCGCACCCCACCCCCACCCTGCAGAGTATGAGAAGGCCCAGTCGTCCCAGGATGCCGTGTCTTCCATGAACCTCTTTGATCTGGGGGGCCAGTACTTGCGGGTGGGCAAGGCCGTCACCCCCCCTATGCCCCTGCTTACACCTGCCACGCCTGGAGGCCTCCCACCTGCGGCTGCAGTTGCTGCGGCTGCCGCCACGGCCAAGATCACAGCTCAGGTGAGGCCCGGGCAGTTCGACTGTGGGCAGCACAACACAATCCTCTGGGGCTGCTGCCTTGGGTGGGCCTGTGAGAGGCAGCCAGAGCGGAGCTGAGCACGACGGCCTTTTGGATTTCAGGAAGCAGTGGCTGGAGCAGCGGTACTGGGCACCCTGGCCACGCCTGGACTGGTATCCCCTGCACTGACCCTGGCCCAGCCCCTGGGGGCTCTGCCCCAGGCTGTCATGGCAGCCCAGGCCCCGGGAGTCATCACAGGTGAGGTGACAGGTCAGGGCTTTCCTCTGCCCCTTGCCCATCTCTTGGCCTGCACGTGCCGGGGTCACCTCTGTGGGACGTGCTTCCCTGTGGGACATCACCTCTGTGGGACATCGATGATGACCTGGAGGGGGAGGTGACAGAGGAGTGTGGCAAGTTTGGGGCCGTCAACCGCATGATCATCTACCAGGAGAAGCAGGGCTCCTGGGGTGGGGCGAGGTGGGTGTGACCCCTGGACCTGTTGGATTTGCTGCAGGTGTGACCCCCGCCCGGCCTCCCATTCCGGTCACCATTCCCTCTGTGGGGGTGGTGAACCCCATCCTGGCCAGTCCTCCCACGCTGGGTCTCCTGGAGCCCAAGAAGGAGAAGGAGGAGGAGGAGCTGTTTCCGGAGTCGGAGAGGCCAGAGATGCTGAGCGAGCAGGAGCACATGAGCATCTCGGGCAGCAGCGCCCGCCACATGGTCATGCAGAAGCTGCTCCGCAAGCAGGAGGTGGGCGCCGGGCCGGGTGGGGGCGGCTGGGAGCGCGGGGCAGTGGCTGCAGCTCTCGGCTCTCCCCACAGTCCACCGTGATGGTTCTGCGAAACATGGTGGACCCCAAGGACATCGATGATGACCTGGAGGGGGAGGTGACAGAGGAGTGTGGCAAGTTTGGGGCCGTCAACCGCGTGATCATCTACCAGGAGAAGCAGGGCGAGGAGGAGGACGCGGAGATCATCGTCAAGATTTTCGTGGAGTTTTCCGTCGCCTCAGAGACTCACAAGGCCATCCAGGCCCTCAACGGGCGCTGGTTTGCCGGCCGCAAGGTGGTGGCCGAGGTGTACGACCAGGAGCGCTTCGATAACAGTGACCTCTCCGCGTGACCGCGCGGCCCCTGGACCTGGACCTGCTCCCTGTCCCTGCGGGTGTTGAGAGTCCTGGGTGGTGTCTGGGGCCTGCGCCCCGCGCGCGGATAAAGGTGCAGATGCTGCTGGCCCTGAGCGTCCCCCTGGACCGTAGTCCTGTGTTTATTGGGCAGGGGCCCCGGCCTCTCCCCGGGGCGGGGCGGGGCGGGGCGGGGCGGGGCGGACCGGGCTCCTGCGGGCGCGCGGGAGGCGGCTGGCGGCGCGGGCGGGGCCGCCGGGGTGGTGCCGCCGCTCGCGGACTTCAGCTCCCGGCCTGCCTCGCGCTCGGGGACGGAGCGCTTCCCGGCAGGCTGTGCGCGGGCCGCTACGGGTGCTCGGAGGCGCCGGCGCGCGGGGCCTTCTGGGCATCGCAGTTCCCGGGGCGAGGGCGGGCCTCCCTTCCCGGCGGGCTGCGCGGCGGCCGGCGGGTGGCGGCGGGTGGCGGCGGCGGCGGGTCCGGCGGCGGCGGGCGAGCGGACGGGACCGGACGAGCCGAAGCGGGCGGGCGGGCGGGATGCGGGGCCGCCCCCGGAGCGCGTGAGCGCCGCGGCCGCGCCCCCCGCCAGGCCGGCGGCCGAGCCCCTCCCCGCGGGCCCATGCGGGGCGCCGCCCGCGCGCACCATGCTCAGGTGCATCCCGCTGTGGCGCTGCAACCGGCACGTGGAGGCGGTGGACCGGCGGCACTGCTCGCTGCAGGCCGTGCCCGAGGAGATCTACCGCTACAGCCGCAGCCTGGAGGAGCTGCTGCTCGACGCCAACCAGCTGCGCGAGCTGCCCAAGGTGCGGCCGCCGCGGGGCGCGGGCGGGCGGGGCGGGCGGGGCGGGCGGGCGGCGGCGGCGGCGGGAGCCCCTCGCGGCCCCCCCCCCCCGCGCGCGGCGGAGCCCGGGGGGGGCGCGGCCCCGGCCGAGGCCCGGCCTGACCCGCCCGCCCGCCCGCCCGCCCGCAGCCCTTCTTCCGGCTGCTGAACCTGCGCAAGCTGGGCCTGAGCGACAACGAGATCCAGCGCCTGCCGCCCGAGGTGGCCAACTTCATGCAGCTGGTGGAGCTGGACGTGTCCCGCAACGGTGCGCGGGGTCCGCGGGCGGGGGCGCGGCGGGAGGCCGCGCGGCCTGACTCCCCTCCCCCCGCAGACATCCCCGAGATCCCCGAGAGCATCAAGTTCTGCAAGGCCCTGGAGATCGCGGACTTCAGCGGGAACCCCTTGTCCAGGTGGGTGGCCCCCGGGGCGGGCCGGGGCGGGCGGCGCGTTCCCCCGCGGGCGTCTGAGCGCCCCTCCGCGCAGGCTCCCGGAGGGCTTCACCCAGCTGCGCAGCCTGGCCCACCTGGCCCTGAACGACGTGTCGCTGCAGGCGCTGCCCGGGGACGTGGGCAGGTGCGTGCAGGGGGCTGGGGGTGGCCGCCCCATCCTGCCCTCCCCAGGCCCCGCTCGCCCTCACCCGGCTTCTCCCTCAGCCTCGCCAACCTCGTGACCCTGGAGCTGCGAGAGAACCTGCTCAAGGCCTTGCCTGCGTGAGTGCCCCCCGCCCCCATCTTCCCCCTGCGGCTGCCGGCGGCCTGGCGGCCGGGCCCACAGCCACGCGCCCCTGCTGCCTCCCGCAGGTCCTTGTCCTTCCTGGTCAAGTTGGAGCAGTTGGATTTGGGCGGCAACGACTTGGAAGTGCTGGTGCGTGGGGGCGGGGCCGGGCAGGGCGGGCAGGGCGGGCAGGGTGGGCACTCCTCTCACACTCTCTCTCTACAGCCTGACACCTTGGGGGCCTTGCCTAACTTGCGCGAGCTGTGGCTGGACCGGAACCAGCTGTCCACGCTGCCCCCGGTGAGTGAGGGCGCGGCTGCCCTGGTCTCCTGTCGGGCTGCTCCCTGACCCGTGTCCTCTCAGGAGCTCGGGAACCTGCGGCGCCTGGTGTGCCTGGATGTGTCCGAGAACCGGCTGGAAGAGCTGCCCGCCGAGCTGGGCGGCCTGGTGCTGCTCACGGACCTCTTGCTGTCCCAGAACCAGCTGCAGCGGCTCCCCGACGGCATCGGTGGGTCAGCGAGGGCTGAGCAGCACGGGACCAGATGAGGGGCTGGGCTGCGCCTGCCCGGCACCAGATCTGAGCTCCCAGGCTGGGGGGCCAGGCTGCCTTCTCTCGGGGACGGGAAGCTGCAAGGGTACCCAGGGGGGCGCGGGTCAGGTGGATTGAGAGATGGCAGGTGGCTTTACGCGGGGCTTGGGGATAGGCCATGGGGTTGGGGGGGTGCCTGGAATTCATGTTTGTGGACTCGGGAGCTGTTACCATTTTTCCAGTCTCGTGTTTCTGTACATTCGCCACCAGGTCAGCTGAAGCAGCTGTCCATTCTCAAGGTGGACCAGAACCGCTTGTGCGAGGTGACGGAGGCCATCGGGGGCTGCGAGAACCTGTCTGAGCTGGTCCTCACGGAGAACCTGCTGACGGTGGGGCCCACCCTGGGCACAGGACAGGCCTCCGGGGACCTGGGTGGGGGTGCAGTGCTCGGCGAGGGCCCTGGAAGACCCCGTCAACTGGCCCTTCCCCACAGGCCCTGCCCCACTCCTTGGGGAAGCTGACCAAGCTGACCAACCTCAACGTGGACCGGAACCGCTTGGAGCTGCTGCCCCCTGAGATCGGGGGCTGCGTGTCCCTCAGCGTGTTGTCTCTGAGGGACAACCGCCTGGCTCTGCTACCCCCCGAGCTCGCCCACACGGCGGAGCTGCATGTGTTGGACGTGGCTGGGAACCGGTGAGCACCATCCCCCCATCCCCCCAACCCCACTCCCGCACGGAGCCGCAGGACACACGCCTGACGCACGGTGCCCGCAGGCTGCGCAGCCTGCCTCTGGCGCTCACCCACCTCAACCTGAAGGCCCTGTGGCTGGCCGAGAACCAGGCTCAGCCCATGCTGCGCTTCCAGACAGAGGATGACGCCCAGACCGGGGAGAAGGTGCTCACCTGCTATTTGCTGCCCCAGCAGCCAGCGCCTGACCTCGGTAGGTGTGGGCACCCGGGGGGTCTGGCCCTGGCGTGGGCTGCACTGATGCTCACCTCTTACAGACGCGCCCGGGCCAAGGAGCAGCCCTTCGGGGAGCTGGAGTGACACCTTGCCTGGTCGTGTCAGCGTCATCCAGTTTTTGGAGGCGCCCCTGGGCGACGAGGATGCCGAGGAGGCGGCGGCCGAAAAGCCGGTATGGGGGGGTGGGGTCCCCCGCCAGCCGCCCGCCCGCCCGCCTGCCTGCCTTACTGTCCCCACCTGACGCGGGTCTGTCTCCCTCACTCTGGGCCCACGGCAGGGGCTGCAGCGCCGTGCCACACCCCACCCCAGCGAGCTCAGGGTGATGAAGAGGGGTGTCGAGGAGCGCCGGGGCGAGGCTCACGCCCAGCAGCAGGACCCCAGGCCACCCTCACCCTCGGAAGAGGTGCTTACGGGCATGCAGGGGGTGGGGGCACCCCAACTGGCTGCATTTTGCCTATGGCTGGGGGGTCTTTTTCGGGCCCCAAGAACTGTGTGGGGCGGGAGCTCAGGAGGACCGGCCCAGGGCGGTGGTCCCGCCTCTGCCGCTTGGGGTGTCACCAGCCGTGCGAGGGGCCAGTCCTAGGGCCAGGCAGACCGCACTCTGTCTGTGAGGTTCTGGTCATTGCTCGGCCACGCGGCTTCTGCTTTCTTGGGGGTGTCCTGGTCCTGTCGCGGCGTTGCTGGGGGTGACTGCAGGGGCAGCACGTCACCAGGGACGCCGGCCGGGGCAGCCGAGAGCTGTCGGAACCATCCTGAGCCACGGGTGCTGTTTCTGGGCCTCACCCACCCGCGCTCGCCCGGCTCCGCAGGAGAGGAGGCTGAGCACCTCGTCGGGCCTGAGCGGAGACTCGCACCCCTCTGCCGGCACCTCCTCCCAGGGGGATGCCGAGGCTGCGCCCGCCGAGGCAGAATCCGACCCACGGGGAACCCCGCCCGCCAGTCTGGAGGAGGTGGCCGAGGAGGCTTACGAGGAGGTGAGGCCCAGGCTGGGGCCGGCCAGTGCCACCGGAGCCAGCGGAGCCGAGCCCCGCCTGCCGCTCTGGCCTGGGGCGGCCCCTCCTCGGCCCTCAGGGCGGCCCCGTCTCTGCTTTCCCCGCAGCCCACAGTGCGCTTTGCTGAGGACGCCCTGCTGCCCAGGGAGGATGGCGAGCGGGAGGAAGGGCAGCCTGAGGCGTCCTGGGCTCTGCCGAGCGGGCGGCAGCGCCTCATCCGCAAGGACACGCCGCACTACAAGAAGCACTTCAAGGTGTCCAAGCTACCCCAGCCCGAGGCCGTGGCGGCCCTGCTGCAGGGGGTGCAGCCCGGCGGGGGGGGCCTGGCAGGGCCCGGCAGCTGGCACAACGGCCCCCACGCGCCCTGGGCCCCGCGGGCCGAGGAGGACGAGGACGAGGACGAGGACGAAGCTCGGGAGGCAGCGGCGGGCGAGGAGGAGGAGGAGCCCGCGGCCTCCGCGCCCTCCGTCAAGGTGGGTCTCGGCCCTGGGGCCTGCCGTTCTGGCCGCAGGTGGCCCCTGGGGCTGCTGACCGGATGAACGGGCCTTGTGGCCCCCCCAGGGGCCCGGTCACTCCCTTCTCTCTGACTTACGTCTCGGGCCCACCTGAGGGCAGGGCCACGGGGGCCGTGGGCACTGGGTGCCCCCAGGCCGTGTCCACGTGGAGCCGCGGGCCTGGCCCTCGCCCGGCGCGGTGGGGGTGGCCTGGCGCTGCGGAGCTTGGTGTGGTCTCCCACTGTTCTCTCGCGCCTGGGGCCTGGCGGCTCACTGCATGCTCGCTGCTCCCGTCCCGACAGGGGGTGTCGTTTGACCAGGCCAATAACCTGCTGATAGAGCCCGCTCGCGTGGAGGAGGAAGAGGTCTGTACTGTCGCTCTCTGCTGGCCGCCCCGCCCGCGCCGCCTCCCGCTGCCGCCCGCGCTCCCCCCGCTCCTGCTCCTGCTTTTCCTGCTCCTGCTCTCCCTGCTCCCGCTCCTGCTTAGGTCTCCTCCGCACCCGCCGCCTGCTGCAGAGCTAGGCTGGGCCGACACGTCCCCACGCGGCCCTGAGGCCTGCCGACACCACCAGACAGGGACGGCGCTGCCGCCGGGCAGCCCTACCCCGGGATTGGAGGCCGAGGGCCGAGCCGAGGCCCTTGTCCCCGAGGCATGGACCTTACGGACCCAGCTGCTCGGTGCCCTGGGCTTCGCTCTGCCGCACCTGGACAGGCTGCGACAGAGGCGGCCACTGAGAGGGCTAGCCCCTGCCCCTTGCTGTGCCCCCGGGAGGCCTCGCGCAGCCCGGGCCCTCGCACATCCCACATCCGTTCTGTTCCAGCTGACGCTGACCATCCTGCGGCAGACCGGAGGCTTGGGCATCAGCATCGCGGGTGGCAAAGGTTCCACTCCCTATAAGGGGGATGACGAGGTGAGCAGCTACCCGTCAGGCTGGGGCTCCCCTGAACCCACAGCTCCCCTGGCCCCGCGGTGGGCACTCAGAGCTCTCGCCGCTCCCTAGGGCATCTTCATCTCCCGCGTGTCCGAGGAGGGCCCGGCTGCCCGGGCTGGGGTGCGCGTGGGCGATAAGCTCCTGGAGGTGAGCCTGGCCTGGGCCTGTCAGAGCAGCAGCTGCGCCCCGGTCCGCAGGAGGCGGGAGGCACGGGGCGCCCAGGGCACAGGCTTCTCGGGGAGGGGAGAGTGAGGCTCGGGTGCTGGTGGGTGCCCCCCGGGGCCCTGGCAGGGCGGGGCCTGCTCTGGGGAGCGGGGGTCCCGGAGGGGACAGGCCTGAAGCCCCCACCCACAGGTGAACGGCGTGGCCCTGCACACGGCCGAGCACCACCAGGCCGTGGAGGCGCTGCGGGGCGCCGGGGCCTCCGTGCAGATGCGGCTGTGGCGGGAGCGCATGGTGGAGCCCGAGAACGCCGTCACCGTCACACCGCTGCGGCCAGGGGACGACTACAGCCCCCGGGAGAGGCGGGCAGGCGCCCTGCGCCTGCCCCTGCTGCCCCCCGAGGCCCCAGGCCCAGGGCCCCTGCGCCAGCGCCATGTGGCCTGCCTGGCGCGCAGCGACAAGGGGCTGGGCTTCAGCATCGCCGGCGGGAGAGGCTCCACGCCCTACCGGGCCGGCCACGGGGTGAGGCGGCGGGCGCAGGGGGTGTGGGGTCGTGGGGGGCGGCTGGTGCTGACCGCTCCTGCCTCTAGGGCATCTTCATCTCCCGCATCGCGGAGGGCGGCGCTGCCCAGCGGGCCGGCACCCTGCAGGTCGGAGACCGCGTCCTCTCGGTGAGCACCCTCCCGTCGTGCTCCTCTGCCTTGCTGGCCCGCGGGCCCCTGACCGCCTCTCCTCTCGCAGATCAACGGGGTGGACATGACCGAGGCCCGGCACGACCACGCCGTCTCCCTGCTGACCGCTGCCTCCCCCACCATTGCCTTGCTCCTGGAGCGGGAGACTGGGGGCACCCTGCCCCCCAGCCCCCCACCAGACTCGCCCTCATCGCCATCTGCTGCCACCACCTTCGTGGTTCCTGCCACCCTTGGGGACCCCGGGCCGCTGCGGCTAACCCCCAGCCTGCTGGCCGCTGCTTTGGAGGGGCCATACCCCGTGGAGGTGAGGTCCCGGTGCTCGTGTTGGTCCCCGGGGAGCGGGCACCCCAGCCCCCGGCCCTGGACACCAGTGTCGCATCCTGTGCGGTCACCTGTACCTGAGTCCTCCCGCCACAGCCGCCGGGCTAGGCCCCACCCGGGCCCTGACCGACACCCCCTGTGCTCCTCACATGCAGGAGATCTGCCTGCCCAGGGCTGGGGGCCCACTGGGGCTCAGCGTGGTCGGGGGCTCCGATCACTCCAGCCACCCATTCGGCATCCAGGAGCCCGGCGTGTTCATCTCCAAGGTAGGGCGGCCCCGGGCTGGGGGATCCCGGGCGAGGGTCTGCGGCCCCAGCCACCACACGCTCCCTTGTTGACAGGTGCTGCCGCGAGGCCTGGCTGCACGCGGTGGCCTGAGGGTCGGGGACCGCATCCTGGCGGTGAACGGGCAGGACGTGCGCGAGGCCACGCACCAGGACGCGGTCAGCGCCCTGCTCCGGCCCTGTTCGGAGCTGGTGCTGCTGGTGCGGCGGGACCCGCCCCCGCCCGGCCTGCGGGAGCTCTGCATCCAGAAGGCCCCTGGGGAGAAGCTGGGCATCAGTGTGCGAGGGGGCGCCAGGGGCCACGCGGGGAATCCCTGTGACCCCACGGATGAGGGCATCTTCATCTCCAAGGTAGGCCTGCCCCGCCCGCCCGCCTGCCGGCCCGGCCCTGGTGTCCGGCAGCCCCTGTGAGGACGGTTTCCCACAGGTGAGCCCCACGGGGGCCGCTGGGCGCGACGGCCGCCTGCAGGTGGGGTTGCGGCTGCTGGAGGTGAACCAGCAGAGCCTGTTAGGCCTGACGCACGGGGAGGCGGTGCAGCTGCTGCGGAGCGCAGGCGACACCCTGACCGTGCTGGTCTGCGAGGGCTTCGAGGCCCCCCCGGAGGTCAGTGCTCCCCGGCCTGTGCCTGCCGGTGCAGGTTCTGATCTGGGAGGGGGCGAGGGACCTCCAGACGGGCAGCGCCCCAACGCCATGGCCCTCAGGCCTGGGCAGGTGAACACGCCTGAGGTGGGCGCGGTGCCTCCACCTGACGTGCCACCAGACAGCAGCTCAGGCTGACCCAGCAGGAGCCAAGACTGGGGGGCAGCTACTCTCTCAGGCCAGCATTGTCTCTTGGACGGGCCCCCTGGGTCTTGCTGTCCTTTCTGCTTTCATATGCCCCGGGGTTCCTGGGCTGATGTGGCCACCCCACGCTTCCCGCGCTGACACCTGCCCCCATGGTGGGCGCGTTTCCTCTGTCACGGAGGAGCGGCCGAGCAGGGTGGAGGTGCCCCAGCTCTGGCGCCGGGGGCTGCAGGAGGCACCTTGGGGAGTTGGCCAGCCCTGCGTGGCTGGACGGTAGTTCGCCGCGGAGAGCAAGAGTTGCTGCCCCCAGGGGGCAGGTTGGGGGTGCCGTCTTCCCTGGTACCTTTGGCACCCACGCTGCCTCGCTCTGCTCGCACCATGGTGTCCTCGGCAGTGAGGCATTGGGGTCACGGCGAGTGGAGCTTGTGCAAATCTGCCGCCTTTTCCCTCACAGCTTGCGGGATGTGGCTCTTGCCGAGGAGAGCTTGCCCCGTTGGGAGCTCATTGAGACGGTGTGTGTAGCATCTTACAGCCCCTGGAAGCGCAGCTGGGCCCGGTCTCTCCTCTGAGGGGGTGGCTAGTGCCCCACGGGCCCCACGCCACGGGAGCTGTGCCCTGTGCTGTGCCGCGGCCTGCACTTCTGGAGGGCTCCCACTGGCACCGCCCTTCGCTCCATGTCCTGTCATCCGCTGGACAGGTCACTCGCTCCCCTTGTGGAGCCTGGGGCCATGCAGACCTGCAGTGTCCACATAGGGCCTGAGGTCGTGGTGCTGCCAGGATAGGGCTCGCGGGCACAGCCGGGTGCTTCGAGAGGCTAGTTAAGGTGGCTGGACATGCACCCCATTTCCCATGGGTCCAGAGCATCCGTGGGGCCTGGGGGCCCCGTCCTCGGCGCTTCTGCCTGCAGCGGGTCAGCGTCCTCTGGCGCCGGAGCCCTCCACGTATACACGTCCCCGTCTTGCCTGCTTCCGAGGGCTGCGGCCCCACCTGTCCCAAGCACGCAAGCGCCCGCCCGCCCCACGCTGTAGCCCAGCCGGGCAGCGGGCACCCTCCTGCCGCTCCGGCCGAGCTGCCCTTGTTCTCTTCTGAGAGACACAAGCAGAAGCGTGAGATGATCTTGAAACTCGGAGGCCGTGCCGGGCGCCCTGGGCAGAGCAGCAGCCCGCTGCGGGGGTTGTGGCTGCTGGCGTAGGTTGCTGTGGCCAGGCCCGTCCATCGGTGACGCCATGTCCAGGGCCGCCAGGTCGGTCTCCTGGGGTAGAGCGGCCACTCCCCACGAGGGCTCCGGGCCCGCTCCGGCTCCGCTGTGGGGGGCGACAGCTGGCCGCCTTCCCTGCTGTGTTCGAAGCTCAAGCTGCCCGGGGCTGCGGCTCCCCTCGCGCACGAGCTCCTCTGGCCTGAGCGTCCTCCCGGGGGGGGGCCTGCCCGGCCCGCGGCCCTGCTGCTGGGGAGACCTGGGACCGGCTGCCGCGCTCAGCTGTCTCCCAGGCCCTGTTCCTGCCCGGCAGGCCTTCTCTGACCGCTCTCTGCCGGCTCTGCACAGCCGTTGTCGTCACTGCCCCCGGGGTCTCAAGCGCAAGTGTGTCCAGCGCCCACGGCCCGGCCCACCCCCGCTTGCGCAGTCGGCACCCAGCGCCCCAGAGGGCGGGGCACGGCCGGCCTCTCCCAGGCCAGCCACCGCTGCTGCTCGCCCGCCCCCCCCGAGCCAGGCGTGGCCTCTGGCGCTTCTGGCCCAGTCTCCAGCCCAACCCAGGGGTGGAGCCGAACGCCAGCCCTGTCTGCCCCGCAGGTGTCGCCGGGCGTCATCGCCAACCCCTTCGCGGCCGGTGCCGGCCGCAGGAACAGCTTGGACAGCATCTCCTCCGTCGACCGGGAGATGAGTCCCGAGGGCCTGGGCAAGGTGAGAGCCACGAGGCGGGCAGCCCCGGGCCGGGCAGCCCAAGGTTGGCCCCCGTTGACCGGTGCCACTCTGCTCCCAGGAGAAGGAGCTGCCTGGATCCTCCCTGCCGACCCCGCCATGGGGGCCGGAGGCCCCGGTGAGTGGCAGGGCCCACCACGGGGTCCCAGGGGGCCCGCCTGCCAGAGGCGTGGGTGGGGGTGTCCGCGTCGGGGCGTGGATGCAGAACCAGAGCGGGAAGCCCCGGAGGAGCCCAGTGTCCACCGCCAGGATGGAGGGCGCCGTGGGCAGCTGGCGGGAAGGTGGCTGGTCTGCTGGGCAGTGCCAGCAGAGGGCCCTACCTGGATGCCAGAGCCCCACCCCGCCGCCGCGTCCCTGCTCTCCGCTTTGTCCCGCATTCGTCTGGGTCTGCCTACCTGTCCCACCTCTGCCATGAAGCTCCCCGCTCCCCCGCGGCAGTCCCTTGTCCTGGACAGATGGCCGCTCACCCCGGGCCTCCCACCTGCTCCCCACCTTGGGGGACAGGGAGAGCTGCTGACGGCAGGCCGAGGACAAGCCCCTGGTGCTGGTTGAGGGCGCCTCCGGGCCTGTCTGGGGACAACTGGGCTGTGACCAGGGGGCCAACTGTTCTCGGGCCCCGCGGCTGCCCCTCATCCACCGCTGCTCCTGCAGGCCCCGCCTGGGACGCCTGGAGCGACGCTGGCCAGAGCCTCCTGCTCGCCCGGCCAGCAGCAGGTGAGCACCCACAAGATGGTGTGGACAGTGCCGCCCCCCCGCCCCGTGACCTGGGACCCGGGGCACCACCATGGAGCCTGTGACGGCTCACCCTGCCCTTGGGTGTGTGGGGTCCTCGGGGCCAGTTGCCTACCCCTCCCCGCTGCGGAGTGGGGTTCTGCTGCCGAGGCCAGGCCTGGGCCCACTGTCCGGGTGGGCAGCAGCTGACCCCCGGGTTCTAGCACACTCTGTCTCTCCCTCACCCTCTCACCCTTGCGCCTGGACCCGGTCCCCTCCCGGTCTCCCGCCCCTGTCCTCTGCAGACAAAACCGGGGGTGATCCAGCCGCTGGCTCAGGCCTGGCCTAGGGGCCCCCCGGCCCCCGGGGGCAGAGGTGACCCCCGCACTGTGAGTGCCCCGCCCGCGGGAGTGGGGTGTGGGAGGAGCAGCGGAGCAGCTGCCGCCGCGGGTGGTGACGGCCGCGGGGCAGCTGTCCAGCACGGCTCCCTGTGCCGCCCTAGCCCCCCTCCCCGCCCTCCCCCGACGCGCTGCCCACCAACGTGAAGCAGGCCTACCGCACCTTCGCCGCTGTGCCCGGCCCGGCCCTGCCCCTGCCCCAGGATGGACCCGCGCAGGTAGGTGCCGCCCGCACCCCCGCTCCCCCTGCCCCGCCGGCCCAGAGGGGCCTGGGGCGTTGTCTCAGGGCCCGCTCCCCCCAGACCGCCCTGCCCGGGCCCGCCGCCCCCCCGGAGCAGCTGTCCTTCCGCGAGCGGCAGAAGTACTTCGAGCTGGAGGTCCGGCTTCCCCAGGCCGAGGGCCCCCCCAAGCGCGTGTCCCTGGTGGGTGCTGATGACTTGCGGAAGATGCAGGAGGAGGAAGGTAGGCGGGGGCGGGGGGCAGCTGGGGTCAGAGGGCCGGGGCCGCGCGGTCCTGGGCTGACCCGCCCGCCCCCCCCAGCCCGGAAGCTGCAGCAGAAGCGGGCGCAGCTGCTGAGCGAGGCGGCGGCCGAGGCGGGGCCCCCCCTCCGCGCGGTGGGGCCCCACGACGAGGAGGAGCCCGAGGAGGAGCTGCCCTGGGCCGGGTCGGGCCCCGCCTCTGGGTGAGAGCCCCCGCCTTCCCTGGCCGTCCTCCGCCCGCCCGCCCCAGCCCTTCGAGCCCCCACGCCCTGTCCCTTGTCCAGGCCCGGTCCGGTGTCCTCGCCACCCCCGGGGGGCAGCGCCCCGGTGCGGACGGCCAAGGCGGAGCGGCGCCACCAGGAGCGGCTGCGTGTCCAGAGCCCGGAGCTGCCGGCGCCCGAGCGGGCTCTGTCTCCGGCCGAGCGCCGCGCGCTAGAGGCCGAGAAGCGGGCGCTGTGGCGGGCAGCCAGGTATGGCCGGTGGGCGCGGGGGGGGGGGCACGGGCGGGTGGGCAGCAGGTGCTGGCGGCCCTGCCCACCCGCCCTCCACGGCCCCGCAGGATGAAGTCCCTGGAGCAGGACGCCCTCCGCGCCCAGATGGTGCTGAGCAAGTCCCAGGAGGGCCGCAGCAAGCGTGGGCCCCTGGAGCGGCTGCCCGAGGCCCCCTCGCCTGCGCCCACCCCGTCGCCCACCCCCCTGGAAGGTCCGTGGGACCCCGGCAGGGGGAGGGCTCAGCCAGCGAGGTGGGGGTCTCGGCCAACGGCACTTTTCGCCCCCCCAGACCTCGGCCCCCAGACCAGCACCTCCCGGGACGCCTGGTGAGGAGCCAGTGCAGCTGCCTGCCCCCCCAGCCCTGCGCGCCCCGGCTGGGGCTCGGGCCCCCCACCCGCTCACTCTCTGCCTTCTCCCCTCACGCTGCGAGGCCCCGCCCGGGAGGAAGCGCGCCTACCGGCTGCTGGCCGCCCTCCCCTCCTCCAGGCCCGTCTGTGGCGTGCAGGTACCGGCGCCCACCCGGCGCCGCGCCTGGCCCTCCGGTGCCTTCCCCGCCTGTCAAGTGCTGATGCTGGGGCATGGGGCACCCCCCACTTTCTGACTGGGCTCTGGGCGGCTCGGGGGAGTTCTGGGCGCCACCCCACGCCCTCCTTCTCCCCGTTTCAGTCCCCGGACTTTGTGGAAGAGCTGAGGTCCCTGGATCCGTCCCCCAGCCCTGGTGAGTCGGTGGGTCAGGGCCGGCGGGCTGCGGGCGCCTGCCCCTCAGCTCACTGCCCCCGCCCACAGGTCCACAGGAGGAGGACGGAGAGGTGGCCATGGTGCTTCTGGGCCGGCCGTCACCAGCTGCGAGGCCCGAGGAGGTGGCGCTGTGCAGCAGCCGCCGCCCCGTGCGCCCCGGCCGCCGCGGCCTGGGCCCCGTGCCCTCCTAGAGGAGCAGCTGTCCGCCCCCCCCCCCCGCCCCCCCCGCCCCCGCGCGCGTCTTCTAGCCTGAGGTTAGCGTTTCCAAGAGACCCCTCCAGAGTCCCGGCCACCCACTAACTGCCCCCCAGACGGACCTCTTGGCAAGACTGTAACTAGTGACGTTTGTACAACCAAAGACTCTATTTTGTGGTTTAAGGAAATAAAATTGATTACGTTTTAACTCGGGCGGTCAGTCTGTCCACCCTGCTCCTGCGGGGCTGGGGCCAGTGGGCGCCCCCAGCCCCCAGGGCCCATGCCCGGCGGCGGCTGCACATACACGGGGAGCAGGCGCCGCAGCTGCTCGTCCGGAGGCCGCGAGGCGCGGGTGACGAAGATGAGCCGGAAGCGGTGCAGCCGCGCCTCCTGGAACCCGGCGGGGTCATACTCGGGCCCGTCGTGGGGCCGCCACAGCGCCTGGTACCGGCCGTGCGCCAGCAGCGCGCCGCTCAGCAGCTCCTGCGCCAGCCCAGGCTGCACCTGCTCCAGCTGCCGCTGCACCACCGCAAACAGGTCCGCCTCGCGCAGGTCGAACACCAGCGGCTTCCCGTACCTGCGCGGGCGGCGGGGGCGAGGGTGGGCTCGTGGGGCGGGGCGGGCGGCGCTCCCTTGGCACCTAGCGGCCTCACCTGAGCGCCCCCAGCAGCGCCAGCCGAATCCGCTCTGGGCGCAGGTGGTCTGGGTCCATCGTGTCCACGTAGTTGGTGTCCCGGTAGCGCAAGAAGGCGGCCGCCTGGCCCGAAGGGTCGATGACAAGGGGCCATCTGGTGGCGGCCACCAGGTCACCGTCTCGGCGGCAGCCTGGCTCTTCCCACGCCCACCCCGCCAGCCCTGCCCACTGACCGGCCGTCGGCGTGGATGCGGCCGCCCACGTCCTCCATCAGCACGTCGTGCAGCTCGGCGACCTGGCAGCGGAGCCCCGGCTCCTCCTCTGCGGGCCATGGGCCATCAGAGCGTGTGGCTCCGCCCCAGCCCGCCCGCCCGCCCTGCCCGCTGCACCCACCCTCTGGGTCCTGGGTCTGTTCCCGCAGCTCCAGCCGGGCCATCGCCAGCATTTCCTCCGCCCTCCGGGCCTCCTGCCGCAGCCTGTCCACTTGGGCCTCCGCGTCCTTGATGGCCTGGAGGAGGGGCCCCCACTCCCCTCAGCACCTCGCCAGAGCTTTACCCCACGTCCTGCCCAGTCCCAGAAAGGTGATACCCCCAGTTTGGGAGGGGAGGGTACCCCTTGGATGCCCACCTGGAGCATCAGCTCAGCCTTGCCCATGCTCCTCTGCTGACACTTGTTGTGCTCGGCCACCCTCCGGCTCAGCTCACAGCAGGCCTGCTGCAGCTGGGGGGGACAGGCCTGCTGCAGCTGGGGGGGACAGGCCTGCTGCAGCTGGGGGGACAGGCCTGCTGCAGCTGGGGGGACAGGCCTGCTGCAGCTGGGGGGGACAGGCCTGCTGCAGCTGGGGGGGGACAGGCGTGCTGCAGCTGGGGGGAACAGGCCTGCTGCAGCTGGGGGGACAGGCCTGCTGCAGCTGGGGGGGACAGGCGTGCTGCAGCTGGCGGGGGACAGGCCTGCTGCAGCTGGGGGGACAGGCCTGCTGCAGCTGGGGGGGACAGGCCTGCTGCAGCTGGGGGGGACAGGCGTGCTGCAGCTGGGGGAAACAGGCCTGCTGCAGCTGGGGGGACAGGCCTGCTGCAGCTGGGGGGGACAGGCGTGCTGCAGCTGGCGGGGGACAGGCCTGCTGCAGCTGGGGAGGTGATCCCCAGGCCAGGGCTTCTTCCCCTCTCACTCCCCCACCCACCGCACCCCCACCTGCAGAGGCTGGCACCCACCTCTTTGTGGCACTGCTGCTGCCCCTTCACCAGCCGTTGTACTTTGAGGTTCAAGCTGGGAGGGCGGGAAGGTGCTCAGTCAGAGGGGCTTCGCCACCCACCACCCCTACCCCTGGCCTCACCTCTTGGCCTCCGCCTCCTGGTTCTGCTCGGCCTCCCGGGCCTGGCGCTGCCGCTCGGCCTCCATGTTCTGGAGCATGGTGTCCGTGAGGCTCAGGTCCCACGACTGTAGCACGCTGACCACGGCATCCAGTGAAGCCACCTAGTGACAGGGAGTGGTCAGGCATGGTGGGTGTGGCCTGTGGGGTGTCACAGCTCGTCCCAGAGGGGCCGGAGGGTGTGCCAAGGTGGAGAGACTCGCAGCCACCGGTGCTTCCCTCCTGCTGTCTCCCGCTGACTTCAGTAGGACGCGGGGGCACTCCTGCCCCGCCCTCCCCCTGCTGCCGCCTCTCGGGGGGCAATAATGGGGTGCAGGCTGCCAGGAGGTCTGCTGTGGGCGTCCGGCCAGCAATCGCTTCTTGCTTGAGAGGGTCAGCACCACCTGCCTGCTGCTCCCGGGCTCGTCCCGAGGCCACGCCCTCCTCCTGTGGGGGCTCCTTTCTCTCTCTGGTTTTATTTCGAGTGCACGGGCCCCACCAGGCCCCACCAGCCCGCAGGGACAGCCCTTGCCTCTCTAGAATCTGGTGTGGACACTCGCCCCGCGCGGACACCTGGCGCCAGCCGGGACTGTCTCGGCTGCCTCCCCGCGCCACGGTCTCCTGGGGTCTGGACAGACGCCGCGCTCGTCTGGGCGCCTCCCGTCCGCGTTCCGGACTCTGGCGCGGCCGGTGGACCACGAGCGTGTCACCCGCGGGCCCTCCCTGAGCACGCGCTCCCCAAGCAATTCTTCCCCCCGACCGCCCTGCCGCCCGCTCCCCGCAGCGGGTCTGCCCTCCCCGACGGTGGCGCCCCGCCCTCCCTCCTCGCAGCCGCTCCCCAGGCCGCCCCTGGGCCCGCCACTCCGTCTCCGGGCTCGCGGCCGCCCCCCGCCACGGCCTGGCCAGCCGGGCCCCTTTCCCGTGTCCGGCCTCTTGGGGGTCACCGGCGCTGCCGTCCCGGAGAACGTTACTTCTCACAGTCTGTCTGGGTTTGCCGCGCAGTTCCCGGGGGGGGGGGGGGGGGGGCGGCCCGGGGCGCGCCGGCTCGCCGCCTTCTGTGTCTGCGCCCCCTGCGGCTCCGCGCGGGCCGACCCCCGGTGGAGCCTCGTCCGTGCTGCGCCCGGGCTGGGGGTGCGGCCGGGGCGGGTGCCCGCCCTCCCGACTGGCGGGCTCCAGCAGCTCTGCTCCTCTCGGCGGGCCGCGGCGTCCTGCTGCCCCGCAGCCTGGCCCTTCACTAACGTATTTCAAGACAGTCGCCGATTCCCGGGAAGTCACAAAAACCGCACGTTCCCGGCAGCGGCGCCCGGCACCCTCCTGCGCGGCAGACGCTTCTCCAGTGCCCGTGTGTGGCGGGAGCTGCAGGGCGTGGACGTGCCCGGGTGGGCCGCGTGGGGGCGAGAGGCTACGGGTGCAGGGGGGTTACCCACAGGGGGCCCCGCTGTTCCGTCCTGCTCAAGGAATCGCCCTGCCTGGAGCCAGAGGCGGCGCCGCGCGGCCGGGGGGCAGAGGGGAGCAGCGGCCCCAGACTCGGCCGCAGACGGAGCGGGGGCTCAGGGCTGCGGCTCCCGGACCCTGGAGAAACGCCCCTGAGGGCCCCCCGCGTGGACCTGCCCGTCGGCGCCCCTGCTTCGGCTGCCACAGCCACCAGACCAACACCCCAAGCCTCCGCCCCAGCGCCTGCCGCGCGACCGCCGACCCCGAGTGAGGGCCGCTTCCCGCTGCGGTCACCGCAGCCCCTCCAGGGCACCGCGCCCCCGGCTGCTCTGCCGCCCAGCGAGGCCCGTCGCCGTGGGCGGGCAGCAGGCACTCTCGGGCCTGTGGGGTGCGGGGTTGGCAGCCCCTTCCCTCTTCACGGGGTCTTTGCTGAGCAGAATGTTCAGATTTTGCCAAGTCCAGTTGGGCGGCATCCTTCCGGGCACCTAGGCAGTGCGACCCCTTCCAGCCCTGGCCCTCAGCTCTGCCCGGCCGGCCCGAGGGCGCCCCCCCAGCAGGCCTGGGCTTGGCCAGGCCACCACCCTCCTCCGTGGGTCTTTTGTGTGGGTGGCCAGGTGTGGGGGAAAGCCCCCCACGGGAGGGGTGAGACCGGGCCCCGGGGAAGAGCAGAGGGCAGCACTCCAGCTGGATGGGGGGACCCCAGCCACAACCTTGGGGAGCCCGGGGTGGAAGCCTGGAAGCAGGGCTGCTAGTGGGGGGCAGGCCCCAGATTCTGGCCTCAGGCCTCAAGCTCCTCGTCAGCCCTGCAGTTGCCAGCCTCCGTTTCCCCACCTCCCTGCCACTTCCTGAGGTGGGTGAGGACTGAGCCCCGGAGCCCACGCAGAGGCGGCCGCCCGAAAGGGCCGTGGGCTTGACCGTGCTGGGCGGTGTGGAGGGTGTTCGACCCGCCAAGGGGCGGCCCCCGCCTGCGCTCCGCACCTGCTCCGGGGTGCTCCCGTCATCCGCGTGCACCCGGGGGTCGGCGCCCAGCTTCAGGAGCAGCTCCACGGCTTCCAGGTGGCCTCCGAAGGCCGCTCTGTACAGCGGAGTGCGTCCGAAGGCGCCCTGCCGGAGGGGCTCCCTGAGTCGTCCGCGGTACCTGCCGACGCCCGCACCTCGCAGCGCCTGCCCGCGCCCACCTTGCAGTTAGGGCTGGCGCCCAGCTCGGCCAGCAGCTGGATGGCCAGGGGCTGCCCGCCCGCGGCCGCCTCAGACAGTGGCGTGTTCCCGTTGCGGTCCTCGCACTCCACCATGGCCACGCGCTGCCGCGAGCGCCGCGCAGTCCCCGCCTCGTCGTGGCCCACGCCCTCGCGGGTCAGCGCCTCCTCCACCTGCGGGCGCCGGGTCAGCGCGCGGCCGCGCCCTCGGTGCCCCCACTGCCACGCCTGCGCCACGCCCCCCTGCCCCGTGGCCCCCTGCACCCCGTGGCCGCGCACCCCACGCACCTCCTGCAGGACAGCGCGGATCTCGCTCAGGTTGCCGTCGAAGGCAGCTTCCAGCAGGCGGCCCCGGCGCTGCTGCTCCTCCCGCCGACGCCGCTCCGCCTCCTCCTGCTCCTCCAGCCGGCGCCGCGCCGCTGCCTGCTCCAGCCGCACCAGCGCCAGGAAGGCCTGCGGGAGGGCCCTCCTGAGGAGCTGCGCCCCTGGCCTTGAGGCACGGCCCTCTAGGCCACCCTCCCCTCACCTCCCTCTGCTGCTTCTCCATCTGCTCCAGGTGCTCCTGGCGCTCCCGCCGGCGCCGGCACAGCTCCTTCCTGGCCAGCAGCTGCCTGAAGGCGCACTGGATGGTCGTGGCTGCCCGGGCCTCTGGGCCTGGATCTGGGGAGGGGAGCGCTGGTGGGTCCCCGCTCCCTGCAAGCTGCCTGCATGTGCCCCCAGCAGGTAACGGGGGGAGGACATGCCCCCAGAGGATCAGTATCCTGGGCCACAGACTCAGGGAGTCGAGCCGGGGACCCCAGCCGGTCTCCTGGTCCCCACCTGGCACAGAGGGAAGGAGAAGCAGCCTCAGGTGAGCCTCTCAGAGGGTCCCAGGCCAGGGGACACCCGTGCCCACGCCGGGCCACAGGGTTCAGCCTCCCATGCCAGGCAGGGATGGGCTGGGGGCTCGGTGGCAGGGCCACCCCAGGGCCAGAGCTCCACGCAGGTGCAGGCGAGGGCGGGTGGGGACCCACGGAGGTCCCAGCAGCAGCACCTCGGGGACATGCAGAAACCAGAGCCCAGGGCCAGCCCTCGGGTCACTCAAGAAGAAAGAGCCCGAGACACAAGTGTGAAGCGGGGGGGGGGGGGGGGGGGGGAGGGGGAACAGCGAGAGGGACATTGGCTGTGGCAGCAGGACACTGAGGGGCAGGGCCCGGGCAGGAGGAAGGCCCCAGGAGCTTGGGGCACGCTCGTTAATCTGAAGTGCAGGTTTATTTTTTTTTTACTATCTACTCCCCTGGCCTGGGTCGTCTTTCTACAGTCACCGCCGCCCGGGTGTGTCCTCCCGGCGCGGGCCCCGCCCCGCGCCCACGTGGACAGCGGCACCTGGCCTTCTCCTGGCGAGGCCCGGGCCCTGGGTGGCAGCGGCCGGGCTGCCGTGAGGCGGGCGGCGGAGCGGAGCCATCGGGGTCCCGGGGTCCCGGAGTGTGGGGGATGCTCGGATGCCTGGATTCTGCAGCCCCCTGCGCTGGGGGAACGCTGTCCGGCTGTGTCGGCCGATGCGGCCTCCGGGTTCCGCACCTCCTTGTCCACGCCAGCTGTCCCGCCCTCCCCGGTGACCACACACGCGCTAGGAAGAAGCGCCGCGTCCTCGGGCAGTCGCTCGGGGGACACGGGGAACCCCAGCCTTCGGGGCCCCCCTGGCAGCTGCACCCCAGCTTCTAGCCCCTCAGCCAGCCAGGCCCACTGCAGGCCAGGGAGCGGCCTCGTCCAGCAGCCCAGCAGCCCATGGAGGCCAGCGTGCAGCGGTCGCGGGGGAGGGCCCTCGGGCAAGACATGCGGGGAAGTGGGAGGCCGCAGGGCAGCTGGTGGCTGAGGGCGCGGAGTGGAGTGGACGCGGCTTCGGGGCGGGAGGGCGAGAGCGGCGTGGCCCAGGTGACTTCCGAGAGGTCAGCGCAGGGGAGTTGGGCTGGCGTGGGCCCCTCTTGGACCGTCCTCCCAATGGGGCGGCCATAGCTCCCAGGCCTTGTGCCCCACAGCGGTTCTGGCTGGAGACGGGTCTCCCCGGGAGGCCACGTTTGGAGCCACTTGCAGAGAGAGCTGGGCCCGGGCTGAGGGCGCCTCCAGGGCTATGCCACCCCTGCCAGCGGCCAGCAGAAAGCCAGGGCTGGCCACCTCGGGCAGCGCCCACACCCCGACAGAAGGGCCCTCTCTCCACCCAGCCACAGGCCCTGCCTGCAAGAGCCAGCGCGCTGGTGTGCAGCTTCGCCGTCAGGGACTGGTGAGGCAGCCAGAGGACACGCTGCGGGCTGTCGGCTGCCAGGAGTGCGGCGGGTGAGCCGGCAGAAGGCCCCGCGCAGGGGACGAGGCAGAGAGGAGTGGGGAGCGGCCAGCGGGAGGCCTGTCCAGGAGCAGAGAACAGAAACGTGAACAATAAGACAGGACACATTTGAACCGGAGCGGGTTCGGCCGTGTCGTTCAAACACCCAACGTGAAGTTTAAGGCAGGGAGGTTACTAGAGTTAAAGAAAAATGTTTTGCAAAGTTCATCCAGGTGAGGCGATGCTAACAAAGCTGCACGTGTCTAACGATAAGGCTTCAGGAGAGGTAAGCAGAACTACAGGTCGACACGTCTCCCTCGCGCTGCAGGACCAGCAGGCCGGGGTGACGCCGGAGGGAGCCCCCGAGGGGCTCGGCCACGTGCAGAGCTGCGAGGCATGTGGCCAGCAGCAGCCGCTGGGGGTGAGGGCAAGGGTGTTCTCTAAACACAGCGATCCAAGCTTCACACCAAGTGCCAGGGCATGGCCAGAAGGACGTGTGTTTTTAGAAGTCCCAGAATCCACTTTACACGAAATTTTGGGACGCGCCCCATCACAGGCCTCCAGCTGCAGGCGGCCCTCGGGCCCCCGCCGGGAATACGGCCTCAGTGAAACCACCCTTGCTGCAGACCAGCCTGGCTGACTGCTTGAGAAAATGGTACCAGAGCAGGCCGTTCCCATAGCAACGGTCCAGCCAGAAGCCGCAGCGTTGGCAGGTGGGTCCAGGCCCTGTCCCTGGGGCTGTGCCCGAGCGCTGGGTACTGGTCAGGAGGACGAGGCGGGTGTGTGTGTCGTGTGCTGGGTGTTACTGGCTGCTTTGATAAGTTTCTTTTTATTTCTTAATTTATCTTTGTGTACAAGAGCTGGGGTGCAGGCCAGAGGTGTGGGGGTGAGAGGATTCCCCAGAGACCGAGTGGGGAGCAGACCAGGTGGATCCACTGACACACACTGCTGAGGGGAGCAGCGGGGAGACAGGAGAGGTCTGCTGCGCCCTGTGGGTCACTCCCTGGCTGGGGATGGACTCAGGCTGCAGTGGTGACGGCCTGAGACTAACCCCTAGGCCAAAGGGGGGGTCGGGGGGCCTTGACAAGTTTCTTTTTCAAAGCGATGAGCTCAGAATCGAGTTGTGTGTTTGGCCAGGAGGAACGAAAAGGTGGCGTTCCTGAGGCCTGGGCCACTGCTGGGCAGCAGTGACGGTAAAAAGGCCAAAACTGACACCAAGGCGTGCTGGCTGGATGTGCTGGGCTGTGCCCAGCTGTCCCTGCCGCCTGGTCCCCGCCCGAGGCACCGGCAGTGAGGGGCAACGCGCTGTCTCCAAATACCCACAGTCAGAAGCAGCTGCAGGCGCGGGCGGGTGAGCCCAGGGGAGGGGGCGCCTGCAGGAGACACCCCCCAGTTGGCCGACTCGCACAGTGACCCTCCCTCACAGACAGAAATAAGCCCTGAAGGATGCGCCGCCTCGCCCTGCGAGGCATAGCCCAGGCCCCACACCGGGTGGGGGGGGTTGGAAACACGGTGCTGACAGGCGGGTGCCCCCCGGTCTAGACAGGCCCCAGGGGTGGCGCTCACTCCTGGGTCTCACCCAAAGGAGGGCACGCCAGCACCCCGTGGCTAGCGCACAAGCCCTGTGCCCCCATGTCCAGTCCACAGGGGGTGGGAGCATGATTCCTTCCAGCCGGCCAGAGGCACAAGCCGTGGGCTTTGGCCAGGGGTGTCAGCCCTGGAAAGGCGCAGCAGGGTCAGAGGGCGGCCCGGTGGGGCCTGGCCTGACAGGCAGGGGCTGGGCAGTGTTGCCCCTCAAATGTGCTGTGACCCTAAAGCTGCAGGAGGTAAGGCCTTGGTTGGCGAAGGCACCCGGGGCAGCCGGCCACGTCTCGGGGAGGTCCAACTGCCTGGCCCTGACTCCAGCCCTCGCGGTGCCCTGCACCCCTGCCCAGCGGGCGGTGTTAGCATGGCCAGAAGGACCGCGGCTCCCCGCAGGCAGCGCTGCTCTGGGCCTCGCCTGGGCACCACTGGTTCTCGGCAGGAGGCAGGAGATGGACGAGGACGCTGGACGAGCAGGGCCCATCACCGCCAGGCCCTAAACGTGGGGGCTGCACGCAGGGCTGGACCCGCCGGGAGGGGGCGCCCTTGAGGAGGGTGGGGCCGCAGCCTCTTGGAAAGCAAAGAGGCGCCCCACTCCTTCCCTGGCAAGGCGAGGGTCCTGGCCTCACCCGGCTTCTCACCCAGACTTGGGACCCCAAGAAAGCGACAGCAGGACCCACGCTGGCCAGGGAGCTGCAGCCGGGAGCTGGTGCCAGCGTGGGCCTCGCGTGGCCGGTAGACACCTCGGGACAGTCAGCTTGCGTCCTGGCTCCCGGCCACTCGGCTCCTCCCCGAGTCTGCAGCGGGGCCCCTGGGCGGCCGCCTCTGCTGCCGCCTCACGGCCCGGTGGCCTGGCTCCCGCCGCACACGGAGGCACGCCGCGGTCAGCTCTGCCATCCACCCTGGCCTCAGGATGCGATCAGCCCCGGGCCTGGCCTCGGGCGCCGGCGGCACAGATGACGGGGTTATGGGCAGAAGGAAGGGGACCCTCCCAAGCACGGCAGCAAGAGCAGCACCCCCAGGCAGCAGCCCGCACTCCGCCCGCCCAGAGCTCTCGCCTGTGGAGGCCTCTGGGTGCAGGGCAGAAGCGGGCTCTTGCACCTGCTGGACAGTCCTCCGCTGTGGCTGGCGGTTCTGTCCTGGCCGTCCTGAGGAGGCCGGGAGTGAGTTTGGGCTGTGCACCACCCTCCCCAGCAGCCTGGGGGGCTCCTGCTGTCCCCGGGGTGCCCCAGGCAGCCCGTCGGCTTTAAGGAGTGATGGGCCACATCTCTACGGCCAGAGGCCTCCCCTAGGCCTCCTCTTGGGGGCGCCGCTGAGCCCAGCAGGTAGGGGCCCACAGCAGGTCCCCAGGAAGCCGGAGCTCCGGAGCCCCCCACCCCCGGGTGACCCGCTGCCGCCACCTGTGGGGCCCCCACCGGCCGCTTCTGTCCCGCTCTGTGTCCACTGAGCTTGCCGGTTGCCGGCCGTCTGCTCTCCTGAGGCCTCTAGAGCCTGGGCTGAAGCGCGGGTGCCCACGCCGGGCTGGGCCGGCAAACCAGTCCAGCCAGTGCAGCAGAGCGGCTGGGAAGGGCCGGGCGTGGGTGTGAGTCAGAGGCCCCGGGCTGGGGAAACACTGGGGAGCAGGCTCAGGAAGCCCCCGGAAGCCCAGGGGTGCCAGGTCCAAGCCCACTGACGACTCCAAGGCCTGGCTGCAGTTGGCAGGACAGTCGGACCCCAGTCAAGGACAGCCTTGAGGGCCCCGCCCGCCCGGGGAGGCAGACTCTTCGCTCTGCCCCTCTGTCCGCGGGTGCCTCGGAGCCTCAGAGGCGCCTCTTCCACCAGTCCGGGCCTGGCCCAGCAGGGACCATAACCCCAAAGGCCCCGGGCAGCCTGGGGCCGGGGGTCTCCTTGTGCGCTGGCGGGGGCTGGGGACACGGGCAGGCTGGGCCGGCCCCGGCAGTCAGTTGGGTCAGGACTGTCCGTGGCCAGTGGGGTCCAGATGGCGGCGTGGCTGGGGGTGCCGCCGGCGGCCTTGGGGCTGGAGCCTGAGCGCTGCGGCCGGCTGGGACAGGCGGGCGGGGCCGGGGGGGGGGGGCGGTGCCCGCCCAGGGCAGGACCAGACTCGTCACAGCCGCGGCCTGGCTGCCGAAAGCCACCCCCTCCAGTTTCTCTCTCTCTCTCCCTCCCCGTCTGGCCAGCGGGGCCCGTGGCCGGCCAGCCCCGCGCCCTGTGTCAGCACGTTGGTTACTCAGCCCTCGCCGGGGGCCGCCACGCCACCAGGGCCTATAAACTCGCGGCGGCCCTGCCTGCCCAGCGCGGCCGTGACGCCCACAGGCAGGGCCGGGGCCCGGAGCCGGCGCCGTGGGCACCAGCCAGGGGCAGGGCAAGAGCACAGGGTCCACTGAGGCGTCCCGGGAATGCCATCCGCACCCGCCTGACCAGGCTGGCAGCCGATGAGGCAGGCCCGTGGGCACAGACGCCGGCGACGGAGGCAGCGACAGGCATGTCCGGGAAGCGAAGCCGCGCTCGCAGACCCCGAGCCAGGAGGGCGGGCAGGGCCCCGCAGGCCACAGGCCAGCAGGGCCCCAGCACCCAGCCACCGCCCCCTGCCGCAGGGGGCGCTCCAGACGAGGCGGGGGCGGCCCCCGTGGGGCACGTGACCTCTAGCCAGCCGGCTCCCCAGGGCCACCCTGGGGCGCCTGGCTCAGAGCTGGCACAGGCAGCCGAGAGGCCAGTGCAGGCCGCCGCTCTGGGGTCAGAGCTAATGCTGGGGCCCCCCGCGGAGATGGCCAGCTGCGGGCCGGGGAGCCTCGCGCCGGGCCTGGGCCCCGAGCTGCTGCGGCTGCACGAGGTGCAGCTGTGCCTGGCACAGGAGCAGCTCCTGCTGGAGGACCGGCGCCGGCAGGTCCAGCTGCAGATGCAGCTGTGGCAGGAGGAGCAGCTGTGGCAGGAGCAGCTGTGGCAGGAGGAGCAGCTATGGCTGCAGCAGCTGCAGCAGGAGCAGGCCTGGGTGCGTGTGGAGGGGCTGGAGCTGGCCCTGGCCCTGGAGCAGCTGCGCACCGAGGGCCTCGAGGGGCTGCAGACCCCAGGCCAGGTAAGGACGGGATATGGGGAGGGCTCCCAGCACCCCGGGGGGTGTGGCCGTGTCAGCCGCCTCCAGGAGCCACGGTGGCCACCACATCACGGCCGTGTCCACGTTTGCAAGGGCAGGCTGGGCTCTGGCTGGCCTGGCACTCAGGCGTCGTGGGAGGCCAGGGGAGTCGAGGCAGAGCTGCTGCTGCACCAGCCAACTGGGAGCCTGCCCAGAGGGCTAGGGAGGGCTGGTGTGGGGGTGCGGGACGTGTGGGGGCGAGAGCTGGACAGCAGCAGCAGTGGCGCCCCCCCGCCCCCCCTCCGCAGCCTGCCGCTTCCAGCCGCCGCGCCCCTGTTTATTGCGGCGTGTGCCTGGGCTTGAGATTGCGGAAGCCGCGCGGCACCTGCACCTCATCCTCATTCCAGCAGGCTGTGCCTCAGACGCCGCTGGGGCTATTTTTGGGAAGCAGGGGCCAGCTTGGCCTGGGAGCGGCCACCACCCTCCCAGCAGGTGCCGGGCTGGGAGCCCTCTGGGTCCAGGACTGGGTGGGCCTTGAGCAGAGGGGCTCTGCCTGGGGGCGGGGGGCTGCTTGCAGCAAGCACAGACCCTCGCTGAGCGGCGGGGCGCAGTCGGGACCAGCTGGGTCCAGCCGGGGCGGGGGGCAGGAGGCCCCCTCCCTGACCCACAGCAGGGCTGAGGCCGCGCCAACCGGGGCCAGGAGAGTGGCCAAGGGTGCAGGGCAGGCAGCGGGGCAGAGGTTGAGGGGCCACGTGCTGAGCCCGGGAACCTCCAAGCCATGGCCGCAGGGCAGGGGCAGGGACGTGCCCAACTCTGGGGTCCCCAAAGGCCACTCCTGTGGCGGTGGGGCTTCTCACAGGAGTGTCCCTGGGTGGCGCAGAGGGTGTCCAGAGTCAGAGTCAGGGTGCCCAGGGGCCAGAGCGTCCTACTCACCCGCGGAGGCTCTCGCCTTGGCCCTGGGGAGGGGTGCCGGCCGCTTCCCTGGCACAGCTTTAGAGCCCTCTTGCTGCTCATTCTCCTGAGGGGTCGGAGGTCAGAGAGAGTGTGTCCCCGACACAGAGGTGGCAGGGATGGTGCCCCTGCTCCGCGGGCCATCGGCAGGTGTGAACTGTGCCCCACAGCGGCCAACCGTGCGAATGGCGTGTGTGCCCAGCAGCAAGCCTGCCCTCGCCCCCAGTCCCCCCTGGGCCAAGTGTCCAGCACTCACCTCCCTGCTCAAACCATGGTGCTGGCTGGACACAGGCATGCGCAAGCAGGTGCGCTGCACGGGGATGCCATGCTGGGCCTGCCAGCCCTGGCCTCCACGCTGCTGCCCTCCCCACCCCGGCCATCATAGGCACCGTCCGCGTCCCAGAGCGGCGCCCACTCCCTCGTCCATGAGGTGCCCCAGAGCTCCTCTGCCCTGGGAGCCCTCCCTGCCCCAGGCTGGGTGCCCAGACCCGACCCTCCCTCCGCACAGGTAACCTGCTTGGGCACCATGGCCTGGACACTGGCCTGCCCCTCTGTGAGGTGTTGCTGAGTGTTTGGGGGGGAGCTAAAGAAACTGGGGGTGGCCCTGGGAACAGGAGAACAGGGTCGTGGTGAGAGGGCAGGGCTTGGGGGGGCCTGGCCCCACCATGGTTAAGGGCTGGGAAGGGCCCAAATGGGGTGAGACCCCCAGAGGGGCTGGGGCTCTGAGCCAGGCCCTGAGTGTTTGGGAACAGGGGCCCTAGGGGCAGCTGGCCCCCCTGGGAAGCTGGTGGCAGCAGGTGCACTGTGCCAGGAGCGCCCCATGAGGTCCAGCGCCCCTCCTGTGAGGGCGTGTGCCTGCGGGTCCAGTGTGGGGGGACCGACACAGAAGCAGAGCGGGGAGCCCCGGGAGCGGCGGGCCCGTGCAGGGGCCCACAGCTGGGGGAGGCCACCCATGTGCCTCCTGCCTGTGGGGACAGCGGTGGACTTGGGAGACGGCGTGCCCGCAGGGGGGTGTCCCCTGTGCGCCAGGGCTGGGGGGGTGTCCCCTGTGCGCCAGGGCTGGGGGGTGTCCCCTGTGCGCCAGGGCTGGGGGGGTGTCCCCTGTGCGCCAGGGCTGGGGGGTGTCCCCTGTGCGCCAGGGCTGGGGGGTGTCCCTGTGCGCCAGGGCTGGGGGGTGTCCCCTGTGCGCCAGGGCTGGGGGTGTCCCCTGTGCGCCAGGGCTGGGGGGGTGTCCCCTGTGCGCCAGGGCTGGGGGGTGTCCCCTGTGCGCCAGGGCTGGGGGGTGTCCCCTGTGCGCCAGGGCTGGGGGGTGTCCCCTGTGCGCCAGGGCTGGGGGTGTCCCCTGTGCGCCAGGGCTGGGGGGGTGTCCCCTGTGCGCCAGGGCTGGGGGTGTCCCCTGTGCGCCAGGGCTGGGGGTGTCCCCTGTGCGCCAGGGCTGGGGGGGTGTCCCTGTGCGCCAGGGCTGGGGGGTGTCCCCTGTGCGCCAGGGCTGGGGGGTGTCCCCTGTGCGCCAGGGCTGGGGGGTGTCCCCTGTGCGCCAGGGCTGGGGGGGTGTCCCCTGTGCGCCAGGGCTGGGGGGTGTCCCCTGTGCGCCAGGGCTGGGGGTGTCCCCTGTGCGCCAGGGCTGGGGGGTGTCCCCTGTGCGCCGGGGCTAGCGCGGGGGCGTCCGGGCGGGGTGGGCGACCCCGTGCTCACGGCCCCAGGTGCGGCCCCGCCTGCGCGGCTGCGGCCTCACCTGCCTCACCTGTCTCCTGCCGCCCGGGCGAGGCCGCCGGCCCCGCCCCTCGCGTCGGGCTGGCCCGTTTCCTAGCGACCGAGCCGGAACTTCCGACTCACCTGGACTTCCGGGGCGAGGGTCAGGGGTCAGGCGTAGGGACTTTGAGCCCGGGGTTCACCGATGTGTCCTGGGGCGCGGGCCCCTGGGAGCGGGGCCCGGGTGGTCTGTAGGGGCCCCGGGGCGGGGCGCGGGCGGGGGCGCGGGCGGGGGCCGGCGGGGGCCGGGGGCGCGGGCGGGGGCCGGGGCCGGCGGGGGTCGGGGCCGGCGGGGGCGCGGGCGGGGGCGCGGGCGGGGGCCGGGGCCGGGCCGGGGCGCGGCGCGGGCGGCGGGGGGCGGCGGGGGGCGGCGGGGGCGGCGCAGGAATGCGGGCGCGCCGCGGGTGGGGCCGCCCCGCCCCCAGGTGCTGCCCGGGCAGGCGGCGGCAGGCGCGGCGGGCGGGGCGGGGGCGGGCGCGTGAATCAGGCCGCGGCGGGCGGGCCGCGCAGGGAGTGGCTGCCGGACCGACCGGACCGCGAGGCCGCTGGGCGGCGGTCGGCTGCTGCTGCCCCTGTCCCGAGACCCCGCGCACCTGGCCAGGTAGGCCCCTCCCCCGGCGCGGGCGGGGCGGCTGGGGCGGGGTCGGCGCCCCCTCCGCGCGGGGCGCCGGGGCCGGGGCCGGGGCGGCGGCGAGGGCGGCGGCGCGGCCGCGTGCGCCGGGCCGGGCCGGGCCGGGCCGGGCCGGTGCCGGCGGGGGCCGGGAGGAGCCGAGTGGGCAGGGGCCCGGGCCCGGCTGGCCCAGGCCGTCCTGGCGCCTTCGTGCCCTCGCGGCGCGACCTCGGGGGAAGGACCGGGCCGAGCTGGACCCTTCCCGTGGCGCCCCGCCCCGCGCGGTGGACCGGGGTGGCCGAGGCCGCCGGGTGCGGTCTGGCTCGGGAGCGGTGCGGGGAGAGCGAGGCCCCGTCCTGACCGGGCCTGCGAGCGCGGGACAGGTGGGCCGGGCGGACACTTCCTGGGGCGCGCCGACTCCCTTCCACGGGCGGGAGTGGCCCGAGGCCCGGCCCTGCCCCTGAGCCCCACCGCCCAGGCTGCCCGCCGCTGGGCATACCCCCTGCGCCCAGCCTACTCGGCAGGGTGGCCGCGGTGCAGCACCCCAGATCCTTTCCACGCGGCCCTCCTTCGGGTGCCTGGGCCCCACCTCCGCGCTGGCAGCGTCGGGGCTGGGAGTCCTGGTCAGGGGCCCACTAGCTCCCTGAGGGCGGACTTGAGGTCGGAGGTCAGCACAGGAGAGCACCCTGCTGAGTCACCTCCTGGTGGGATGGCGCCCTTCCTCCCCAGAGGCGGGGTGGGAGCCGCCCGGTGGGGGCAGCAGACCCTGGAGGCCTCGGGCCCTGGCCTGGTCGCTCGGGGCTGCTGGCGGCTCAGCAGTCTCCTCGTGCAGCCAGGCAGTCAGGCTGGCCCGGCCCAACCACCCGGGCAGGGACGCTGGCCCTGCACTCTGCCTCTCGAAGGAGGTCAGCAGGACAGTGCCTCCCAGGCCCGCAGGCCAGTCACTGACCCCACAGGGCCAGATGCCTCATCGCCCCTGAGCCCCCCGGACAGCCCTCGCCCCATCGTGGACCGTGTGGCCGCTTCAGGCTGGCCCAGGCCCAGCGAGGACCGTATGGCCACCGCCCATGTGGGTCAGAGGACAGCGTCGCCTGGTGCTGTCAGCCAGCTGGTGTCTCCAGCGGGTTGTCGACTGGGTGGCCCCAGGGTGCCCCACCTGGCAGCACCACGTCATGTCAGCTGCCCGCCGGCTCTCAGGCCTCTCCTCCCTGGTGGAGCAGGGCGCCCAGCGAGTTCAGGGCCTGTACAGGAGCCTCCAGGCTGGGCTTCCTGGAGACGGGTGGGGCGTGGCTGGCGCTTGGGCGGGGGCGGGTGGAGAGCCAGGAAAGGCTCCCTCTGGAGGGGAGCAGGCGTGGCCAGGGCCAGGCCAGGCCAGCTGGCAGGAGGCAGGACTGGAGGCTAAGAGAAGCCAGTGGGAAGCACTACCTGGGGGCAGGTGGGCTGAAGGGGAGAGGTGTGAGTGGCCAGGGGCTCATGGTAGGGGCGGTATGAGTGGGGCTTGGGCTGCCAGGCAGGACACACCCCAGAGCTCTGCCGAGCCGTCACATGCCAGGGCAGCCTTGGGGCCACCTGCCGTAGTGGTGGTGCGAGGGTGGCAGCTGCCTGGCCTGGCCAGCACCCGGGCGGCCCAGGACTCCAGGAGACAGAAATGCTCTGCAGACGCGCGCAGCCTGGGTTATGTTTTATTCATCGGAACAGCCGTAAATTGTCGCTATTTATCTACATGTACCTATCTGTTTTATGGGGGAAGGGGTCTGCAAAATGCAAGTGCTTGGGGCACAGGCCATTGGTGCCCCCACGTGGAAGCTGGGGAGATGGCACCTCCACCTGGACATCCCTGGGGTTGGTGCCTGGGAGGCCTCCGGCCAGGGCGCCAGGAGCGCGGTCAGCCCCCAGATCCAGCGCACAGGGGCTGTCGCGTGTCCAGGGCTCCTGCCCCGTAACGCCCCTGTGCCCTCCCCAGGTCCCCGGCCCCAACATGGCCCGTCGCTCCCAAAGCTCCTCGCAGGGGGACAACCCGCTGGCACCCGGGTACCTGCCGCCGCACTACAAAGAGTACTACCGCCTAGCGGTGGACGCGCTGGCCGAGGGCGGGCCTGAGGCCTACAGCCGGTTCCTGGCGTCCGAGGGGGCGCCTGCCTTCCTGTGCCCTGAGGAGCTGGAGCACGTGGGCCGCCACCTGCGGCCCCCACAGCATGTTGCCCGCGAGCCCCCGAAGGCAGCCCTCCCACAGTGGACTTCGATGGCTCCTCGGGCACCTACTGGCCCATGAACTCAGACCAGGCGATACCGGAGCTCGACCTGGGCTGGCCCCTGACCTTCGGATTCCAGGGCACTGAGGTCACCACACTGGTGCAGCCCCCGCCACCCGACAGCCCCAGCATCAAGGATGAGGCCCGAAGGATGATTCGCTCTGCCCAGCAGGTGCGCCGCCGCGGGGAAGGGCTGCCGGGGGCCTGGGGAGGAGAAACAGCGCCCAGCTGGGGTGCGGACGAGGCCAGAGCTGCTGCCGCCTCTCAGGGCCCAGGCCACACCAAGGGCACCCTGGCCGCCTCCCAGTCTGCACATGTGCGCTCCTGGTGGCTGCCGCTGCCCAGAGCCCCGGGCTGCCCACCGCGCTGGGCTCTTGCTCTGCTCTTGACCCACCCGAGAGTTTCCTACCCCTCCCGAACAGCCGGCAAGCGGCAGAGAGCCAGTTAGGCCGCGGAGACTGAGGGTGCGGGGCAGGCCCTAAAGACCCTCTGACCCCAGGCAGTGACCCCCTCCCAGGGGCAGAACGGGAGCCCGAGGCTCAGCCCTGACCCCCTGTACCAGGGCGTGGTGGGGACATGACTGGTGTCTCGGGGCTTCGTCCCCACCCCCTCCGGGCCGCTCTGGCGAGGGAAGCCCTGGCCCCCAGCGGCAGGACAGCCTGGCCCTCCCCTGACACGACGCAGGCCCTGTGCCACAGGGCCATCATGCACCAGCCGCCTGGCCAGCGACCCGGCCTTCCTCAAGCCCCACACTCGGCCCAGGGGCTAGAGGCCATGTTGGTGCAAGTGTGGCTGGAGCGTGGTGGGAGCAGTGGGGGTCTGCCCTCTGTCCCTGACCTGCCGCAGGTGGTGGCCGTGGTGATGGACATGTTCACCGACGTGGACCTGCTGGGGGAGGTGCTGGAGGCGGCTGCCCGGCGTGTGCCCGTCTACATCCTGCTGGACGAGATGAACGCACAGCACTTCCTGGACATGGCTGACAAGTGCCGGGTCAACCTGCACCACGTGGATGTCAGTGCCGGGGTCCGGGCGGGTGTGAGGAGGGGAGGGCCCTCGCGGGCACCTGACGCCTCTCGTCTCTGTCCCCAGTTCCTGCGCGTGCGCACGGTGGCCGGCCCCACCTACTACTGCCGCACCGGGAAGTCCTTCAAGGGCCACGTGAAGGAGAAGTTCCTCCTGGTGGACTGCGCCGTGGTGATGAGTGGGAGCTACAGGTGTGCCCTGCCCGGCTGCCCTGTGGCCCCTGACCTGCCGCCCCGCCCCACCCTGCCCCGCCCCGCCCCCGCCCCCCCCCCGCCCCTGCCCGCTGCCCCGGCCCGCCTCTGACTCGCGCGTCCCCGCAGCTTTATGTGGTCCTTCGAGAAGATCCACCGCAGCCTGGCGCACGTGTTCCAGGGCGAGCTGGTCTCCAGCTTCGACGAGGAGTTCCGCATCCTCTTCGCGCAGTCCGAGCCGCTGGTGCCCTCGGCGGGGGCATTGGCCCGTGCGGACACCTATGCCCTGGCCCCATACCTGGGAGCCGGACCCCTCATGAGCAGCCAGATGCCGGGGGCTCCTACCCCTTCTCTTTCCCCAAGCGAGCGCACCTCCTGTTCCCGCCGCCTCGGGACGAGGGCCTGGGCTTCCCCTCCTTCCTGGACCCCGACCGCCACTTCCTGTCGGCCTTCCGTCGGGAGGAGCCCCTGCGGGCGCCCGGGGGTGCCCTGGAGCCGCACGCGGGGCTGCGGCCGCTGTCGCGGCGGCTGGACGCAGAGGCCGGACCCGGCGGCGACCTGGCCGGCCCGCGGGGCTTCTTCCAGGCGAGGCACCTGGAGGTGGACGCCTTCAAGCGGCACAGCTACGCGGCGGCGGACGGTGGCGCAGCTGTGGAGAACTTCGCGGCCACACGACAGGTGTCGCGGCAGACGTTCCTCAGCCACGGCGACGACTTCCGCTTCCAGACCAGCCACTTCCACCGCGACCAGCTGGCCCAGCAGCACTACCAGTGGGACCCGCAGCTGGCGCCCCCGCGGCCACAGGGCCTGTTCGAGAAGTTGCGCGCTGGCCGCGCCGGCTTCCCGGCCGACCCCGACGACTTCACCCTGGGCGCAGGGCCTCGCTTCCCAGAGCTCGGCCCGGACGGACACCAGCGGCTGGATTATGTGCCGTCCGGTGCCTCCCGCGAGGTGCGCCAAGGTTCAGACCCTCCGATCGGGCCGGATCTGGGCCTCGAGGCCTCGACCCCGGGGGAGCCTCGCACCCCAACCTAGGCCAGCGTTTCCCCTGTCAGGCGGTGGGGAAGCTGGGCCCCGAGGCCCCTCCGGACACAGACCCGGAGCGCAGGGGCGGGCCTGAGGGCCGCGCGGGGCTGCGGCACTGGCGCCTGGCCTCCTACCTGAGCGGCTGCCACGGGGAGGACGCGGGCGAGGAGGGCCTGCCTGCGCCCATGGAGGCCGAGCCCTATGAGGACGACGTGATGGCGGCGGGGGGCCGGGGGCCGGCGGCAGACCTGTTCCCCTCGCCCTTCCGCTCGCCGGCTTCCTTCGCGGGCCCGGCACCGGGGGCGGTGGCGCAGAGGCCGCGGAGGGCGCGGAGGAGGCAGGCGTGGCCAAGCAGGGTCCTTCCGCTCGCGCCTGAACCCGCTGATCCAGCGCAGCTCCAGGCTGCGCTCCTCGCTCATCTTTAGCTCCTCTCAGACCGAGGGCCCCGGGGCCGCAGGGCCCACCGCGGAGAAAGTGCAGCTGCTGCACAAGGAGCAGACGGTCAGCGAGGTGCTGGGCCCCGGGGGCGAGGCCGTGCGCTCCTCCGCCTCCGCCAAGGTGGCCGAACTCCTGGAGAAGTACAGGGACCCCGGCGGCGCGGGGGCGGCAGCCACTGTCGCCCGCCACAGCAAGGCCGCCGTGGGCCAGGCCTGGCGAGAGGAGGTGGGGGCGCCGGGGGCGAGCGCCGCAGCCTGGAGAGCTGCCTGCTGGACCTGCGGGACTCCTTCGCGCAGCGGCTGCACCAGGAGGCCGAGCGGCAGCCCGGAGCCGCCTCGCTCACCGCCGCGCAACTGCTGGACACGCTGGGCCGGAGCGGCACTGACCGGCTCCCCTCCCGCTTCCTCTCTGGCCAGGGCTGCTCCACCTCCCCGCAGAGGCGCAACAGCCCCCCACCGGCGCTGCCCGAGGGGGACGGAGGGCACCAGGCACCCCACTCTGAGCCAAAAGGGAGCCCTACCCCGGTGGCCCCTGAGCGGAAGGGGAGTCCCACACCCGGCTTTCCCACTCGGAGAGGCAGCCCAACCCCAGGATTGACTGAACCAAAAGGGAGCCCAACGGCGGCCTACCCTGAGCGCCGGGGCAGCCCGGTACCCCCAGTGCCCGAGCGCAGGGGCAGCCCGGTGCCCCCGGTGCCCGAGCACAGGGGCAGCCCGGTGCCCCCGGTGCCCGAGCGCCGGGACAGCCTCACCCTCGCTTTCTCTGGGGAGTCTCCGAAGACCGCGCCCGCAGAGGAGGCGGCCGGCAGCGCCATGGAGGCCCTACGCAAGGGGTCCCTGCGCTTCCGGCAGCTGCTGAGCCCCAAGGGGGAGCAGCGCGCAGAGGAGGAGGGCGGCCTGCCCGCGCCGCAGGAGAACGGGCAGCCCGAGAGCCCCCGGAGGCCGTCCCTGGCCCGGGGCGACAGCGCCGAGGCCGCCCGGGAGACGAGCGGGGCCCCCGGGCGCGCGTGGCCTCCGCCACGGCCAACGCTCTGTACAGCAGCAACCTGCGGGACGACACCAAGGCCATCCTGGAGCAGATCAGCGCCCACGGGCCGAAGCACCGCGGGGGCCCCGCGCCCGCCCACAGCAGCCCCGAGCTGGGCCGAGCCCCCGCTGCGGGCGGCCTGGCCCCCGACATGTCCGACAAGGACAAGTGCTCGGCCATCTTCCGCTCGGACAGCCTGGGCGCGCAGGGCCGCCTGAGCCGCACGCTGCCCGCCAGCGCCGAGGAGCGCGAGCGCCTGCTGCGCCGCATGGAGAGCATGCGCAAGGAGAAGCGCGTCTACAGCCGCTTCGAGGTCTTCTGCAAGAAGGAGGAGGCGGGCGGCCCCGGGGCCGGCCCCGCGGAGGAGGACCCCAGGGACAGCAAGGTGGGCAAGTTCATGCCCAAGATCCTGGGCCCGTTCAAGAACAAGAAGTGAGGGCTCCGCGCCGCGGCGCCTCCGCCCTCGCCTCCTCCCCGGGGGCGCCAGCCGGGCACTGCCTGGTGCCCCCACCACTGTGCCTCAGCCCCTCTTGGCCCCTCACTCACCTCAGGGACCCCTCTCTGTGCCTTGGCCCCACAACCTGCGGGGGGCCCCCTCTCTGTGCCTTGGCCCCACAACCTGCGGGGGCCTGTCTGCTTCTGCCCCCCTTCTTGGCCCCCCCTTCTCAGGGCTGTGTTCTCTGTCCCCCTTCCTCACGCCCTCCTGGATGTGTTGCCCCTCAGGTCTGCTCTCCTGAAAGGGTCCCCACCTTCACCTCCGGGCCCTGGCTGGATTGCAGGGTGTTGGGGGGTGTGGAGCCAGGCCACCAGATGCCCCTCTTGGGGAGCACTGCAGGGCAGGCTGTTGGGGGCTGGATGTGGGGGCCCTGTGGAGGACCCCCAAGGTGCTGCCCTGACCACACCACCCTGTGAAGTGCAGGCCCGGAATTTGGGGTGCAGTAAAGCCCAGCCTCGTGCGGAGGGCCCCCGCGTACCCAGAGAGCCGCAGTGGCACCCCCGCGCCTAGTGGTCACTGCAGGTGCTACGGCGGGAAATCACCTTCTGCCATTTCTCTTCACATAGTTGTTGGTTCTAAGTATTAAAAAACATTTCCAGTTGCTCAGAGTAGTTGGGATTCCAGAAGCGCCCGCCAGTGGGTGGGCCTGGGGCGGCTCCTGAGGCTCTGCTGGCCTGCCCGCCCTGGGTGGGGGCGCAGGGGCATCCATGGAGCTGACCGGCAAGCGCTCTGCCTTGTGGTGCAGGCGGCTCCTGAGCACGGGCTGGGGGTGGGGGGCGGCCTCCCAGACCGGCTGCACGCTTGGGTGTCAGCCACGCAGACCCCCGGCGCCTTCCTGGAGGTCAGCAGCCCCGCCACGGGACATCATGAACTTAGGCGCCCTGGGCACCACTGCCCATGCTTGCGGGGAGTCCCAGAGCCCTCCCCACCGGCAGTGTGCCCGGTCACCATGCTCCTTGCGCCCCCAGCCCCTCTCTGGGGGGCCGCCCACTCCCTCCTCAGCCGCTGCGGCTGCTGGCACAGCCCAACATCCCCACGGCCCTGGCCACCCAGCCCTGCCCACCCCCCTCGCAGCTGCTGTCTAGCCAGTCCTCCCCTGCCCTGCCCTGGGGCCAAGGGCCAGTGGCCAGCTTCCCTGGACCCCTTTCGCTCGGCCTCTGCTCGAGGACTGGCCTTCTTTGGGCCGGCTCCCTCCTGGGTGGTCTCTAGTCCACCCCCTGGGGGGACACGCCCCCCCTCCTCGACCTCCCCGCCCATGCTGAGGCACGAGGGGTCACTCCTGTCACCCCTTCTCTGGCTCAGGGTCGCAGAGGTGGGCGCGAAGCGGCTGGCACCCGGCCAGGCAGGAGGTCCACCCTGGGGACAGCGGCCCCCGGGGGCTGGGGGGTGGTCAGGAAGCCGGCCCCAGGGGTCTGCGTCGGGGCCCACAGCAGCGCCCGCCCTCCCGGAGCCGGGTTCTGGCGGGGAGGGGGCTGCCCAGGTAGGGGCCCCTCACGGGCATGGAGGGGGCAGGCGGGCGGGCAGAAAGGCTTTATTGGAGGAGTTGGGGTGGGGCGGGTGTGCCGGCCGCTCCCGGGGGGCCAGACGGGGGTTCGCGCAAGCCGGGGAGGGGCGCAAATCCCGGCCCTGGGGCTCCGCGGCCGGGCTGGCGGGGGGCGGGCGGCGGCGCTCAGGCGCGGGGCCCGGGGGGCAGGGGCGGGCGGCCCAGCGCCGAGCGGCGCACGGTGCCGAAGGCCTGGGCGTAGCCCCCGAGCGCGGCGCGCGCGGCCGCCTGGGCGCCCTGGGCGGCCGCGGGCCCGAACATGCGGCGGCCGGGCCGGGGCTCGGGCGCGCGCCCCCGGGGGAGGCCGGGCGGGCCCTGCGCGGCGGGGGGGCGCGGGCCGGGGGGAGCCCCGAGGCGGGGCTGCCGCGTCAGGACCCGGTCGGCCGCCGCGGCCGCGGCCTGCGAGGCCAGGGAGGGCGCGGGGGCGCGGGGCCGCTGCCCGGCGGGGTGCTGGCGGCGCGGGGCGGGGGCCACCCCCGGGGCCGCGTCCTCCCCGCTCCTGGCGGCGGCCGGCGGGGGCTGGGGGGCCGGGCTCCGCCGCGGCCGGCCGTCGGCTCCGCCCGGGGCTTCTGCGGGTCGGGAAACCCAGCGGGGTCAGGCGGGCGGGCGGGCGGCGCCGAGGGGCGGGCGGCACCGAGGGGCGGGCGGCGGGCACGCACCGTGCGCGGGGCTTCCGTGGCCCCCCTGCGGCCAGGGCCCGGGGTGCGGCGCGCGCGGGCCCGCGGGGGTCGGGGGCGCCGCTCCGGGCTTGAGCGCCGGGGCCGCGAGCTCTGCCCCCGCGGGGGCGCCCCCCGGGCCCTTCTCTCCGCGATCCAGGATCAGCTGCGGGAGGGGGGGCTCAGGGGTGCGCGCGGGCGGGGTGGGGGCGGGGGGGCGCGGGCTGGGGGGTGCGCGGGCGGGGGGCGGGCGGGGAACCTGGTAGAGGCGGCTGCGGTACTCGGGGGCCGAGAGCTGGGCCGCTTCGTCCACCGGGAGCCGGACCTCGGCCTCCAGCGACCACTCGCGCTCAGGGCGGTGAAACCTGCGGGCCGCCGCGACCCGGCCTCGTCGGAGCGAGTCCCTCGGCCGCCCGCGCCCCGGGCGCCCCCGCGCACCTGCGCACGTAGGGGTGCCGCAGCGCCCGCGCCGCGCTGAGCCGCCCGCCGGGCGCGAACACCAGGAGGCGCCGCAGCAGGTCCAGGGCCTCCGGGGGCGTGTCGGCGGGCAGGAGGGCGTCCAGCGTCCGCCGGGGCCTGGGGCCGAGCACAGGGTCCCCCACATCCTCACCGGTGGCCCCTGCTGCCCTCGCACCCCGGGCCCGCCCGCCTTGGCCTCCGCGGCCCGCCCCGCCTGCCGGAGGGCAGCTGGGCCGGTCCCGGAGGGCGCCTGGACGCCGCCCGCCGCCCCCCACCCCGGGCCAGCGGCGCGGGGCGGCGGCCGCAGGAGGGGCACTCACCGGGCGCCCCCGCGCTGCAGAATCCAGGCGCCGCGGCCGGGGCCCAGGGCAAGGAGGTCTGGGTGAGGGGACAGAGGTGGCGCGGGACGGGGGTGGGACGGGGGTGCTGGGGGACAGCCTCGCCTCCCCAGGCCTCACACCCCCTGCCCAGACCCCGCCCTTGCACCCCCGCCCCTGCACCCGCGGCCTCCCTGGCTGGAGCCCCTGCTGCAGGGTCCCTATCCCCACCCCCACCCCCGCCCCCGCCCCGAGAGCCAGCCTCGGGCTCCAGACCTTCCCCTCTCTGGACCCGCCCCCAGCCTAAGGGGCCTCCCCCGGCCCCTCCCCGCCCAGCTCTGGAGCAGAAGCCTGGGGGCTCCTGGCCCCGCCACCCCTCGGCAGCAAGGGACTAGCGTTCCTGCCCCTGCCGGCTGGACCCCTCCTGGGCTCTGAACCTCATGGGCCCCATGATCAGGCTCCCAGCCTTTGCACTCCATCCAGTTGGCCCCCACCCCCAGCATCTCCCCAGGGGCCCACCAGCTGCCAGGCCTGCCCCGGCCTGCCCTGTCCTCCTGAGGCTCTGGACCCTTCTCTGTGCGCTGCCCCCAGCTCCAGCTGCCAGCCTGGCTTCCCCGGGCAGCGTGCTCCAGCCCGCTGCACCCCAGCCTCTGTGGACCCCCTCAGGAAGCTCACCCTCCTCGGAGGGCAGGGGGATGGTCTCCAGGATCAGCTCCAGCTGGTGGAGGGTGGAGGTGCCCGGGAACAGGGGCCGGCCCCGCAGCATCTCCCCCAGGATGCAGCCCAGGCCCCACATGTCCACCCCAGGGGTATACCTGGCGCAAGCGAGGGAGGCGAGGTGGGGACCCCAGAGACGGGGGGGGGGGTGGGATGGCAGGCATGCCAGGGCATGGGGTGGGGTGTCGGAAGGTGCTTGTGGGGCAGAGGAGGCCCGTGCCCAGCGGCGGGTGGGGGGTGTCCCAGTTACCAGCTGGAGGACAGCAGCACCTCCGGGGCTCGGTACCAGCGTGTGGCCACGTACTCCGTCAGGGCCTGGCCCTCAGGCCCTTCGGGGAGGCCACTCAGGGAGCGGGCCAGGCCAAAGTCGCAGAGTTTCACCAAGCAGCTGGCATTCAGCAGGACATTGGATGGCTGGGGAGAGGGGGTGGTGAGGGGCCCGGCCCTGACGCCGGGTGGGGGTGGGGGCGCTCAGGAGGCACCTTCTGGTCCCGGTGGACGACGCCGCCCGAGTGGATGAACTTGGTGGCCCGCAGCAGCTGGTAGAAGATAAAGCGCTTGTGGGTGTCCCTCAGCAGCCGGCCCTCTCGGATGACGGCGTGCAGGTCAGTGTCTGCAGGACAAGCAGGTCAGGCGGGGAGTGGCGGGGGAGAAGCTGGTCTGCCCCACCTTGAAGGCCCCGGGGCTCCCATGCACGGCCCGGGCCCCTGGGGTCCCTAGGGCTGGTGCCCTGCAGGCTTCTTCCTGACCGCGGTGCCTGCAGCCACAGCGCTGTCTGCCCGGCTGTTTCATGCTCTATTTCGTGCTGTTTGTTTCATGAACTGAGCCGAGAGAGGGGAGCACAGCTACATGCAGTGGACAAGCCAGGCGCTTCAGGGGCACTCGCTGCCAGTCTCAAGGCCAGATGTTTGTCTTTGGGCACAGGGCACTACCCCCTTGGAGGGGCCTGGGCAGGGCGGGGTGGGCTGGCCGCCCAGTAGGGCTCACCCACCCATGGACTCAAACACCAGGTAGATGTCCCTGTCGTTCTCTGCCCGGATCACGTCAAGGAGGCGGATGATGTTGGGATGGCCCCCGAATTCCTGGGGAGAGAGTAGGGGTCAGGCTGGGGGTCTGGGGGCTGGAACCCCCCCCTTCCCTTGCTGGACAGAGTCGCCTGGGGAGTGCCTGGGCCACTCACCTGGAGCAGCGCGACCTCCCGGAACGTCCTCTGCAACGAGACAGACGCAGTGTGGGGAGGGGCGAGAAGAACCACAGGGTTCTGTCCTCGTCACCCCAGCACCCATGGCCCTGGGGTGACAGGGGCGGTGCGCTGGGCCAGAAGCCCGCCGCCATCAGGAGCCTTGGCTCTCTGCAGAAGGGGCTCCCCTACGCCGGTCCCCACGCTCTCACCTGGGCGTCCGTCTTATTCCTAAAGGCATCAAAGATCTTCTTGATGGCCACAACCTCGCCCGTCCTCCTGTCCACCGCCTTCCACACGATGCCATAGGCCTGTGGACGAGGCGGGTCAGCCTTCCTGGCTCCGAGCTATACTCTGCCGGCCTCCCCTGCCCCGGGGCTACCCCTGCAGACACAGGCCTGGCCTTGCTCTGGCCCTGGGGAAGGCGGGGCTGTGGTTTGGGGGGCCCCACCCTGCACAGCAAACCAGCCCCTCTTGAGGAGGGTCGCAGGGAGCAGGGGTCGGGGTCCGAGAGGCTTCTGGAGTAACGGAGGTCACGGAGTGGAACTTTCGCGGGACCTGATGACTGGGTGGGTCTCACCGCCTGTCGGCACGGGCTGGTGGCGCCACCCTCAGATGCCATCGCGTCCTGCCGCCTTTCCAGCCCTGCTCTCCGGGGCCGAGCACCGGGGCGGGCTCAGCTCAGCTCAGCTCAGCTCCTCTGGTCTGGCCCGACTGATTCTGCTCCCCAGCTCCGGCAGGTGCCCCTGCACGGGGCAGCACTGCTCTCCCTCCCCGTACACACGAACCGCCAGGCGCCTGCCGCCTCGCCAGCCCCCACCAGCCTCGCCCCCCCACTGTCCTGGCAGCCCCGCCCTCCCCGCAGGCAGTCTCCTCCCGGCCTCAGCACCGGCCCCATCCAGGTGCGCTCCAGGTGTGCCCGGCTCACACGCGGTCTCCTTCCTGCACCCGTGCTGGCGACTGCCCGCCCTCGGGGTCTGGAGCGCGCCCTGGGCACGCACAGGGGTCCGGCACGGGGCGAGGGTGGGGGGCGGGCGGGACCTGAGACCTTGGGGGGAACCTGGCTGTCGCCTGCCCAGAGCCCTGGGCGGACGCCTTGCTGGAGCCTCGTGACTGGACGCCCAGGCAGCGGGGACCCGGGCCTGGCAGGGCCGGCCGGGCAGCCCGGAGCAGCGCCCCCGCGCCCCGCGACGCACCCCTTTCCCGAGCCGCCGCTTGAGCAGGTATCTGCGGGCGACGTGCCGGTCCAGCTCCGCGGCGCTCATGCTGCGCTGGGCCCGCGCGGCGGACGCGGTTGCCGTGGGAACGCGCGGCGCCTCCCTCCCGCCCGCGCCGCCCCGGGGGGCGGGATCCACGGCTCGGCCGACCGGGGGCGCCGAGGAGCCCCGCCCGCGAGGGGGTCGGGCGCTGTGGGGTCCGGGCGCTGGGGGCGGGGCGCTGGGGGTCCGGGCGCTGGGGGGCGGGGCGCTGGGAGGCGGGGCGCTGGGGGCGGGGCGCTGGGGGGTCCGGGCGCTGGGGGGCGGGGCGCTGGGAGGCGGGGCGCTGGAGGCGGGGCGCTGCGGGCGGGGCGCTGGGGGCGGGGCGCTCGGGGGCGCGGCCGGGGTGTGGGGCGCTGGGGTAGCGGCGCTGGGGGAGGGGCGCTGGGGGGCGGGGCGCGGCCTTTCCCTCCGCCCTCGGGAGCTGGGGGCCCGCGAGGAGCCCGGCGTGCGCCGCGCGAGTCGGAGGTGGGGGGCGGGGCGGGGCGCGGGGGCGGGGGGGGCCGCGGGGGCGGGCGGGGCCGCGGGGGCGGGGCGCGGGGGCGGGGCCGCGGGGGCGGGGCCGCGCGGGGGCGGGGCCGCGGGGAGTCGGGGCCGGGCCGGGCCGCGGGGCGGGACAGGCGCGGACCTCGCAGGGCGCGGGGGAAACTGGAGGTGCGCGGGGGAGGCTTCTGGCTGCGACGGGCCCTGGGTTTTCATGGCAGGGGTACGGTGTGAGAGAAAGGGGAGCCAGGGGAGCCCCAGAGCCGCGGTGGGCATCTGGAAGGACAGAGCGGGGGTGGGAGGCGTTTAGAGGGGCGCTGAGAATGGGGGCGTTTCCCGCCTCAGTTGCTGATGTGCTGTAGGAAGACATGGCCTTGGGGTTCAGGGACGAGGTGACGGGCCAGGATGTCGTGTGGGGTGTCACTTAAAGCCGCAGCGGGGCTGGCGCACCCCCAGAGCCCGGCTGGCACTCGGGGCGCCTCCCACTCGCCCAGGGGCCGGCAGCTTTAAAGTCTTTCATTCTGTTGTGGAGGAACAATTCTGTGAAAGACAGTAGCAAATGAATCATTAGAAACAAATGTGAAAGGCCCTGGGGTGCCAAATAAAAGCCCACGCGGTACTGGACTCCGCGCGGACATCCTCGGGCTGCAGACCCCCGCGCTCCCCCTCGCCGTGTCTGCGTCCCTCGTGGCGGGCGGGCGGGCGCCGGTCCCTGCGCTGGCCCAGGCGGTGCGAGGGAGGGACGTGGCAGGGGAAAGCCAGGGCGCTTGAAAGCTTTGGCCGGTGGCCAAGGGCCGGCGGCGTCCCGCGGGAGGGGCCCGCCATGCAGGACAGGGGCTACTGCTGGGCACGCCAAGTGTGGGTGGCACAGCGGGTGGGAATCTCCCCAGATGGAGCCCATTGTGCATATACTCACAGATGGACCCCGTGCCGAGGCCAGAGAAGGCCGGGAGGCGCGCTGATGGAGCCGGGGCGACTGGAGCTCACTTGCCGGGCGAAGGACCCGAGAGCTGGACTCGCTCCGGCAGGGCCCACGGTCAGGCCCTGGCTGGGTGGGGACGAGGAACACCAACGCGCTGCACCCCGCATGGCGCCCACACCCCTGGCACAGCAGGAGCAGCCACCTGCAGCTGCCGGGACAGCGGGACCAGCTGCCCCCCCAGCACCAAGATGTGTGATGTCTGGAAGGCCACCCCGCCTTTTACCAGGCACCCTGAGTCAGAGGGTGTAGCCACCAGGAATGCGGCCAGCAGGCAGGACCAGGCCGCCAGCGGTGAGTCTTCAGCGACAGGGCTCTGCAGAATGTCCCCTGCACTTAACCAGCAAATCGATGACAAGATTGACGTTTCAGTGGGCACTTGACGCACCCATTAATGTTTTTTTTTTTTTAAGATTTATTTATTTATACAAGCACTGGGTACAGTCAGAAGACGGGAGGGTGAGAGAATTCACCAGAGCCAGAGCGGGGAGCAGAGCAGGCAGAAGGACCGAAGGACACTGCTGAGGGGAGCAGCGGGCGGCAGGAGAGGTCTGCGCGCCATGTGGGACCCTCCTCCAGTGGCCGGGGAGCAGCCGGGGATCGAACCGGCGCTGCAGAGGCTGCGGGCAGCTTCGCTGCAACCCAGCGCTCAACCGCTGAGCCACCGGGGAGGCCCCCATTAATGGGTTTTAAACATGCTATTTTGGGCCTCCCTGGGGGCACAGGGGTTAAGCACAGCACTATGAAGCTGTCCGCACCCTCAGCATCACGGGTCCAATCTCCGGCCAAGGACTGACCTACAGGGCGCAGCAGACCTCTCCTGCCTCACCACTGCTCCCCTCAGCAGTGCGTGTCAGTGGATCCGCCTGTTCTGCTCCCCACTCTGTCTCTGGGGAGTCCTCTCACCCCTGCACCTCTGGCCTGCACCTCAGTTCTTATACGTATAAATAAATATTTTTTTTACATATAGATTTATTTTATTTATACAGGAGCCAGAGTATAGGCCAGATATACAGGAGGGTGGGAGGATTCACCGGAGACAGAGCAGGGAACAGAACGGGCAGACTGACTGGAATACACTGCTGAGGGGAGCAGCAGGTGCGGCAGAAGAGGTCTGCTGTGCCATGTGGGTTGCTCCGAGGCCGGGGGGATTGAACCCGCACTGCAGAGGCTGTGGACAGCTTCACAGCGCTGCACTCAACCGCCTGTGCCACCAGGCAGGTTAAGTGCTGCGCCCTAAATAAATCTTCAAAAAAAAAAAAAAAGGTGAAGGCTCCAGGGACTCTGCCTGAGGGGAGATATCAAATACTGTACAAAAACGAACAACGATGTAAGAAAATTAAATTTAATAATAATAAAGAGTGTTTTCTGGTTGGTTGTTGGTCAGCAGTGAACACTCCTGTGACAGATGTGTGTGCAGGGCCTGGGGAGGCCATGGGCGGTTTCTTGGGGGCTGGGAGGTTTCGGGAGGTCTGGAGGGTTCAGGTGGCCAGGCTGAGGTGGGTGGGCCTGGGGCCTCTCCTTGCCTGGCCAGGTGTATGCTAGTCCGTCAGATGGGACAGTGGCTCCCCGTGGGCCCCGAAGGTGGGGGAGTCTGGGGCCCAGGCAGTTGCTGGGGGCAGAGAGGCCTGGCTTAGAAGCGTGGAAGACAACACTGCAATTATGCTATGTGGAGGGCCCCCGCTGCAGGGTCTCGGGGGATCTTTTCCAATTCTTGGGAAAAACTTATCTTTTCCTGATTTTCTTTAAGAATCTGGGTACTGGGCCTCCCTGGTGGCACAGGGGGTTAAGACGCAACCTATGAAGCTGTCCACAGCCACTGCAGCACAGCACGGGTTGGATCCCCAACCAGGGAGCTACCCACATGGCGTGGCAGACCTCTCCTGACGCCCACTGCTCCCCTCAGCAGTGACTTTTGCCAGTCTGCCTGTTCTGTTCCTCACTCTGTCTCTGGTGACTCCTCTCCACCCCCACCTCTGGTCTGTACCCCAGTTCTTCTATGCATAAATAAATCAATCTTTGGGGGAAAAAAAAGAATCTGGGTACTAATTTCATATGAAAAGTCTGTATCGGGGCTCCCCGGTAGCGCAACAGTTGAGCACTGGGTTGCGAAGCTGCCTGCAGCCTCTGCAGCACCGGTTCGATCCCCAGCCACTGGCGAAGGTCCCACATGGCGCGCAGACCCCTCCTGCCGCCCGCTGCTCCCCTCAGCAGTGTCCTTCCGTCCTTCTGCCTGCTCTGCTCCCCGCTCTGGCTCTGGTGGATTCTCTCACCCTCCCGCGCTTCTGACTGTACCCAGTGCTTGCATAAATAAATAAATCTTTAAAAAAAAAAAAAAAAGAAAAGTCCATATCACTGAAGTTCAACATTCAGATGCTGTTTTAGGATCAACATTTCTTTTAAAATGTTAATGTTTAAAAAAAATGGAGAGTCTGTATTTTCTTGAAGTTTGTCATTTTGCTTTTATTCATAAATCACATTTCTTAGAGACAAGGCCTGTGTGTTCGGGATCAGAGCTCCCTTGCAGCCCGGGGTGTGGCTGCCGCGCCAGCCTCCTCCCCATGGTGTCTGTGCTGAGCACCTCACGGATTACCAGGTGCAGCCCTCAAACCTGCCCACCACGTTGCAGCCAAAGCAGACGGGCCTGGACGGAAGCTCAGCTAAGCGACCACAGGGCCAGAGTCAGTTTATTTATTTTATTATTTTTTAAGATTTCTTTATTCATTTACACAAGAACTGAGGTGCAGGCCAGATGTGTGGGAGGGTGTGAGGATTCACCAGAGACAGAGCGGGGAGCAGGACAGGCGAATCTACTGAAATCCACGGCTGAGGGGAGCAGCGGGGAGACGGGAGAGTCTGCTGCGCGGTGGGGGTAGCTCCCTGGCCAGGGATCGACCTCGTGCTGCAGCGGCCGAGGACCGCCTCATAGGTTGCGTCTTACCCCCCTGCGCCACCAGGGAGGCCCAAAGTCGGTTTAGATTTAAGGGGCACGTGGGAGGGGGTGGCCCAGCTGTCCCCAGGCAACTCCTGGGTGCCCAGTGGGCAGGTCCTGTGTGGGCCGCCTGGCAGCCCCGCCGAGCTTGAGTTAAACAAGGGGCTCCACGGGGTTCCCACAAGGCCTCCGCGCGGCACAGAGGCCAGGCTTGGGGCCCTCTCCCCTCAGCCCTGGCCCAGCGGGGGGTGAAGCAGCCGAGCTGGAGAGCTGCCCTGTGCGCAAGCGCGTGGGGGCCCGAGCCGAGACAGCAGAGGCTCGGCCGGGGAGGGCGTCCCGACGGCCCCGGGCTCCCCAGTAACCCCAAGTCTGTGGAAACGCCACAAACAGCCAAAGGAGTCACGAAACGCTTCGGGGGGGCTCGCGGCCCAGGCACAGCGGCGGCTCTCGGCGAAGCCTCCCCCACGTGGGCGACAAGCGAGGGGCCCCACCTGGCCGGCGGGCGGGCCCCGCGGGCCCAGGGCGCCCACGTCCCCGCGAGCGCGCGCGGACGGCCCCGCCGCCAGGGGCGAGGGCGCGGGAGCTCGTTGGGGGGAGGTGGCCCGGCCGGGTCCAGACACCGGCGGGCGGGCGTCGGGGCGGGCGACCGCGTTCTGTCTCCATAGAGACGGGCGGGCCGTCAACAAGGCGCCCCGCAAGACCGCCGGTCCCCGAGGCCCAGAGGCCCCCCGTCCCCCGACAGGCCCGAGTCCCCCCCCAGTACCCCGCGGGGCGGGGGCGAGCCCGAGCGCGCAGGGGCCCCGCCCATGGCGCCCAGGAAGCCGCGCGGGCCGAGCGCGGGCCGGCCGGGCGCGCCGGGGGAGGGCGCGGGCGCGGGCGCGGGGCCGCCGCCGTCGGAGCGCGCGCAGTTCCTGCGGCGGGAGCTCGCGCTGCTGGCGGGGAAGCTGGCGGCCAGCGAGGCGCGCGCGGAGCGGGTGCTGCGGGAGAACGCCCTCCTGGACGGCGAGGCGCTGCGGCTGCGCGAGGAGAACCGGCTCTACGCCAGCTACGTGAGCGCCCGCGCGCAGCGCTGCGCCCGCGCCGTCGTGCGGCTGGACGAGCAGAGCCGCGCGGACCTGGCGCAGATCCGCCTGCAGCGCGCGGAGCTCGAGGCGCTGTACCGCGGCCGCGAGGAGGGCGTGCGCGCGCAGCTGCTGGAGATGGAGGGGCGCGCGGCGCAGATGGCGCGGCAGGTGCAGGAGCTGCAGCCCTACAAGGCCAGTGCGCGGGCGGCGGGGGCCGGCGGCGGGCCGGGCGGGCCCGGGGGCGGGCGGGGCCGGGCGGGCGCGGCGGGGGGCGGCGGGGGCGGGCGGGCGCGCGCGCCCGGGGCTGACCCGCGACCCCGCCGCAGGAGCTGCAGCTGGAGCAGCTGGCGCGCATCCGGGCGCTGGAGCGCGAGCTGCTGCACAAGCGCGTGGAGCACACGCAGCTGCTCCACCGCGTCAAGCGGCGCTTCCTGGAGGACAAGGCGGCCTTCGAGCGCGAGGCGCGCCAGCGCGTGCAGTCCCTGGGGCGGCGCGCGGAGCGGGAGGCGGCGCGCGCGCTGCTGGCGCACACTCAGGCCATCAAGGCCGACAACGGGCGCCTGCGGCAGGAGCTGCTGCGGCTGCTCGGCCGGGCCCAGCTGCTGCACGTGCTGCGGCGCCGGCTGCTGGAGCAGCGGGACCTGCTGCGGCGCGAGCACGAGGACGCGCGGGACCTGGCGCGCGTGCACGGCTGGCTGCGCCGCGGCCCCGAGGGCCCGCCCCTGTGGCAGCCGCCGCCCGCCTCGCGGCCCGGGTCCTCGGGCGACTCCGAGGAGTCTCCGCGCGCGCCCCCCTGGAGCCCTTCGGGGCCGGGCTCGGGGCGCGCGTCTCCGCTTTCCTCGCGCGCGGCCTCGGAGTCGGGCCTGGCGCTCCCCGCGCTCTCGGCCGGGGGCTGCTCTCCAGGGCGGACTCACGGGGGCCGCCCTGGGCCCCGTCCGGGCCTCGCTCTCGAGTCCCCTCCTTGGCCCCCGCCCCCCGGCCTCCCGGGCCTCGTCCCTGCTGCCCCCGGGGCCTTGGGCCCGGGATTCCCTCTTGACCCCGCGGGGGCCTGACTCCCGAGTCCGGTCGCTGACCCCGGCTCCCCTGGGCTCCGGGCACCCGTCCTTGACGTCGGGGGCCGCGCGCTCTTGGAGGGCCTTGGTGCCCGAGGCCTCACAGCACAGCACCCTGGCGCAGGAGGCCGGGCCGGCTCAGGCTCCTCCCAGCCCTTCGTCCTGGGCGCCGGGGGACAGTGGCTCTGTGGCCAGGGGCTGAGCCCCCCAGGCCTGGCGCGGCCACCGCTAATAAAGGCGCCACCGGCCTGCTCCTCTGGCCCTGGCTCTGTGCACGGCTCTGGGAACCCAGGCGCCGGGGTCCGTGTGGCCTGGGCAGGATGGCGAGGTGGGCCCCGGCAGGGCTGAAAAGACGGGCTGTGGGCAGGAGGGCCAGGGGCGAGCGTCCGCCGCCCGGCCCCGGGAGAGGCAGCGGTGTCCCCAGCGTCTGCAGGAGCTGGAGCTTTCAGGGGCGACCTGTTGGGGCTTGAGGGTGACTGGCCCTTCCCGCGGCACCTGCCTCAGAGGCCGTCCCGGGGAGCATTTCCCCAGCGGCTGGGCGGCCCCTGCCGGGTCAGGCCCCTCGGTTCTCTCCTGTTCGCGGGCAGCGGGCTGTCCTGCCTGCAGCTGGGCCCGCAGCATCCTGTGGCCACCGAAGAGGCGCGGCCGGCCGCGAGTCAGCGGGCACAGGCTGCCCAGGCTGCCCCTGCCGTGGCTTGTGTGCCGCAGGGGCCCTCCTGGGGCAGGGCTGGTCGGGGCTCAGCCGGGAGAGCGGCTGGAAGGCAGACCCCCCCCTGCGAGAGCCGGGGGTGCCCACGGGCCCCCTTGGCCCAAATGTGGTGTGCGGGGGGCACTGCGGGGAAGCAGGCCAGGACCTGGGCCTGCAGGGTGGACCTCAGACCCCGGGCTGGACGGAGCCCTCGCTCCCCGAGGGCGGCGGAGAAGGTGGCCCCGGGGATGGTGGGCCTGGCCCTGGTGACCCCTGGCCTAGTCCTGGGAGCCGGTGTCCCGGGTCGGGCTGCAGCAAAGGCCTTTCTGGAAGTGTCCCTGGAGCCAGGCCAGGAAAAGCTCACGCAGCCACTTCGCTTTCAGAGGAACCAGGGCTCCTTGGAGATCGGGAGGGAAGGAAATGGACAGCATCTCGGCGGCGCTGGGACGCGGGCCCCAGTGCTCAAGGCTGCCTCGCCTCGCGGCCCCCAAAGACCAGCGAGTGGTGGCTGCCCAGCCTGGAGGCCGGCGCGATGGGCACCTGGGCAAGCTGGCCGCAGAAGAGCTGCGACCTGGCGTGACCCAGGAAGAAGCTGCCCCCACCCCCGCCGCAACCACAGGCCCACCGGCCCCCAGCTTCTGGGTCTAAGGACCAGAGAGTGTGCAGGGCAGGGCCAGGGTAAGATGCGGGGCCGCAGCCCGAATCCCCTGCGGGGCAGGTGACCTCTTGTTTTCTAAATTAACAGCAGTGAATTAAGAAAATCCGGGGACAAGGAATCATGTGGTTCAAGAGACTCAGATGCTTCTGAGTGCAGCTGACAGCCCTGCACCCCAAACTTCCTCCTCCCAGGCCACCTCTCCCCTCTGGACACCTCTAGACATAGCACCTGGAGGCGCTTGTCAGTTTCTGTCCTTCCCCTTGAGGTGTCTGGGCCTGGCTGGCCGCGCGTCAGCTGGAGCATGGACTCGCCCTTTCCGAGTGGAGCCTCCCCTCGCCTCTGCCCAGGGCCCGCCCCATCGCCCGCACCCCGTACCCCCACACTCTGCAACCCCACCCCACGCCCTCTGTCCTCACCCCCATACTCCCAAGACCACCCCCACCCCCGCCCCTGCGGCCCCTCTGTGTGCCAACTGCAGGGTGTCCTGGAAGGGCACAGGTGGCCAGGGCCGGGGGGCGGCAGCTGGCACACCTGGAGATGTGGTCAATCAAAACCATCCAATGTAACAGCAGGCCCCGCTCAGGGCAGGCACAAGACTGTGCGCAGCTGCCGTGGAGGTGTCTGGGGGTTCTTAATAAAGATGCGTTTCTCCTTTAACCCAGAAGTGGAGTCCCTAGGTGTTCACCCGCCAGGTGAGCGCCTCTGCACAGGTGCCCGCGCGGGCCCCTGGCCCAGCTGAAGCCCGCATCTCCATCCACCGGTGACCCGTGGCAGTGAGGTTTCCGCCCGCCTGAGGGCCGGACGCTAGGCAGGGGGCCAGGGCGCGGCCCCGCAGGGCCTTGTGTGCTTGAAACAGGCGCTGGCCGTATGAGGCTGAGACCCCAGAGAGACGGCCAGTGCCCCATTTGTGCCCCGCTCTGCAGGAAATGCTTGCCCCGGGCTCGCAGGGCTCCGGGGAGGACTCAGACTTGGCTCGCGGGGCAATGGCGGTTGCGTGGCCTTGGAGCTGCTCGTGGGTTGTGCTCAGAGAGAACCCGAGGATGGCCAAGCCCGTGCCTCTCCAGGACGCCCGGCCTGGCAAGGCTCCGCCCTCTGGGCTGGCTCCAGCGCGCCTCCCTGTGAGTCCCCGGCCCGGGCCTGCAGCTGCCCGTGACCCACAATGGCCTCCGCTGGCCATGGCGAGGCCCCCGGCAGGCTGTGAATCCCGGGGTGGGGCCCCGCCCGCCTGTTCTCCCCAGGCCGCGCTGGCCCCATGACCTCCCCGCGGGTAATGGGCGCAGAAGCGCAATGAGGGGCGCACAGAGTGCGCCATGGAACTGCTAAGGCAGAAACGGGCTCCACAGCACGGGGGCTGGGCGCCCGGAGCGAGCCAGGAGCCACAGAGGACACCCTGGGGCGAGCGGACAGCGGGGTGCCGGCGTCACGGTGCCTGCAAGCTGCGTCCGCGAGCAGAAGCCTTGGCGGGGCTGGACCGCACGGCCCGTGGAACGGGTTATATTGTTGCCAAACATCCAAAAATTAAAAAACATACAGAGAGGACTGAGACGTGCAACGACACAGACGGGGGCATCCCGGGGACCAGGGACACACGAGTGCACCGGAGAGCACCGGCGCGCGCCCGACACAGCCCGATGGGCGGGGAGGCGGGCGCCGCGGGCAGAGGGCGCGGGACCCTCCCAGGCCGCGTGGTCCGGAAACGGCCAAGGAGAGGGGCGGGCGCAGGCGGCTCCCGCGGGGGCAGCGAGCCCTGGGGCGGCCCCGGCCGGCTGCGTGGCGGGGACGGGGAGCTTGGAGCTCACGCTCCGGACACTCGGCGCCCACTCGCCTTCTCATGGCTGCGGTTTGCTGCGTTCCTCTCAAGCACCAAGACTCGACGCGCAGCTCTGCTCTGAGAAGGGTCAAACCGGGGTGCACGAGTCGTAACTGTGACCAAACACAGAGCCCCCACTGTCCGAGCTCTGGATCTGAGGCGTGCTCGGGCAGCCCACCCCCCGCCCAGGGCAGCGGCCAGAGCCCCAGGTGGTGGGTGGCAGCTGCCCCCAGGGGAGGGCCCCGGCCTCGACGCAGGACCCTCCGGAGCTCGGCCAGGACAAGGCCGGGCGGCCAGCGCCTCACTGAGCTGCAGCGTCACCGGACATGCCCCGCGTGTGCCCCTGCCCTGCGGGCACCTCGCCCGGGGGCGCGGAGCTCTTCCCTAGGGAGAGCCCCTCTTGGTGAGGGGCTGGGTGGCTCTTAAAGTTCAGGGTCGCGCTGAGCTCTTTCCCATACTGACTGCGCTCACAGAGTTTCTCTTCGGTGTGGATTTTCTGGTGCTGGAGGAAGTTGGACCTCTGGATGAAGCCCTTCCCGCAGTAGCTGCACACGTAGGGCTTCTCGCCCGTGTGGGTGACCTGGTGCAGCAGCAGCTTGGAGCTCTGGATGAAGGCCTTGCCGCAGTCCCTGCAGGCGAAGGGCCGGTCCCCCGTGTGGATCTTCTGGTGCTCCGTGAGGTGGGCTTTCTGCAGAAAGGCCTTCCCGCACTCCTTGCACTCGTACACCCGCTCTCCGGTGTGGATCTTCTGGTGGCGGATCAGGTAGGAGCTGAGAAAGAAGGCCTTCCCGCACTCGCCGCACGCGTACAGCTTCTCCCCGGTGTGGATCCTCTGGTGCTGAGTGAAGTTGGAGGTCTGGCTGAAACGCTTCCCACACTCGGTGCACACGTAGGGCCGCTCCCCGGTGTGGGTGCGCTGGTGCTGGATGAGCTTGGAGCTGCGGATGAAGGCCTTGCCGCACTCGCGGCACGCGAAGGGCCGCTCCCCGGTGTGGATGCGCCGGTGCTCCACCAGGTCGGAGCGGTGGCGGAAGGCCTTGCCACACTCGGCGCACTCGTACTGCCGCACCTCCGTGTGGGTCTGGTAGTGGCGGACGAGGCTGGAGCTGCGGATGAAGGCCTTGCCGCACTCGGTGCACTCGTAGGGCCGCTCCCCGGTGTGGATGCGCTGGTGGCGGATGAGCAGGGAGCTCTGGCTGAAGCCCTTGCCGCACTCCTTGCACTCGAAGGGCCGCTCCCGCGTGTGCACGCGCTGGTGGCGCACCAGGTCGGAGCCGTGCCCAAACGCCTTCCCGCACTGCGTGCACTGGAAGGGCTTCTGCCCGCCGTGGGCGCTCTGATGCCGCGCCAGCTCTGCGCAGCCCAGGAAGCCGCTCCCGCACACGCTGCAGGCGTACAGCCGCTCCGCCAGGGGGGGCCCTGCGGGGGGCCCCTCCCCTGCGGGGGTGAGCGGGCGCCTGAGGAGGTCGGGCCGGGGGGTGATGCCAGGGCCTTCCCCACAGTGCAGATCGCTCTGGAGGCCCGAGCAGCCCGAGCTCCCCGCCTGCGCCGGCCCTGCAGTCTGGATGGCCCAGTGGGTAACAGCCACCTGCCCGAAGCCTTGTTCTCTGTGCGGGGGGCTCCGCAGGCTGTGCCCGTCCAGGTTTCCCAGCAGCCCCCCAAATCTGGGTTCAGGCATCCCCCCAGACTCCGGGGCGGGGAGCTCCATCACTGCGCGTGTTTCCGACATGCTCTCACGAGGGCCCCATCCTCAGAAGCTCAGGCTCCAAGTCGCCGGCCTCACAGCTCCTGCATGAGAATCACAAACAACATCTCGCCTCTGCTCACCGCCGGATCTGCTGGCCGGTGGGGCAGAACCCCTGAGCAGCAAAGAGGGGGATGCACCCCTCTGCCCATGTGGGGCTCGCAGGGGCCCAGCCTGACACCCTGCAGGGAACACAGCCCGGCGGGTGGCAGACGGGCAGGGAAGTGGCTTGGACCCCACCAAGTCAAGACACATTTCCAGACACACCGCGTCCGACCTCGCCCGGCCCCTCCTGCGGCTCCTGCGGGCGGTCAGCCACCCTCCTGCGTGTTAGCGCTCACTCCCGGCCTTCACGCCCGACTGGGAGACCCCACCTCACTTCCTACCCGCCCGCGCCCTTGTCCCTGGAGCTCTCTACACCGCAGCCAAGCCCGGCGGTCTCTGCCGCTCCCCCACGCTCCTGGAGCCACCTCCCGTGTCCTCTTCTCCAAGTCCCACCCGGCCGAGCGGTGGCCGCTGGCCACACTGTGACACCTGCGCTTCTGGCCACCGGCTCAGGACACCCCAGCCAGTGCCACAGGGAGCCACTGCTGCCGTGGGCCCGCAGGCCTGTCCGCCTCTTCCCGAGTGGGTAGGCCCGGGTGGCTGCCCTGGGTGCGGGCCGGGGAGAGCAGCAGCGAGCGTGGCCTGCGTGGATGAAGACGCCAGACCCCGGCCTGCTTGGGCAGGGACCCACAACTGCACCGCCTGCGTGCCCCCAAGTCAAGTCCCGTTGACAAAGGGGGCACAGAGGGACGCCCGCGCCCGCCCGCGGCTGAACAGGAAGGCACGGCTCTCAAAGGGTCCTGGCGGCCGCCAGCCACTGCGGGAGGCGCATCAGCCCAAGAGGCCCCCTGGCTGGGTGACAGCCCCGCCCCACACCGGCGAAGCAGCTGCCATGGCGGCGGCTGGGGGGAAACGTCTGTTTTAAAGACCCACGAGCTTGGTTCAAAAAGCCTCTCTTGCTTAGAAGGTCACTGCTCACGCCACAGGCCCGTAGGCTGCTGGAGGGCGGGAGATGGGGGGAGGAAGCGCCCCGGCCCCCACCCAGTCTCCACCCCGCAGCGCTGCTCCACTTCCTGCCGCCTTCACTTTGAGTTTTTGGGTCTTCAGCAACTGAAGAGTATTTCGAAGGATGGACACCATGTGGGGCAAAAATCCCTGCTGTTTCCACCACTGGCCGTTCCGCTGACACAGGTTCCTCAGGCCGGGCCGGGCGGCAGGTGGGGCCTCCGCAGCACAGCCGCCTCCTCGGCTCCGGGAAGGCCCAGGGCCTGAGCGGTGTTGGGGTGCTGGGCGGGGTGGCCCTCAGGCGGGGCCTGTACTTCTGGGGGCATCTTGCTCAGAGGCCGCCCTGCTCCTGCCTCGCTCCCTTCCCGAGGCTGACTCTTTAAAAAGGGCAGAGCTGACTGTGCCCCGGAGGCCGGCAGGTCCCCCAGCTGCTGCAGGTGCGGCCGTGGTGACAGCCCCTGCTTCTAAGGACAGAGCCTCCAGACCCGGCCTGGGCCCCACGGCTCACTGTAGCTGCCTGCTCCGGGCACACGTACCAGGAGACCAGGCACCTGCAGGGTCTGCTCTGCCCCTTTCCTACATTCAAGCAAAATCTGACTGTGGCCTTCCATTTGGAGATCCTGGGGGCGTGGGGGGCTGAGACCGGGGGGCCTGGAAGGGACCTGCCCGCGGGCAGACGGGGGCATGCAGGGCTGTCTCTGCCCACACTGGCCAAGGGCACCCGCTGCCGTCACCATTGCCTCAGGCCCACAGGAGCCGCATCCTGGCCTGGCCAGCAAAGGGAAAGGCCAGGCCGCCCGGCTGGTGCTCCCTGGCGGCGCCGCCTCCGGCCCGAGGGCCGCTGCGCAGTCTTCCCGGGAGACCCGCGTCGCTTCAGTCACCCCCGCCCGGCAGCAACGGGCAGGCCTGACGTCCCTGGGCGGCTCGGCCGGCCCCTGGCCCCGGCCCCGCCGAGGAGGGCGCGCCGCGCTGCCGCAGGCTGGACCCTCACGGCCCGCGGCCTCCCCCTCCCCCGGGAGGGGTGCTGGGCCCGGGCCGGCACCGAGAGGCCGTCGCCGAGTCCCGCGCCCGGGGGGACGGAGGCCCGTGCGCGGCGGGGCATCCCCGAGGTCGGCGCTGGCGGGCGGGACCCGCGCGGCCGTCCCGGGAACGCCCTCCGCGCGCCGACGGCCCCAGGACGCGCGGGCCGGAAGCGGCGAGCCCGGCCCGCCGCCCAGTCCCGCACCCGACGGTGCGCGGGGCAGCCGGCGCGTCCCGGCCCCGGCAACACGCCACGGGGCGGAGGAGGCCACAGCGGGGGGCGCAGGGCGGCGCCCGCCCCCCCCGCGCCCGACCCCGCCCGCCCGGGCCCACGCGTGGGGAAGCCGCTCTCGGGCGCCGGACACGCCGGGCCGGGCCGGGCCGGGCCGCGAGCGGGGAAGCCGGGGCCGGAGCCGGACACGCGCGCCTGCAGCCCCGCCCGGCGACTCACCCGCGCCTGCGGCCAGAGCGCCGCGCACGCCCCGCTCCGCGCCGCCGCGCCGGCCCACAAAGCCCGCTCCGCCGCCGCGCGCCGGGCCGGAAGCCGCGAGGCCCGCGCGGGGACTTCCGGTGCCGCTCTAGGCCCGGCGGCCGCCCCTCGGTGGTGCGCCTCCGGCGGGGCGGGGCGGGGCGGGCGGGGCGGGGCGGGACGGGCGGGGCGGGCGGCGCGGGGCGGGGCGGGCGGCGCGGGCGGCGCGGGGGGGCGGCGCGGGGCGGGGCGGGGGGGCGGGGCGGGGCGGGGCGGGGCGCGCGGGTGGGGCGGGTGCGGGGCGGGGCGGGGCGGGGGTGCGGGGCGGGGCGGGGGGGCCGGCGCGGGGCCGCCTCACCCACGCGCGGAGGGGCGCGGGGAAGGACCCCGCCGACAGCCGACTGGCCGCCTCTCCCCGCCGCGGCCCGCGGGCCTCGGGCTGCCGCTGCGCGCAGAGCTGGCCCTTCCCTTCCTCGCGCTCCTGCTCCCGCGGCGCCCACGCGGCCCTTCCCCTCCCGTTCGCGCGCCGCCGCCCTCCCTGCTCTTCCCTGTCGCGGCGGCGCGGACCGCAGGGTCGGGCAGCCCCGGCCCCAGGCCCCCACGTGGGCGACGCCGCACACAGCGGGGCGGCCCAGGCCAGGCCCCAGTCCCGAAGCCCGCCCGCCCGCCCGGGCCCCCCGGCGGCCCGGGAGGGCGGGGCCGGCAGGTCTGGGAGGGGCAGCATCAGCCAAAGGCCCCCGCGGTCACAGGGCCCGAGTCCCAGGGCCAGGCCCGCGAGCCCGGCCGCCCCGCGGACCAGTCTCGGCCGCGGAGGGCGGGGAAGGGGCGGCGCTGAGAAGGCGGCCAGGCGTCCGGGGCTTCAGGGGACGAGGCCTGCCCCCCGGTACTGGCCCGGCCACGGCCCGTGTGGCCGGGGAGGCCGGGTCCGGCCCCGCGGGGTCCAGCCTTCTCCACAAGGACGGCCTGGGGCGGCCAACGTGGGCCCGCGCCCGCCCGCGCCGTCGCCCCAGGGCAGCCCGGCCTCGCTGGCTGACCGGAGAGGAGCCCCTCGGGCGGGGCGTCCTCCGAGGGCCCGTCCCTGCCGGCTGCTCTGACCCGCTGGAGGGGGCTGCGGTGCGCACGGGAGCCGGTGGCTCCTTCACACGTGCTCGCTCCACGGGCCTCCCCAGGCCTCTTCCCTGCGCCCCCTCCGCCCTGCTCCCCGGATGCTGCCTCCCTCCCTCGACGGCACCCACGAGCCGGCCGCGTCCTGGCCCCCCGGGCACGGGGTGTGGCGTGTGCGCGGCGCGTCCTTGGGAGCTGCGGGAGGACCGGGCGGCCCGCGCGGGGGCGGGCGGGGGAGGCGCTGCACGCGCTGCCTGAGCCCCGACGGGCGTGGGCGCGACCTGGGCTCCCGCCACGAACCCCGCCCCCGGCGGGCCCGCCAGGCCTCCGGAGGCCGCCGGCCAGGGTGCGGGGCCGCGTCCACCGCGCGGGGCTCCACCCGCGCGGGCGCCGGAAGCAGAGGGGCGTCCGAGGGGAGGCGCCCCGGGACGAGCCTGGCGCCTCCGGGTCCCCGGCGGCAACTCCCGGTCCGTCTCCGCCTCCCCTCTCCGGCGCCCCGGCCGCAGCCCCGGGGGACGCTCCTCGGTGGTCCTGGAGGCGGATACCCCCCGCCCCGGGAGGCGACTCCGGGCGCCCAGCGAGCCGGCGGCCCCAGCCCCTCCGGACCCGCGTCCCAGGAGCGGGGCCCGCCAGCCCGGCGCCCGTCTCCCCTGCGGCTGCGGAGCCAGCGAGGCGCAGCCCCTCGCCCCCCGCCCTCCGGTGCTTGGCTGGGGCAGGGTGCCCCGGTCACCCAGCGTCCGAGGCCAGCGACCCTGGACCCTGACGGCCCCGCGGGGCCCCCGCCCCCGCCGGCCGCCGAGCGGGAGGCGGAGAGAACTACATTTCCCAGGCTGCCGCGCGGCCCGGACTCCGCTTCCCACGAGCGCTCGGGGCCGCTCCCGAGGACTCGGTTTCCCAGAGTGCCGCGGGAGGGCCCCGGCCACGCCCCCTCCACCTGGGCCGGGCGCGTGGCTGGCATCGCCGCCGGCGCCGGAAGCAGCACTGCGAGCGGGGGCAGGTGGGGCCGGGCGCAGGTGAGGCGGCGGGGCACGGGCGGAACCCCCGGGGCCGCGGCGGGCGAGGCAGGACCTGGGTGCCTCGTGAGAAGCAGAGTGACTTAAAGGGTGCCGGGAGCCTGGGGGTGCGGAAAGGGCTCGTTGGCGCAGGAGGGGTCTGGAGGCGTGAGAGGAGGCTGGGGGCACGGGAGGGGGCCCGGCTGCAAGATGCCCGTGGGCATGGAGGTGGCCCTGGGGCCTGGGCAGGGCCTGGGGTCCCGGGACAGCATCGGCGGTGTGGGAAGGGGCCGGGCCAGAGTCGGTGTCTTCCCGCCCCCCAGCTGCTGGACGGCCAGTGAGGTCGGCGAGCCCCCGGCTATCAGGGCAGGGCCCCCTCCTGTGAGGGCTGATCCGGGGACCCTGAGGGGGGCAGAGGCCAGAGCAAATTTCCAGCGCCCACGTAGGGTCTTCTGGGGCAGTGGTTCCCCAGGCCTGTCCAGTTTCAGCCAGAAGCAGGACTTGCCCAGGAGGACCACGCTCACCAAGGCACTCCAGCGATGGTTGGTCACCGCCAGCAAGCACTGGCGCCATCCCTCTCCTGCCTGGGCATGTGGACTTTGGCTGGAGCAACCCTCAGGATCCGAGAAAGGAAAGAGGCAGCCCCCAAGCTGCCTCTCTCTTGTCAGCTGGAGGAGAACTGAGCGTACCCTATCTTGGGCCTTGGGCTAGGCCTGCTGGGTGGAGCCTGCAGTCAGGCTCTTGGCTTTATAGCTCTTGGCACAGGGCGTCCTGGAACCAGAGCTGGGTGGAGGGCATAAAGCAGGTGAGCTGCATCTGGATGGGCCACAGAGCTATCCCCTCAGCGGGGCCTCGTCCTGTGTCGGCTGCCCCCAGAGCCTTAGACAGGTAGCAGTCATGGGCCCAGTGTACCACCCCAGCAGGGGCATCTGGGGGTGGGCTTCCAGCAAATGGGAGCCGATGGCCTCAGCCTATGCCCTTTGATCCTGCAGGTGCAGCCAGTATGTGTGAGCCTCAGGGGTCTGTGCGGATTCTAGTGACGGGGGGCTCCGGGCTGGTGGGAAGAGCCATCCAGCAGGTGGTCGCCAATGGGGCTGGACTGCCTGGAGAAGACTGGGTGTTTGTTTCCTCTAAGGATGCCGACCTCACGTGAGTGGCCATCCCTGGGCACCCCCACAGGCCCTCCCTGGACTCGGGCTGCGGGCAGGGCCTGTCACTGAGCCTGGTAGCCACGCGTCCTTGCCCCCACCCGCCCACCATGTGGCTGGCTGGGCCTGGGCGGTGCGGCTCAGCTTCCGGGCAAACATCCCTCCAGCTCTTCCTGGAAGCCCACGCCCTCCTGCCAGCCAGGACCTGCACGGGCCACTTTCCCTTTGGCAGCCCCTGCCATCTGTCCTGCCACGCTTCTGTCCCCGGAGCTCTGCCCTGGGGTGCTAGTGCTCCGGGCCTCCACGGGCTCCTGATGGCCTGGCTTCCCCCAGGGATGCTGCACAGACCCGCGCCCTGTTTGAAAGGGTCAGGCCCACGCATGTCATCCACCTTGCTGCGATGGTAGGGGGCCTGTTCCGGAACATCAAATACAACTTGGACTTCTGGGTAAGTGAGGGGCCACCAAGGTTCCCCAGCTGCTTTTCCACCTCGGGAGGTCCCTAGGGGCCTCCATCCCCACACTTGGTCCGCAGGCAGGGGGGCCTGCAGGTGTTGGGCCTGATAGGAAGAGCCACGCGACTGACTGGCAGGGTGGGCGCTCGGGGTGCGGAGCTGAGGGGCCTCCCCGCCACCTGCTCCCGGGACTGTCAGCAGGTGCAGAGGTGTGCCATCTGGGAATGGGGTGCCTGCCTGCACCCAGCAAGTATGAATGGCCCGTCCCAGGGCAGCTGGCCTGGCCGTTGGGCGCTATCACCCCAGGTCCCTGCATGTCAAGTGGAGCCTCTCTCAGGTGCTCCCCAGACTAGTCCAAGCTCCTGGCCATCTCACCAAATTTCCAGACGGGGTGGTGAGGCTGGCCAAGGCCTCACTGCTATTGGGTAGTACGGCCAACATGGTATCTGGAGTGGGGGGCCCCTCTCCCCAGTAGCGGGAGCCCTGCACCTCCCCTAAGGCTTTTTGGGCCCCCTGGTCCCCTTCCACCCTTCCACCACTGCTTGCCCTCAGCAGAGGTCCTCAGGGCTGGGACCTCTCCTCCAGCGCCTTCAAACCCTTAGAGCCTGGGGCCAGTAGGGCCGCCTGATTTAGGGTGGAAGCCCTGCTGTCCGGGAGGGGCAGCCATTTCTGGAAGGTCCCCACAGGGGGCTTCACCTTGTCCAGGGAGCAGTTAGGTCCTGCAGAAGCAGGCCCCACTGGCGTCAGAGGGGCCAGGGTGTGTTCCCCTTCGGTCCCTGGAGGCCAGGTGAGGGCTGGGGTCCTGGTGGGGCCTGACCTCCTGGTCCCTGCAGAGGGAGAATGTGCACATCAACGACAACGTCCTGCACGCCGCCTTCGAGGGGGGCGCACGCAAGGTGGTGTCCTGCCTGTCCACCTGCATCTTCCCGGACAAGACCACCTACCCCATCGATGAGACCATGGTGAGGCCGGGGCGGGCCTGGGGGCAGGCGGGGTGGGACCTGGGTGGAGTGGGGGTGGGGGTGCGGCGGGGGCGGGGCCAGCCCCGGCACAGGCTCCTCCCCTCTCCCCGCAGATCCACAATGGGCCGCCGCACAGCAGCAATTTCGGCTACTCCTACGCCAAGAGGATGATCGACGTGCAGAACAGGTGTCCACCCTGCTCCCCACGAGGCCGGCAGGGATGGGGCGGGCCGAGCCCTGGGGGGGCGCCGAGGGTGACCACGGGCGCGAGCCCAGCGGGGGGCTGGCGCGTGGGCGGGCGGAGCCAGCAGCCGGCGCCTCTGCAGGGCCTACTTCCAGCAGCACGGCCGCACCTTCACCGCGGTCATCCCCACCAACGTCTTCGGGCCCCACGACAACTTCAACATCGAGGACGGCCACGTGCTGCCCGGCCTCATCCACAAGGCGCACCTGGCCAAGAGTGAGTGCCCGCCGGGCCGGCCGCGCCCCACGCCGAGGCTCCCGGCCCGCCCTGACCCCTGCCCTGACCCGCCCTCCCGTCTGCAGGCAGCGGCTCGGCCCTGACCGTGTGGGGCTCGGGGAAGCCGCGGAGGCAGTTCATCTACTCGCTGGTAGGCGGGGCGCGGGGGTCCCTGTGCGGGGGCACGGCCTGAGGCGGCCTGGGCAGGGCAGCAGGTCCTGGCTGGGCCGGGGCTGAGCTGTGCCCCCTGGGCTGGGCAGCGGTGTGGACTCCGGCCGGGGCCTTTGCGGGAAGGGCCCTGTGTGCCCCCCTGGCGGCGACTTGTGATCTCTGGCCTGGCCTCTCTGCTCTGCAGGACTTGGCCCGGCTCTTTATTTGGGTCCTGCGGGAGTACGATGAGGTGGAGCCCATCATCCTGTCAGGTGGGCCCCTGCCTTTCACCCTGCCGCGGCGAGGCAGCTCCTCTGTCCTGAGAGCTGGGGGGGCGAAGGGGGGCTGCGGCAGGCCAGGGGGAGGAGCCTGAGCGGACCGTGTCCCCACAGTGGGTGAGGAGGACGAGGTGTCCATCCGGGAGGCAGCCGAGGCAGTGGTGGAGGCCATGGACTTCCGCGGGGAGGTCACCGTATCCTTGGCTGGGGCCCGAGGCGGCGCGTGGAGACTGCGGGGCTGGGTGGGAGGAGGCCCCGGCAGGGGCGGGGAGGCTGTGCCTTGTGCTGTGGCCTTGACCAGGCGCCCAGTTTGATACCACCAAGTCAGACGGGCAGTTTAAGAAGACGGCCAGCAACGGCAAGCTGCGGGCCTACCTGCCGGACTTCCGCTTCACGCCCTTCAAGCAGGGTGAGGCGCTGTCCCTCCTCCTGCCCCTGCCCCTGCCCGCCCTGGGCTCTGGCCGCGGAGGGGGGACGCCTGTGGGTTTGGGCTCCCGCCGGCCGCGCAGAGGCAGCGCACGGGGTGACCCACCCGCCTCCCGCAGCCGTGAAGGAGACCTGCGCCTGGTTCACCGACAACTACGAGCAGGCTCGGAAGTGAAGCGGGCGGCGGCCCCTCGTGCCTGGCTCGGAGTCAGGGTGTGGCCGGCCGCCTGGCCGAGGGCGCCCTGCACGGGACCGCCGGTCCTCCTCAGGGAGGCCGCGCAGCCAGGCAGGCACCACACGGTCCACCACCAGCGCCCTGAGCGTGTTCACTGCACCCCCGCAGCCAATAAAGCGCTTTCCTGCAGGCCCGCCTGGACCCCCGCCGCGGCCGGCACTGCCTCCTAGGCAGACGCCCGTGTCTTCACTCTGATTGCCCGGCCCTGGGCGCTACTGGGGGGCAGCGAGAGGACGGTGTGCGACCACAGGGTGGGCGGGCCACGCTGTCAGTGGTGGGGGGACAGCAGGGCCACCTGCCGCAGCCCCGGCTGGTGTCCACACAGCCGCACACAGTTCTGGGTAGCCAGAGCACCCTGGGGACCTGGGTGCCCCGCCCCCACCCCACGATGCTGGGAACAAGGTCTGGGTTTGGACAGGCTGCGTGGGCACAAAGATGGACCCGAGGGGAGGGTGCTGATGGGGTGGCTCAGGCTTCCTGGGACCCCAGGAGAGAACCGGGGCCTGGCCTTGCCCCTTGTCTCCTGAGCCCCTGGGCTGTCGCTTGGGTCATGGGGTCAGGCCTGCCCTTGTGACAGTAAGAAGTAGCACCCAGGAGGGCCTGCCAGCCTGCTGGGCAAGGAGGTGGCCACGTGGGCCTCCCATTCTCATCAGGAGATAGGCCACTTGCCAGTCAGCCCGTGCTGCACGCAGGAGTGCCAGCTGCAGTGTTCCTGGCCAGAGCCCACCAGACTGCCCCCCAGCCTCGGTCCCAATGCTAGCCGCCTCCCCTGGGGGGTCCTCTGCCATTTCACCTGGTGGCCCCCACCTTCCCCTCCCTTGTCTGCATGGCTGGAGACGGTGGTCTCCCCAGATCCCGGCGTCTCCACTCGCCGGTCACTGCCCCTTTCTCTTGGCCCTGGCCCTGGCCGCTGCCCTTGGTGCCCCGCCTTTAGGTCTCCCTTGAGGTGTCCTCCTGGCACCTGCCTGTGCAGGCTTGTCTGGAATAGCGGCGCCCCCGCTCCCAGCATGCCCCTGGCGCCAGTCCTTAGTGAGTGGAAACTGCCCAAAGTGAGGGTTCAGGGAGGGGTAATAGGTTCACCCCCAAATAGGAGCTGGGGCCAGCCAGGTGAGGATGGTGGGGAGGAGGCTGGCCCTGAGCAGAGTCTGGGCGCAGCTGCCGGGACTGTGGTCGTGTGGCGCCCCCTCCCCGGTGCGGCGCCCATCCCTGCCCAGAGCTGGCCCCCGCTGCAGGTGCGGAGTGGACCGATGGGGGCCTTAATGTAGCGGAGAAGCTGAGGGAGCGTCGCTGTGGATAAAAAACAAAGTCTCTTCAGGACGCAGCCCTCGGCTGGGTGGGCAGTGAAGCGCGCCCCGTGTGGCAGTTCACAGGCATCCCCCACCCTCTCCCCGGGGGCATGAGAGGTGGTCCGGGACGCAGACCAAGATGGCCAGGCCTCCGCTGGGCACCCGCCTCAGGATGCCTCCTGCCTCCTGGGCCAGTCCCTGCGAGGTGGCAAAAGCCAGCACCCACGTGGACGGGAGGGACGGCTCCAGCAGCACGGCCGGGCGCTCTGAGAACCTGCTTCTCGCCGGGAGGGTCGGCCTGCGGCTGGCGGCCCCGGCCCCGGCCCCGGCCCCGGCCCGCCCGCCCGCCGCCTCCCGTCAGGGCCGCCCAGCCCGCGCGCCCCGGCGAGCGGGCCGACCGCGGGGCCAGCCTGGCATCGGGGCCACCCGGGACCGCGCCTGCGGCTGGCGCTGCCGACCTGCCCTCCGGGAGCCGGGACGTGCCCGCGCGCTGGGGCCGCGGCCGGGGCGGGGCGTGCGGGCCCGGAGGCCGCCGTGCGGCGGCGCCCATTGGCGGGCGGGGCGGGCCGGGGCGGGCCGGGGCGGGCCGGGCGCAGGCGGCGCGATGGCGGCGGACGGGCGCGGGCCGCTGCGCGTGGGCTTCGTGGGCGCGGGCCGCATGGCGGAGGCCATCGCGCACGGCCTCGTCCGAGCAGGTGGGGCGCGGGCGGGCCGGGCTTCGTCCCGGAGGGGCCGTCTGCCCGCGGGCGGGGGCGCGCGGGCCCGCTCCTGCCGGCGTCCGCGGCCCTTTGTTTCCACGACGCTTCCCCGCCGACCGGCCGCGGGGCCCGGCGCCCGCCCCGGCTTCCCGCACCCGCCCGGCCCGCCGCTCCGCGGGGGCCGCGGCCGCGCGCTGCGGGCCTGTGGGCCGGGCCCCTGCGTCTTCCGCGTTTCCGCGTGTCTGGCCCCGGCTGGCCTCCCGGCGCGCCGCCGGCCTCGGGAGTGAGGGGCAGCGCCCTGGCGGGGACGCGGCACCTCTCCGTGCAGGCGAAGGGGCCGTTTTCTGCCGCGGCCTGAGCCCGCGGGGCCAGAAAGGCGCTTACCGGGAGGCAACCGAACGGCCGCCACCTGCCCCCGAGGCCGCGCCGCAGGGTCACGGCCGCCACAGCGAGCGCCAGCCGGGCCCAGCGTGCAGGCCCGTCCTGGACGGCTCGGGCTGTGACTTGCACCCACGCCTCCCGCGCTCCCAGGTGCTGCCACCCCACCCACACTTAACCTGTGCGCCCACCTGCCCTTGCAGCCACACCTGCTGGGAGGCGCTCGCTGCCCTCTGCGGGCGCCCCCTCCCCAGCTTCCCAGCCTAGGAGCTGCCCAGCTCCTGCCCCGGCTCCAGCAGAGCAGGTGCCAGTGACTCCACAGCAGGCTGGGCGCGACCTGACCACCTTCGGGGGCGCCCACTGGGCACTTGGGTTCTCCAGGAGCCTCAGGCCGGCCAGGGGCTAGGACGGCGGTGCCGCCTCACCGCCTTCTGCCTTTCTGCTCTCCAGGCAAGGTGGAGGCTCAGCGGGTGCTGGCCAGCGCGCCCTCGGACCGGAACCTCTGCCGTTTCCGGGTGAGCTGGACCAGCTTCTGGGAGTGGGGGCGCTTCCCAGGGTCCCCACCCCTCCCCAGGTCCTGGGCCTGGAGAGCGAGGCTTATTTGGCTTGGAGACTGGCTGGGCCAGGGAATGGGGTCAAAGGCCAGAAGTCAAGGTTGTGGAGGGCCGGGCAGAGTGAGTGTGCGGCCCACGTGTGTGTACGTGTGTACCCGTGCGGGGCGGAACAGGACAGTCCTGGGCACTTACTAGGGTGGCCGGTCTTTCGGGTGTTTGTGCAGTGCAGGGTGGGTCCTGAGCCATAGTCTGAGTGAGTGGGGGTGCCGAGGCATTGGCCTTGGAAGACACCCAGGGGTGCCAGGCAGCACCAGCAGGCTGGTGGCCGGAGCAGCACCCTCACGCGGCCGGTATGGTGTCCGCAGGCCCTGGGCTGTCAGACCACCCACTCCAACCAGGAGGTGCTGCGCAGCTGCACGCTGGTCTTCCTGGCCACCAAGCCCCACGTCCTGCCGTCCGTCCTGGTGGAGGTGGCCCCCGTGGTCACCGACAAGCATGTCTTGGTGTCTGTGGCTGCCGGGGTCTCTCTGAGCACCCTGGAGGAGGTGAGTGGTCCTTGCAGGTGAGGTGGGGGCTGAGTCCCTGATGCCAGCTTCCTGCCCCAGGCTAGCCCTTCCATGCACCAGGACGGGTGGACAGGTGGTGGGCAGCCCCGGCGTCCAACACAGGCGGCCGGGGCGGCGGTCCAGTCCTCCCACTAGGCCTGGGAAGCAGCCCAGAGAGCCTGCGGCTAGCGGGGATGAGCTCATGGACGCCAGCCTCTCTCTGAACAGCTGCTGCCCCCCACTGCGCGGGTCATCCGGGTTTCGCCCAACCTGCCCTGCGTGGTGCAGGAGGGGGCTGTGGTGATGGCACGGGGCCGCAACGTGGGGAGCAGCGAGGCCGAGCTTTTGCGGACCCTGCTGGAGGCTTGTGGGCAGTGCGAGGAGGTGCCTGAGGCCCAGGTGGATGTCCACACTGGCCTCAGCGGCAGCGGCGTGGCCTTCGTGAGTGCTGTCTGGCCCCCTGCCCCACACCCACCCTTGCTCCCACTGTTGCCCCTCCGGTCCCTGGACCTCCTGCCTTCTGGGCTTGGTACTGGCCCAGGCCTTGCCCTGTGTCCCCTCGCGCCGCACCCACTCCTGTGTCCACGCCGGGTCCAGGCTGGCTCCACATGGGGCAGCCGGGCCCTGACACTGCCCCACACAGGTGTGTGCCTTCTCGGAGGCCCTGGCTGAGGGCGCCATCAAGATGGGCATGCCCAGTGGCCTGGCACACCGCATCGCGGCCCAGACGCTGCTGGTGAGTGGGCGGGTCTCGGGCATGGGCAAGGGGCCTGCGGGAGGCCCGTGTCCTTGAGGCGATGGGAAGGAAGGACAGCAGGCCATGGACACCTGGCTGAGCTGCACAGTCACTGCCCCTGTGTCCCCTCAGGGCACAGCCAAGATGCTGCTGCAGAGTGGACAGCACCCGGCCCAGCTGCGCACCGACGTGTGCACCCCGGTGGCACCACCATTCACGGGCTGCATGCCCTGGAGCGCGGCGGCCTGCGGGCAGCCACCATGAGCGCCGTGGAGGCGGCCACCTACCGCGCCAGGGAGCTGAGCGGAAAGTAGCCCAGGCCCGACGCTGAGAACAGAGACGCGCCATGCCCGCATCCCCCGCCCCGCCCACTGTCCCCCACAGGGCACACAGCTGGCAGCCTCACCCAGCAGCTCCCCTGGCCACCTAGGGCAGGAGGCTCCGTGGTCAGTGCTGCTGATCGGGTGCCTCTCGCCCTCTGCTGCCCAAGCACCTACAGCTGGACCCCATCAGCGTCGGGGCATAGGGGACAGACGCAGCTGCCTGGGCCCACCCCTCAGGAAGCTGGGGGTCGCCCACAGGCAGGACAGCCTGGCTGAGAAGCCACACCTGTGAGGGGCGGGTGGCAGTGGAGGTGTCTGGTCTCTGGCCCCAGGAGAGGCTCCTGGGCACTCCCCTGGATGCACCGGCCGCAGTTGGGCCTTCCCGCAGTTCCCCAGTCCCAAGACTGCAGGGGTGTGGGGGTGAAGCCCAGATAGCTCCCTGGCAGGCCCAGCCACGCCCCCTCTACCGCCCCCCAACTCCCTGGGGGCCCTTCTCCTGCCTCCCTGCCCCAGCCCACTGCCCCTGCCCCGCCCCCTTTCCACTTTCCTTCCCAGCCGCTGGACTCCCCTGGCACCCCCTGTGGGGGAATAAACACTGACCCCCAGCTTGGTGACTGACAGTGCGCCGGAGGCCAGGGAGGCCCACTGAGTGCCCAGCGGCCCAGTGCGCAGACAGGTGCTCACGGCTGCAGGGCAGGGGTGTGGAGGAGTTGCTAGTCTGGCTGGGCAGGTCTCCCCCACCCGCCGCCGGCTGAGCCACTGGGCAGCCCTCAGCAGGGACACGGGGTTCAGCACACCTGCCTCCGGGGCAGCTGGGGTGCAGGAGGGTGTCCCAGCCATTGGCTGCGGGTGCTGCAGTGCCCGGTGTGCGCCCAGCGAGAAGCTGCTGTACAGAATAGCCCCTGCCCCTCCCACTGCTCAGCCCCGCACCGTCACCGTGGCTCCAGCCTGGAGCTGCGGACTCCGGACAGGGCAGCTGAGCTCCGCCCCGCCCGGTCAGCGTGAAGGCCCCGCTGGCCTGCCAAGCCGTCCCTCCCCCAGGGACTCGCCCGAGAGTCAAGTGTCACCAGGGGCCAGACACGCCCAAAAGCCCACCCCTGGCTTGTGGGAGCCCCGGCCTGTCCCCACCCCTGGTGTTGGGGTCCCTTCCCAAGTACACAGCCCCCTTGGGGGAGGCTCCTCTCCACACACAGCCCCCGCCAGGTCCCTGGGCAGGCCTCGAGGCCCCTCTCAGCGTCTCTCCTCTAGCCTCGGGGATGGATCAGGGCCAGGGACGCCCGCCTGTGCCCGAGGGCGGCCTCTCCACACGTCTGGGCAGGGGCCAGGCGGGCCGCGGTGACCAGGAGCTCCCAGCCGGGGAGCCCCGGGCGTCCATCGGCGGGAGAGGCGGACGGCTGAGCCCGAGGTCTGCTGAGCCCGCACCACCGAAGGCTCCCGCAGCGGTGCGGGCCGGGCAGGGCCGGCGGGGGGAGCTGTGGGCTGCCACTGGGGCCTGACCGGCCAGCCGTGCCTCTGGCTCCCCCCACGCCTTCTCCGAGCTCTTGTGTCTGGGAGGTGTGTCAGCTCCCCCTGGACTAGGCTGTTTCGCGAAAGAGTTTCTGTTCCTGGAAGTGCACAGAACCTCCCTGGGCTGCCTCCCCCAGGGCCTCGACGCCCCGCCCGTGAGTTCGCCCATCTGTCGCCCCCACAAGCTGGACCACTAGCAGAACACAGGGACAGGCGAGGATGGGGGAGCGCCGGAGCAGCCCGGACACGTAGGGTGGGCAGCCGCGGGCTGCCCAAGCCAGCAGGCAGTGGCTCCCTGCCCTGTTCGCGCAGGTGGACAGGCAGGTCCTGTCCAAGCAGCTTGGCCGGAGCCTCGTCTGACTCCGCGGGGAGCCCCGGGCAGGCCCGCTCTTCCAGGTGGGGCCTTTGGCAGCAGCAGTGCCCAGGAGGACCGGGGGTCTCGGCCTCAGAGCCCGGCACGACTCTGATCGTGAGCCGTGTAGAGATACAGGTCCTTCCTCTTCCAAACGGTGCCACCTGAAGCTGGCTGCTGGGGCCGCCCCCCCGGCTGTGCAGGAGGCGGAGGGGGCACTAAGGCACTGCGGTGCCCCGGGCCCAGGAATGTGGCCAGAGTGGGCTGGAGGAGCCCAGCAGCCGTTCCGTCGCTGATAAACCACCAGGGCCCAAGTCCAGGCACTCAACAACCCCGTGGAATGAGAGAGCTGTTCAGAATGGAATTTTCTAAGGGAAAATTTTTAAAAATCCGAGTGGAGCAGAAATGTACACTGCTGGCTGCACGGGCAGGAGCCACAGGTGCCGGGTCACCCACAGACACCCCGACACACCCCAGGCCCCTCTGGAGAGCGGCTGTAAAAACTGACTTGGCGTGCTTCCCCGGAGAGCGGCGGCGCGGGGACTGCAGCTGCCAGGGCCCTGGCTGGGCTGTCCAGTGCAAATGAGGGCTGCAGCCTGCCAGCAGGGCGGGACACGGCCTTCACTCTGGGGGGTGCAGGGCTGCACCGGCCGGCTGGCCGGATAACAACACCCCCCACATGGGCACTCGCCCCCCCGGGGAGGAGGAGCAGGAGGACCCTTCTCCGACGGGCCCTCCAAGTCAGGCTGGCCTGGACCTCTGCAGCCCGAGCCATGAGGAGAGGCCAAGCCCTCCCCGCAAGTGCAACAGCAGAGGTGGCGGAGGGGCCGGGGGCGGGCTTGGTCACACCCCATCGTCGGGGATGGCCAGGGAGGGCCCGACGCCCCCCAGCCTGCGGGCCATGCTGATCAGTGAGCGCAGCTGCACCAGCTTCAGAGGCCCCACCTCCCGGGGGTCCTGGCTCTCCAGCCACCGCAGAGCGGTCTCCAGGCCCCGCACGGCCTCCTCCGCAGTGGGCACAGGAGCCCCACACTGGTCAACAGCCTCTTCCTCCTCCGCTACCCCCTCGATGGAGGCCGGGCCGGCTGGAGGTGGAGGGGCAGCAGGGGCCAGCGCGTGGGGCCGGCGGGGGCCGCCCTCTTCCCTGCCGCCGTGGGGCAGCCCCCCGTCGTCGTCCAGGTGCAGCCACTCGGCCACCTCCTCGGGCGCCAGGCGCTGGTAGGCCAGGGCTGCCAGGTGTGTGAGGTCGCTGAGCATCCTGCTGTGCTCTGCCGCCTCCTCCGCCTGGCCAGCCGGCTGGCCAACACAGTCCTCGGCCCGGCGGGGCTCGAAGGCCGCCCGCAGACCCAGCAGCCAGCAGCGCTCGATGCTGCCCGCCTGCACCAGGTCCCAGGAGAGGCCGGCCAGGTGCAGCATGTCCTTGAGCATGAAGCTGCGCATGAAGTCCAGCGGGGAGCCCCCAGCGCAGGACACGGCCAGCCGCAGCAGCTCCCGCTTGTACAGCTGCTTGAAGGCAGCCACCACGCCCTGCTCCAGCGGGGCCGGGATGTGCGGCCGGCTGCTGCCCTTGGACAGGAACAGCACCCGCACGGCCCCGTCAGGCGTCTGCAGCTCCTCCGGGGCGCCCAGGGGCTCAGGGCGACACCACCTGGGGGTCTCCTCGCTCTCCTCCAGGGCTGGCATCCTGGCGGCCAGGCTGGGGCAGGGTGGGTGGGCCACCAGCAGGACAGCCTTCTGCTGCAGGCAGCTGCGCCGCAGGTAGCGCCGGACGCCTGGGACGAACTCCTCGAAGAACCAGCCCCGCAGCAGCGGGCGGCTGAGCCAGGCATCAGGGCTGTAGCGGTAGGAGGCCGGGAACTTGTCCTGGTTGTGGTGGCGCAGGCTGGGTGGGTCCGGCAGCTGTCCAATGACCAGCGGCTTCAGCTTGTGGCTGCCGGTGAGGTTGGCGGCCAGCAGCACCGTCACCCGGTCCCCCGCCAGCGCGGGCGGCAGCCCCCGGGGGCCGCGGTGCCCAGGGGCGCCGTGTGCTCGGGGAGCAGCTTCCAGTAGAGGCCGGTGACGTTGGCGTTGTAGATCTGCTCGTCTCCGTAGCCGCCCTCGGCCGGCGCCGCCGGCGCTCGGGCTTGCTCAGGGGAGGCGCCGGCGCCCCCGGCCTGCGCCGGCTCCTGCTTGACGGGCGGGCCGGCGGCGGGGCCCGCGGCCAGGGGCTCGGCCTCGCCGTAGATGCGCTGGCTGGAGATGCCGTGGCGCTTCTGCCAGCGCCAGAACCAGCCGTGGCTGGCCTTGAAGGTGCACTCGGGCCCGTAGATCTGGCGCGCGAAGGCCTCGGCCTGCGCCTGGATGAGCGGCCCGGACAGCGGCACGCCGTGGCGGCGCAGCGCCAGGAACCAGGCGTACACGGCGCGGTCCACCTCCTCCTCGTTGGCCAGCCGCATCTTCTTGCGCCGCGTGCCCACCTCGCCGCCCAGCTGCTGCAGGAACCAGCGCAGCTTGGGCTCGTCCTTGAGCCAGCCGCGCAGCGTGCCGCCGGCACGCCGAAGTCGCGGCACACGCTGGCCTGCCGCTCGCCGCGCCGCACGCGCTCGATGGCCCGCAGCTTGTCCTCGATGGCGTAGGCCTTGCGCAGGGCCATCTTCGCGGCCACGCGGGGCCGCGGCGCGGGGGCGGCGCGCGCGCGGCCGGGCCCGGGCCGGGCGCGGGGGCCGCGGCGGCTCGGCGGGGCGCGCGGGCGGGGGCGGCGGCCGCGGTGCGGGGCCGGGCCGGCCGGGGGGCCCGCGGGGTGCATGGCGGCGGGGGCGGCGGCGGGGGCGCGGGCGCCATACGCGCGGCGGGCCGGGCGCGTGGGGCGGGGGGGGGCCGGCCGCGCGGCCCACCCCTTTGTCTCGCCGCCCGGCGGCGCAGGCGCCCCGCGTCACCCAGGCGGGCCGGCCGCCAGCCCCCCCCCCGCGTCACCCAGGCGGGCCGGCCGCCAGCCCCGCCCCCCGCGTCACCCAGGCGGGCCGGCCGTCAGCCCCGCCCCCCGCGTCACCCAGGCGGGCCGGCCGCCAGCCCCGCCCCCCGCGTCACCCAGGCGGGCCGGCCGCCAGCCCCGCCCCCCGCGTCACCCAGGCGGGCCGGCCGCCAGCCCCGCCCCCTCCGACGAGTCCACGGGCCGCGCCGCGGGGGGGTCGCCGGGCTGCGCCGCGGCGGCGGGCGGTTCGCTGCGCCCCTGCGGGGGGACGGCCCGAGCGGGCGCCCGCGGGGCCGTGCGGGTGCGCCCGCAGGGTCGTCGCGCTGAGGGCCTCGCGGCCGGGCGAGGCGAGCGGGCGAGCCGCTGCCCCCGCGACCCCGCAGGCGACGCGTGGTCGCGCCCGGCGCTTCATTTCCCGTGCGCGGCGCGCGCCGGCCTCCCTTTCCGCAGCCGCCCGCGCCGCCCGGCCCCGCCGCCGCGTCCTCGCCAGCGCGTGAGTACCGGGCCCGCCCCGGAGCCGCGCCCGCCCCTCCGCGCGCCAGGGCCCGGGCGCCAGTGCCGCCTGCCGCCACGCCGGGGGTCGGGGCCGGGGGCGCGCCCCGGGCGGGCGCGGGGGGCGGGGCCACGTGGCCGGCCGCTCCGGGCTTCGGGGCCCGCCTGCCGCCCCGCCCTCGCCCGGCCCGCCGCGCTGGCCCCTCGGCCCTGGCGGGGGCCGGCCCTGCAGCGCGCCCTCCTGCCCGGCACGGGTTTGCTGAGCACCTGCGCCCAGAGGGCCCGGCGCGACCCGGGGGCACCGCAGCGGGCCGGAATGAGTGGCGCGGGCGCTCGGAAGCAGCGCCCGGGGTCCTCCCGGGAACGGGGTCCTCCGGGAACGGGGTCCTTCTGGGAACGGGGTCTTGAGCGCGGCGGTCGGCCGAGGCGACGTGGATGCCGGTGTCTGAAGGGGCTGCGCCTAAGAAGGGACGCAAGCGGGCGCGGCAGGGGCTTTGGAGCCACGTGGAAGACGAGGAGGCTGCACTGCGGGGCTTCCAGGAGAGGGTCTCCCAATTTGGGGGTGTGCCTCCGTGGACACCTTGTAACCCCTTTGAGGGAGGAGCCTGGCCTGGGGCAAGAGAGGGGCGTCCTCTTGCTTGAGGCTGACCTGGGCACTGACCTGCATCCTGAGCCCCCAAACCCAGCTCTGTGGCTGTCTCCTGGGCAGGTATCTCCAGAACAGGCCTTCCTGGAGCCCCTGGGAACTGGCTTCCGTCCCACTGCTGTGGGGCACCCTCTGGCCAGGCCACCGTCCCTTCACTGGGGGGGGGTGTGTGTGGCAGGGTGTCCTGTGGCAGCCAGGGCTATGGCTGAGCGGGCACCCCACTGCTCTCGCTGCCAGGGCCTCCGTCTCTCCACCGGGGGCTGGTGAAGGTGGGTGTCGGTTCTGCTTCTGGGAGCAGGTGAGGTCCAGCTTCCACACAAGCTGCCTGATGGACGGGGGCGCTGTGGATGACAGTACCCTGAAGGTGACGCTCCTGCGAAGCCTGCTGGAGTCCCTCGGGCGTTGCTGTCCTCTGGCGCTAGGCAGGAGGTGCGGGCCTGAGCTTTCCCCAGCCTTGGCCCCAGGCCCACTTTTCAGTGACACTCACTTCAGTGTTGCAAGTGAGTGACACAGCAGGACACTGACGAGGCTGGGGTGGACACCAGCGCCAGGCCAGCCCCTGCCGCTTCTCCGCTCCTGCCCAGCTGCACGCCTGGCGTGCACAGGAGGGTCAGGCCATGGGGGCGGCTCACTGGTAGCCAGGGCTTGCGTTGGGGAACCTGCACCCCAGGGGAGTGACCTGCACGACCAGTGTGGGCCCCAAGGTGCAGGGATCCCTTTCTGTAGGGGTGGGGCTAAATGCCTGGGAGCCAATAGGCAATCGTCTGAATAGGAATATGGGAGTGTGGAGCGTCCCCCCAAAGAGAGACTAGGGATCTAGCGCCCTGAGTTGCCCCAGGCACACCTGGGCACCAAGGGAAGTGGAGCTGGCCTGGCTGGACACACCTGAACTGGCCCAGCCAGCAGCCTGGGGCTGTGCGTGGCAGTGGTGGGGGTGTGGCAGGGACTGCTGTGCTGCTCCAGGCCTCAGGGCTGTGAGGGTGGAGCTGGGGAGGCCTGGCTGGCCTTGCGTGCCCAGGCCTATGGGGTGCCCTCCTGGGCTGCAGCCCCCAGGCTTTGCCAGAGGCCTTGGGGTGTGGGCTGCACTGGGTTGGGCCACTCTCCACAGGATCACCTGCTGGGATGGCTACCTTCCCACGGGACCTGGTGCTGGGCAGAGTGTGGCCCTGCTGGGGCCTCCAGATCTTGGCCTGCAAGTGTGGCAGCCCCCCATTGGCGAGGTCTCTGTGTGCTCCACAGCCGGGCTGGGCCTTGGTGCAGTGGAAGGCAAGCAGCCGCAGCCGCTCGGCTCCTGGGTGGGGACAGGGAGCAGCGGGGCAGGCAGTTCCCCATGGGCAGTGGCTCTCTTGGACGCCTGGCCTTTCCGTCCAGCGGGTGGCACCAGGCCAGAGCCCCCTGCCCTCCCTTGCCGCATCCCTTGGGTGCTGTCCTCCGCCCCATGCCACTTCTCACGGGAGGCTTCCCCGGCGGGGCCTGTGGTGTCTGCGGAGCCCCCTTGCCTGGAGGCTCGCACTTGGAGTCTGCCGGGCCTGCTGTGTGCCCAGCCTCTGGTCAGCAACATGAGGGCCAGCGCCTGTAAGCGAGCAGCCTGTGGCCTCCTGGCCTCCCCAGCGGGGGCGTGGGGGGTGGCCTCCTAAGCTCCAGGTGCCATGGGTCCGGCCCAGGGTGAGCTGTGTCCCTGAGCACCCCCTTGGGGCACCTCCGGCCTGGACTCCGGGGCCTTCAGCTGCTGAGACCCCGGTGCTGCCCTGTCCACAGTGTCCGGCCCTCGTCCAGCAGCCCCAGCCGGGTGCGTGGGAAGGCACCCTGGCAGGCTCGTGTGGGAGCAGGGGAGGGTGCTGCTCCCCTGGGGCCTGCCTGGCCCCCAGGCAGCTGGTGCCTCCTGGGACTTCGGGGTGGGGCTCTGGGGCGCTCCTCTGCCCCCTCACCAAACTCGCTCCACCTCTCCGCGGCCAGCCGCCTCTGGGAGCCCTCCAGCCTGCGAGGGCCGCCTGCCTGCGCCTCTAACCATGCTGCTTTCTCTTCACGCTGTCCTAGGACACTAACACTGAAGTAAGTACTCGCGCCCTTCCCGGCCGCGGCCCGGCCCCCTCCCAGGAGGCTGGCTCTGGTCTCGTCCCGGGGGCCACGGGTCGCACCCGGTGTTTCCCTGGGTGAGCCGGTCACCCTGGTGCCTGCCGCCCTGCCTGAGGGCAGATGCTTGGCCACCGGAGCCTGGGCTGACGGGGCCTGGGCTGACGTGGGGCGGAGACCAAGTGCCTGAGGCCAGGGGTGTTCTGGCTGGGCCCAGCCCTGTCCCCCTGTTCTGGAGCCAGAGGTGCCCTGGAGCAGAGGTGCCCCGCCCGGGCCCGCTGCCGCCGGGACAGTGGGTGATGTCACAGTGGCCCGCCCGCCCGTGTGCCGGCCGCTGGGCGGAGAAGCGCGGCGCTGGCCGGGGGCCTGGCGTGGCCTGTGCCCTGGGCCCCTTGTCCCGGCTCCCCCACCCTGTGGCATGTGCCTGTAGCGGCCTTGGTGGACCCTCGAGTACAACGGGAGACCCCCCCGAGCCCCGCGGGCGCTGGCCTCGGTTGACACCGCCGCGGGGTAACGAGTGGGGCGCTGGTTTTCCTGTGGGGGTGTTAAGAAAGGGTTACGGTCGTACCCGAGGGGCCGCGGGCAGGGCTCCCCTAGAAACCGCTGGGGCGGGGGCTGTGTCCATGTGGGGGCTGGGACGCGGGGCGTCCTGAGGGTTGTCATTTGGCTCATTGCCCTGCTTTAGGGCACAGGCTCTGAGCCGGCCTGTGACCGGGCAGGAGCCATGGACCTGGTCCCCAGGCGTGGCCTCGGGGCCCTGGCTGCTGCCCCACTCCCTCACCTGTTGTCACAGAGGGGTTCTGGCTCACGCCCCGGGCTCTGGCGCAGACCAGAGCAGCCATGTGGGTGCAGGCCCCCCGGGAACCACGGGCTCCTCCCGCGGCGGCAGCAGCAGCGTCCTTCCTGCCCCCCCCCCCCCCCCGTGTGCCCGGGGTCTCCCCAGCTGCCCGCTGAGAAGCTGGCCGGTTTCTCGGGGCTTGGGAGGGGCAGGGGCATGGCCGACTGAGGAGCGGGCATCCTCGGGGACAGCCAGTGGGGTCAGCCCAGACGCAGGCCGGCTGGCTGCACCGACCTCAGCCGGCAGGCGGCGTTTCCATAGGCGCGCGTCCCGCACGGCCCCACCCTGCGCGAGGGGTGGCTGCGCTGCCGGAGGCTCGGGAAGGGCCGAGAGGCACCTGGGTGCGGCCTGGCGGCGTCCGCGCGCATTGGAGTCTGGCTCCCTGCATGTTGCCTCTTGGCGCCCCCACCGGGAGCGGCTCCCACCCCAGCATGTTAGTGGGGGGCCGGGCCCCGGCCCTGCGTGGCCCCCGGTGTTGCAACTGCCTTCTTGTGCTTGCTTTCTAACGCTGTGCGAAGATGAGGAGCGGGAAGGCCGCCTGCGCCCTGGGGACCGTCTGGGAGGCCGAGCAGAAGGACGGGGACGCCGAGCGGCGTGTCTACGAGCACCAGGCCGCGCAGGCCACTGCCCAGCAGCCCCCGGCAGGGGCGCCAGCCGAGGACGGGCCCCGCCGGCAGGGCGCCGAGGAGGCAGAGGCCCCGGGCGGCGGCAGGAGCGGGCCCGGGAAGGGCCGGGCCGGGAGGAAGCCCCTGCAGAAGAAGAGGAAGCGCTCCCCGCGGGGCGGGCTGGGCCGGGCGGACCTGGCCCTCGTGGGTCTCTCGGCCGACCACATCTGGCTGGACAAGCCGCTCTTCGACCGGGCGGAGCGCTCCTACCGCCAGAGGCTGGCGGACGCGGCTGCCCAGACTGCCTGGCCGCCTGCCCTGGCCCCCCGGAGCCCCTGCACCCACGGAAGCCAGGTGGCTTGCCACCACGTGACCTGGGGCATCTGGGTCAACAAGCCTGCCTTCGACCAGGCCGAGCGGGCCTTCGTGGAGTGGTCACAGGCCCTGCTGCTGGCTGCGGAGGGGGCCAGGCGGCAGGGACTGCCCAACACAGGCCAGCCGGCCTCTGCCCCCGGCCCGGCCCTCGCCTGCCAGCCCAGCCCTCCCCCAACGGCCAGCCCCCACGAGGCAGCCTGCAGGCGCTGGTGCGGGAGGTGTGGCTGGAGAAGCCGCGGTACGACTCGGCCGAGAGGGGCTTCTACGAGGCCCTGTTTGACGGCCACCCCCCCGGGAAGGTCCGCCTGCAGGAGCGTGCTGGCCAGGCCGAGGGCGCCCGGCGGGGCCGCAGAGAACGGCGGGGCCGCAACGCTGTGGGAGGCAAACGGGCCGGGCTGCGGCGGGCAGATGGCGAGGCACCCCCTGCCCTGCCCTGCTGGTACTTCCTGCACCGGGACGCCGAGGCTCCCTGGCTGAGCAAGCCCGCCTACGACAGCGCCGAGCACCGCCACCACGCCGCCGAGGCCCTGCGGCTGGCCTGGCGGCTCGAGGCTGCCTCCCTGGCCCAGCGCCCGGGGGCCGGCCTGGTCCAGCTGTGCCCAGCCTGAGACCCAAGTAGGAGACACTTGGGGGGGGCGGGCCCCTCGCACCCCACCCTGGGGGGCCCTGAGATGCGTGGACCCGCCGAGCAGGAAGGGTGGGCAGTCACTGGGAGCGCGTGGCCTTCAGGTCACCCCTGGGCTGCGCGGGCCCTGCTCTGCAGGGCGGGAAGGGGTCAGGCAGGGCTGAACCTGCCCCGTGTGCCGCCCCATCGGGACTGGGCAGCTCCCAGAGTGCCCCGGAAGTCCCATCTGCCCGCCCACCTGGTCACCTCTTCCCTCCTCGGAGGTAAGGTGGGTGTCCGGAGGCGGGCCGAGTACGCGGGTGTTGAGGGAGACTGGCCTCCAGCCTGGGGCCAGGCGTGGTGGTGCCCCAGGCGGGGCGGGGTGCTGGAGGGAGGCTGGGTGTGGCAGTGGCCGGTGCTCTGGCTGCAGGCCAGCGGGCATTTGGAGTCTCCCCTAGGCCTGGAGCCTGGAGGGAGCCCCCAGCTCCCCGTGAGGTGTGGATTTGCTGGTTCGATGGGACGTGGCCTTGGTGTGGGGCAAGCCATGGAACTGCAGTGTGGCGGGGGCCCGCAGCTGCTGGGGTAGCCGTGGCAAGTCACTGGACCCGGCCCTCTTGTCACCAAGTGGGACATGTGGGGCCCCGGGTCCTTGGCACAGAATGGGGGGTGCATCGCTTCTGTTACTCTTGGAGAGGGCCTAGACCCGTGGGGGAGGGCGTGGACCTCGGTGCAGCGGGGGATACGGAACTGTGAGTGTCCTGTGGCCTCAGGACATGAGGCCCATCAGGTCTCCGGTCTGCGAAGGCTCTCGTCACGAGCACCACGCGCTGTCCGCCCCAGAGCCTGGGTGGAGTGGCCATCCCGCCGCGTGGCTCTCAGCGGCGGTCAGCGGGGCGCTGGGTCTCCCGCCCTCTTCCGTGGTCTGGGGTGTAGACTGGGGGGTAGATTCAGCTCGGCACAGATGTGTGGCTGCCCGAGGGGGGCCCTAGGGAGCCAGTGGTCTTGGAGACCGCCCTGGGGGGGGGATCCCCCGGACCCTGTGCAGAGGGACCCCAGCCACGCTGAGCCTCCCTTCTCTCAGCAGGAAAATGGCCACGAACTTCCTCATGCACGAGAAGGTCTGGTTCGACAAGTTCAAGTACGACGACGCGGAGAGGAGGTTCTACGAGCAGATGGACGGACCTGCGGGCGCCTCGGCTCGCCAGGTAGGGGCGCGGGGCGGGGTCTGTGTGCCCGGCCGCCATCTCGGCTGCCACCCTCCGCCGAGCCCGGCGCAGCCCTTCCACTGTCCGCGCCGCGCCTCTTTTTTTTCAATTGAATTTTTTTTAATGAAAAAGACCGGCTCTTTCTGCACTGCCTGCAGGAGAACGGCGCCAGCGTCATCCTCCGGGACATCGCCAGAGCCAGAGAGAACATCCAGAAGTCCCTGGCCGGAGTGAGTACCGCGGCTGGCCCGCGGCGCTCCTCCTGTCCACCCGGTGGCCGGCCCTGGCCCTGGCCCGAACCCAGGCCCCGCCAGGCCTCCGCCCGCCGCCCCGCAGACCCGTGGCGCTGGCTGCGAGGACGCGCGGGGGCTCTGTGTTCCGCCGCCCTCGCCCTCCCGCGGCTCGCCGCGTCCCCGGCCTGTCTTGACTCTGAAGGCGCCGGCGGGGCCTGCAGGCCGGGAGGTGGGGCTCAGGCAGCCGCGTCCTCCCCCACCTCCAGAGCAGTCGGCCTCGCGCCGCCTCTCAACGCAGGGCGCTGTCCCGGCCTCGCTGGCCATGTGTCCCGGGGCTGGCCTCCCCAGAGGCACTAGGGGGTCTGCCGCCCTTGGTCTCCAGGGTCCCGAACCCCCCTTGCTGGCCGCGCACAGCAGCTCGTGCCGCGGCTGGGGGCGGCTGGTCTCCCACGTACTGGGCTGCCCGGGCCTCATGCCCCTCGTGGGCACCGCTCCCACGGAGGCCCGACTGACAGCTCCTGCCAGGGCGAGCAGCAGGCGGGCGAGGGGTGGATCTGCTGCCCCAGCCCCGCGCACAGCGGCCAAGTCCCCGGTGGCCCGGACGGCGCCTCGGGAGCGGCCCTGCTGGTGGGGCTGCCGTGCCGGGCGCCTATGTCTGAGCGCCCTTGGGCTGGCCGGACTGGCCTCGTGGCCAAGCTGCAGTGGCGCTGTGGGGGTGTCCCTGGGAGCCTCGCGAGAGCCCAGCCCCTAGACGGCCCTGGCGGGGTATGCGGGGGCCCCAGGTGCAGGCTGAGAAGCCCGGGCCTCGCTCCACGGTCCTGCCCCCATCGGAGGGCCGCTGGCCGCACCCTCCCGGGTGTTGCTCCCTGGGCTCTGGAGCTGAGCCCACGACCCTCATCAGTTACCCCGGGGGTTGACCGCTGCTTCCCTCCCCTTGTGCGCTGACTCTCTGGGGCCACACCCATCCCGGGGCCGCTCACTCCTGGCTCCCCACGCCTGCCAAGGCCGCGTGGCTCACGCCCCTCCAGACGCCGCCGCGCCCCGCCCCCCGCTCAGCACACCTTCTGGGACAAGGCCAGGGTGTCCTGTCTCCACGTAGCAGCTGTCCCCGGCTGTCCAGTTCTTGACACAGTGCCGAGCTCAACGTCCACGCTCCCTGCCTTGCCTGCATGGGCCCTGGGGCAGGCGCTCGTGTGGCCCCTTGGCCTGTGGGTGCCTCCCCGTGGCTCTGGCCTTGGCAGGGACACCTTTGGGCTCCTGCCGCCCCCGCCAGCCCCACCTGCCTTCCCACCTGCGCCTCGCTGGGCCCCGTGTCCAGGCCACGCAGACCCGGGCAGGGTGTCTGGCCGTCCTCGGCCCCGGTCTGGGGGCGGAGAGGTGTGGTGCCGGGGTTTGGGGACTAGACTCACCACCACTCTGGAGCCCATGGACTGGATTGGGCAGTTGGTGCCCAGGTCCTTGCCGGAGCCTGGGCATCCAGGGTGTGGTGCGAGCAGGGCCGGTGCCTCGGTGGTCTCTGGTCAAGGCTGCCTCGAGCGTCCAGCATCCCGTGGGAAATCACACGCTACGAGGGTGCTTTCCGGGTCCCTTTCTGGGGTGCTGGCCTGAACTCAGGGCCCAACGGCCCCCAGGCAGGTGTGGCCCCAGCCCTGTCCTGGATGAGGCGGGGCAGATTCCAGGAAGGCAGTGGCCGCCGTGCCCTGAGGGTGGGAGCTGCTGTCTCTGGGGCAGCAGGGCTGGGAGAGGAGCCCTGGCCCCAGCGTCCCTGCCGGCTGTCTCTGCATGGGCAGTGCTGGCTCTGCCTTGCCCGCGGGGCGGGGGCTGGCAGCCTGGTATGCTCTCTGGGCACCAGTGGGAGCGCCGGGGGGGGTGTGGGGTCCCTGGAGGGAGGCGCGCTGTGAGGTGCAGCCCACTTTTGGAGCGCGGCATCCCGGTGGCGGCGGTGGGGGGGGGCGCCCTGGACAGCGCTGCTGGGTCAAAGGGCAGCTTCCCCTTTGGGTGGAGGCGGAGGTGGCTGGCAACCAGCCTGGTGAGCGAGAGGGCAGACCTGGTGCTGCTGCCACACACGCCGTGCCGCCCCCGCCGACCTCAGCCGCTCTCCCCTCCCATTTTCAGCTCCAGGTGGCGCTGTCCAGCCCCCCTGAGGCCCCAGGCCGGGCCGCCCCAGGGACTGTAAGTCCTCCGCTTGCCCCCGCCCCCCAGGCGCCGCAGCCGAGTCAGAACCCTGTGCCGGTTGCTTTTTGCTTGGCTGAGGCCTGGAGGGGGTCTGCGCCGCCTTCCCCAAGACTGCCCTGCAGGCCTGGCGCTGTAGGACCCGCCCCTCGGGGCAGCGCGCATAGGCCGGCTGGCGGCAGCCTCTGCTTCCGAGTGGCTGTGAAGGGGCTGGGCCAGGCTGGATGCGGCCCTCATGCCCCCCTTCCTTGCAGGGCGCCGGCCCGGGGCCTCCAGTGGGCCTGGCGGGGACCACACCGAGCTGGCTGTGCGCATCGCCAGCCTGGAAGTGGAGAACCAGGGCCTGCGAGGCGGTGAGGCCCTGGGCGGCCCTGGCCTGGGTGGGTCCCCTGGCCTGGGTGGGCCCTCCCTGCCTGACTCTTGCCCCCGCGCCCCCAGTGGTGCAGGACCTGCAGCGGGCCGTCGCCAAGCTGGAGGCCCGGCTGAGCGCGCTGGAGAAGAGCTCACCTGCCCACCGGGCCACTGCGCCGCAGACCCAGGTGAGCCGCGGGCCGGGGCTGCGCGGGGCCCAGGGCCTGGCCGCCCGGGCCTCACCTCCCTCTCCCACGTCAGCACGTGTCCCCCATGCGCCAAGTGGAGCCCCCCGCCAGGAAGGCGGCCACGGCCACGGAGGATGACGAGGATGACGAGATAGACCTGTTCGGCAGCGACGAGGAGGAGGACAAGGAGGCGGCGCGGCTGCGGGAGGAGCGGCTGCGCCAGTACGCCGAGAAGAAGGCCAAGAAGCCCGCGCTGGTGGCCAAGTCCTCCATCCTCCTGGACGTCAAGCCTGTGAGTGGGGGGGCCGGGGGGCGGCGGGGGGTGGCCCCTGGGCCCGGGGCCTGAGCCGCTCTCCCACCCGCAGTGGGATGACGAGACGGACATGGCCCAGCTGGAGGCCTGCGTGCGCTCCGTGCGGCTGGACGGGCTGACCTGGGGTGGCTCCAAGCTGGTGCCCGTGGGCTACGGCATCCGCAAGCTGCAGATCCAGTGCGTGGTGGAGGACGACAAGGTGGGCACGGACCTGCTGGAGGAGGAGATCACCAAGTTTGAGGAGCACGTGAGTGGCGGCTGGGGTGCGCAGGGGCGGGGCTGGGGGCCAGGCGAGCGCATGCTCTGACCCCCCGCCCCTCCCTCCGCAGGTGCAGAGCGTGGACATAGCGGCTTTCAACAAGATCTGAGCGCGGGCCGGTGGGGGGGGGGCCTGCAGCCATTAAAGACAGATTCTGCCTCCTCCCGGCTCCTGTCCTGTCTGGGCCCTGGCGGGCGGATGGGCGGCACCACCCCACTTGGCCCGGCCCCCACTGGCCTGCATCTCCCTGGGCTCATGGGCCTGTTACTCCAGCCCTGGGGCCCCAGAGGCACGGCCAGGCCTGCCCGTCAGCCTGTCCACGGCCACCCTGTGGCTGTGGCCTGGCAACGCTGGCCTCTCTCCCCTCTTCGCTGGCCTTTGGCCTGGGTGTCCAGGTGGGGCTGGGCAGCACGTGCACAGGTGGCATCAGCCTGCCAGCTCCTCTCCCTGCTGAGCCGTCCAGGACTCCAGTGCCGCCCGGGGCTGTCCTGGGGGAGCGGCTGCAGTCCCTGCCCAGGCTGGTCCTGCGTGGGGCCCGTGGGCTGCCTCCCTGCCCCCGCCCCTGGCAGCAGCTGGGGGCCCGTGGGCCCTCTGCCCACTTGGCCAGCACAGCTGTTGACAGCCCCGCTGAGGAGAAAGGGCGTGGGCTGCAGGGACACTGGTGGGAGCAGGTGGCTGCCAGTGGCCTTTCGTTTGGGGGACTCGGGGACACTAAGGCCTGAACGTTTGGGCGTCCGCTGGTGGAGGGCAAAAAGGCCCCCTCAGCCCTGCAGGGGTGCCGGCTGCCCCCTGGGCCAGAGGTGGGGCCGTGGGCGGCAGGGGCTCCGGGTGGGGCAGGGGCAAAGTTTCGCTGGACCAGGAGTTGCCGCGGCCTCCCCTCCACCCCTGCGCCGGTTCCAGGCGCGGCAGCCTGGCCAGAGCCCGCGGGTGCCCGAAGGGGCCCCTGCTGACCAGCGCGGGCAGACACGCCCCCGCGTCCAGCCACTGGCGCTCGAGCGCCCCGCCACCGGCCGCCCCGCCCCGCGTGTCCCCGCCCTCCGCCGCCCTGAGCCCGTTTTAGGCCCAACTGCGAGCCGAGTGGCGGCGCGGCCCGCGGGGGCGGGCGGGGCGGGGCGGGGCGGGGCGGGGCGGGCGGCGGCGAGATGGCGGAGGAGCCGGACCCCGAGGGGCGCGCGGCGGCGCGGCCCCTGCTCACCGACCTCTACCAGGCCACCATGGCGCTGGGCTACTGGCGCGCGGGCCGGGCGCGGACCCGGCGGAGTTCGAGCTCTTCTTCCGCCGCTGCCCGTTCGGCGGCGGCTTCGCCCTGGCGGCCGGGCTGTCCGACTGCGTGCGCTTCCTGCGCGCCTTCCGCCTGCGGGACGCAGGTACCGCCCGCCGCGCCCCGACGGCGCCCCCCCCCCCCCCCCGCGCCCGTCGCGCCCCCCGCCGCGCCCCGTCGCGCGCCCCGACGGCGCCCCCCCCCCCCGTCGCGCCCCCCGCCGCGCCCCGACGGCGCCCCCCCACCCCGCGCCCCGTCGCGCCCCCGCCGCGCCCGACGGCGCCACCCCCCCCCCCCCCGTCGCGCCCCCGCCGCGCCCCGACGGCGCCACCCCCCCCCCCGCCCCGTCGCGCCCCCGCCGCGCCCCGACGGCGCCCCCCACCCCGCGCCCCGTCGCGCCCCCGCCGCGCCCCGACGGCGCCACCCCCCCCCCCCGCCCGTCGCGCCCCCCGCCGCGCCCCGACGGCGCCCCCCCGCCGCGCCCCTTCGCGCACCCCGACGGCGCCCCCCCCCCCGCCCCGTCGCGCCCCCCGCCGCGCCCCGACGGCGCCCCCCCACCCCGCGCCCCGTCGCGCCCCCGCCGCGCCCCGACGGCGCCCCCCCCCCCCCGCCGCGCCCCGACGGCGCCCCCCCCGCCCCCCCTGCCCCGTCGCGCCCCCCGCCGCGCCCCGACGGCCATCCCCCCCAACTCCACCCCCTCCCAACGCTGCCGCTGCCTCCTGCCCCGCGCCGGGCCTGGGCTGCCGCCTCCCCCTGCGCCCCTGCAGTGGCCACCGCGCTCTGGGCCCGCCGCCTCGCCCGGCCACCCTCCCCCGCGCCCCTGTGGCTCCGCTGCAGCCGCCCTTGCCCATCAGACGCCGACCCCACCCAGCAGAGACCGCAGCCCCCAGGCTCCCAAACCAGCTTTCCCAAGAGGCTCCCAGCATGGGCCGCCCCCAGCCTGGCGCCGCACAGCCCAGAGGGCCTGTCTTCCGCAGACGTGCGGTTCCTGGCTTCTGTGCTGCCCCGAGACACGGACCCTGCCTTCTTCCAGCACCTCCGCACGCTGGACTGCTCCGGGGTGACCGTGCGGGCCTTGCCCGAGGGCTGCCTCGCCTTCCCTGGGGTGAGTGCCGGGCGCAGGCAGCAGGGTGCGCCCAGGGAGCTGGCGCGGCTGACCACCCTCCCTGCAGGTGCCGCTGCTGCAGGTGTCAGGGCCGCTGCTGGTCGTGCAGCTGCTGGAGACGCCCCTGCTCTGCCTGGTCAGCTACGCCAGGTGGGCCGCTGTCCGTGCCAGGCCTGGGGCTGCCCTGAGGCCCCAACGTGGCCCCCACCAGGGCTCGGCCATCAGGGTGGGGTTGTGGCTCCAGTGGGGCCATGAGCGCCCCTGGGTGGACAGCGGGTCACCCCATGGGGCCCCCTCCCAGGAGCAGGGTCTGTGGGGGCCTGGGCCCAGGGCGAGGGTGGAGCTCTCCGGGGTTGGCCTCATGCCCTGCTCCCCTGACCCGCTGCTCCACCAGCCTCGTCGCCACCAACGCTGCACGGCTCCGCCTGATCGCGGGACCAGAGAAGCGACTGCTGGAGATGGGGCTGCGGCGGGCGCAGGGGCCCGATGGGGCCCTCACGGCCTCCACCTACAGCTACCTGGGCGGTGAGGCCGGGGCGGGAGGCTGGGGTGTGGGAGGCGGAGGCTGGCGCCCGCCTGAGGTTACCTAATCTTCTGCTCCGGCCAGGCTTTGACGGCAGCAGCAACGTGCTGGCGGGACAGCTGCGAGGAGTGCCCGTGGCCGGGACCCTGGCACACTCCTTCGTCACATCCTTTTCAGGCATTGAGGTGCCCCCTGACCCGGTCAGTGTCCCTCTCCCCTCTCTGCTCCAGGGAGCAGCTGCCCAGGCCAGCCCTCGCTGGGAGGGGCTGGCCAGACCTCGCTGGGTACGCGGGCAGAGGCCACACCAGCCTGGGAGCTGCCACACGGCTCAGCCTCACCCCGGTGGGCCAGCCCGCTCTGCCCCAGGCCCCAGGCCCCTCCCGTGGGCTCCCTGGACCCCTCTCCTCATAGATGCTGGCTCCAGCTGCCGGTCAGGGCCCCAGCGTGGACCTGCCCGAGCGCGTGGCAGTGTGGCTACAGCGCGTGTGTGCCCACCTGAGGCTGGGCCTGCAGGAGCCGCACCCGGGCGAGCGGGCAGCCTTTGTTTCCTACGCCCTGGCCTTTCCCCGGGCCTTCCAGGGCCTGCTGGACACCTACAGCGTGCGCAGGTGAGGCTGGGCAGCGCAGGGCAGCTTGGGAGCCCCGCACGGCTCCCTCCATGCCTGTCTCTGCCCGCAGGAGTGGTCTTCCCAATTTCCTGGCAGTGGCCCTGGCACTGGGGGAACTGGGCTACCGGGCAGTGGGCGTGAGGCTGGATAGCGGCGACCTGCTCCAGCAGGCCCGGGAGATCCGCGGTGTCTTCCGGGCCACCGCAGCCCAGTGAGTCCAGGGGAGGCCTGTGTCCGGAGCTCGGCGGCCGCGGCAGGCCAGGGGCAGCAACCAGGGGGGGTCCCGCCTGGGCACCCCCTGGGCGAGGGGATGTGCCTGGTGGGGAGGCCAGTGGCGGCTCGCCTGGGGCCGCCTCGGGCTCCTGCCACAGGCCAGAGCGGGAGGTCTCAGCGGGTGCTGGCGTGACGAGCGCGCGCAGCGGCTGAGGCCGCTGACCTGCAGGTTCCAGGCACCCTGGCTCGAGTCGGTCCCCATCGCTGTCAGCAACAACATCGATGAGGGGGAGCTGGCCCGGCTGGCACAGGAGGTGGGCGGGCCGGGCGCGGCCGGGTGGCGAGTGGGGGCGGGGCCCTGGCCTGGAGACCCACCGGCCGGTGCCACCTCCTCTCCTGCAGGGCAGCGAGGTGAACATCATCGGCATTGGCACCAGCGTGGTCACCTGCCCGCGGCAGCCATCCCTGGGCTGCGTGTACAAGGTGGGGCTGCGCCCAGGGCTCGGAGGGCGGCAGGGGCCCTGGGGAGGCCCCGCTAACCCCCCCTCCTGCAGCTGGTGTCCGTGGGCGGCCAGCCGTGCATGAAGCTGACCGAGGACCCGGAGAAGCAGACACTGCCTGGGAGCAAGAGCGCCTTCCGGCTCCTGCGCTCGGATGGTTGGTGAGCTGCCCCCTGGGGCCCTGCAGGCCCAGGCCCCCCGTCACCCCCGGCTCTCCCCCAGGGTCTCCGCTGCTGGACCTGCTGCAGTTGGCAGAGGAGCCACCGCCACAGGCTGGGCAGGAGCTGCGGGTCTGGCCGCAGGGCGCCCGGGAGGCCTGTGTAGTGAGGCCAGCTGACGTGGAGCCGCTGCTGAGAGTCTGGGTCCAGCAGGGACAGGTGGCCACCACCCCCAAGCCCCAGGCCTGCGCCTCTGGCAGCCCAGTGGTGCCCTGGCCTTGACCCGCGCCTCTCCCTCCCTCCCCGCAGCTGTGCCAGCCCCTCCCTCCCCTGGCCGAGTCCAGAGCCTTCGCCCAGACGTGCCTGGGCCGCCTGGGCCCCCAGCACCTGCGGCTGCAGCAGCCAGCCGAGTACCAGGTGGGTGTGGGCTGGCCCGCGGGCCCCGTCCCCCCACCGCCCAGCAGCGCACCCACCCCGTCCTCTCCTCCCTGCAGGTGGTGCTGTCTGAGAAGCTGCGGGCCCTGGTGGACAGACTGGGGGGCGCCCCGCTGCCCTGAGTGCCCCCCGGCCTGCCTGGGAATAACACTCGCTGTCCCCACCTCGAGTCCTGTCGTTTCTGCGCCCCGCCTGCCGCATATGCGGCCCGCTGCGGCCCGCTGGGCAGGAGGACGGAGTCACGGAGTCACCGAGGGCGGTTCTGGGGAGGCCCCGCTGCGGGGAGGGCCAGGGGGAGGGCCAGGCCGGGCTGTGCTCCTGCGGGAACTGAGCTCTGGGCCGGCCTGAGGCTGGGGGGAGCGGAGCAGGGAAATGGGTGGCCGCCACCTGCGGCGGGAGTGACCGCGGGTGGGGGGCCCAGGGCAGGACGGGGTGCTGTGCCCAGCACCACCCCGGATTCTACCTGCCGAGGGCGCTGCCCCCTGGATTCAGCTTCAGTGGAGCCTCTCGAGCCTTCAGAGTCGAGGGGAGCCCAGGTGCCCTTGCCACAGCCAGCCCAGCGGGGGCCCCGGGCCCCGCCACCAGGCTCCCCGGCCCTGCCACCCGCCCGGGCCTGTGCATCAGAGAGCCGACACCGGAGCGCTGCGTCCTGAGGAGACCCCCAGGGGTCCGCACCTGCGCCGGGCGTGCTGGGTCCTGTGCCTGGGCAGCAGTGACCTCAAGCCTCCGTGACCTTGCACCTGGGCTCCCGGGCACTTGGGAGCTTCCCAGGACAGGTCTGGGAACCCCAGGACACAGGGCAGGGCTGGCCTCTCCCCTCCGGGTGGCACAAGCAGGCAGGCGAGGGCGTGTGGGAATGCGGAGTGTCTGGGGTGCTTCCGGCAGCACTTCTGCCTGCCTCGGAATTTGGCCCGACCGGCTCTTCTGGCTCCCCAGGGCTCCGGCTGGGCAGGGCCCGAGCTGCTGGGCGAGGTGACCTGGGGTTCAGGGCAAGGCCTGGTCTGCCTGTTCTGGGGCGCCTGAGCTGGAAGAGAGACATTCACACAAGCACACCCATGAGATGTTCCTTCTCGGGGCACCCTTCCTGAGCACCAGCACCCCAAAGTCCTCCCAATAACGGCGGGCACCTGCCAGAGCCCGAGCCCCAGCCAGGCGCCGCCCAGCCCCCAGGCCCACCCAGGGCACCCTGCCGGCCGAATGCTGAGTCAGGCTGAGCCTCCCGTGCAGGGCCCCGACTTCTGGATTCTGCTGGGGTGTCCTCAGGACTGTGCACAGCTGCCTGGGGTCCCCCGAGAGAGGGCCCTGTCTCCCCCTGTCCTGATACTTCCAGGGCCCTAGGGTGCAGCCCGGCCGCGCATGGGCTCGGAGCCAGAGGGAGACCAGGCACACGCCCCGGCCGCTCCCCACCCCCACACAGCACGCGCACGCCCCGCCCGCGGCCGGCTTCTAGGTCAGGCCCGGGCACGACTTCCTGGAGGACCAGCGGCCGGCGCGCCAGGCTGAGCCCACCGGAGCGGGTGTGCGTGGAGGCCATGGCTGGGGGCGTGTGGGGCCGGGCCCGGGGGGCTCCGGTGGGAGCCCTGACCCTGACGGCTCTGGCTGAGGGGATCCAGGCCAAGCAGGGGCCGCCCCAGGGCCCCCTCTGCGTGGGCTGCCCGCCCGAACCCGAGGCGGAACCTGCAAGTGCCCCTGTGGCCCCCACAGCGGGCAGCGAGCCCGGCTCCCCGTCCTGTGCCCAGGAGCCGGCCCCCGAGGGGCCCCGGCAGGTGAGGGAGGGAGGCTGGGGTGGAGTGGGGTGGGGTGGGGCTCGGGATGGAAGGGGAGCGACGGTGGGGTGGCGTTGTGGGGGCCGCGGGATGGCTGAGCACTGGGGAGGAGGCGCGGGGGAGGCAGGGGTCCCTCCTACCCCTCCGCCCTGCCCTAGGTCCCCCAGAGCTCCTGGGAGGAGGGCGCCCTCGCCGACCTGGCGTTGTACACAGCGGCCTGCGTGGAAGAGGCCGGCTCTGCGGGCACCCAGGCGGCCGCGCTCGCCCTGTCCTCAGCCCTGCAGGCCCAGGGGACGCGGCTGGAGGACCAGGTGGGCCCACCCCGCCCTGCCCGGCTCCCGCCTGTCCTGTCCACTGTGGGGGCTGGAGGACAGCCTGAGGGCAGGCCTGCCTCTGCCCGCTCCCTGCTGGGGGTGCAGGGGCCTGGCCACTGACACCTGCCTGCCCCGCCAGGTGCGCGCCCTGGTGCGCGGGCTGCTGGCGCAGGTGCCCAGCCTGGCCGAAGGCAGGCCCCGGCGGGCGGCCCTACGGGTGCTGAGCGCCCTGGCCCTGGACCACGCACAGGACGTGGTGTGCGCGTTGCTGCCCTGCTCGCTGCCGCCCGACTGGTAACTGCCCCGCCCGCGGCCGCCCCGCAGCCCCACGCGGCTTCCTTCCCCTTCCCGCTGGGCCTGGACCTACTCCTGGGTCATGGAGGGGGCAGATCCCTGAGCTCCCTCCCTGCTGGACCCCCGCCCCCCTCGGGCCCTTGGGCGGGGCCCCTGGAGGCCAGCCAGGTGGTCTGCGCCGCCCTGGCACTTCGGCTGGCCCCAGGAGACGTCACCTCTGGTGTATCCTCTGCACTGCCAGGTCTGTCCACTGCCCAACTTGAGGGGCCCCAGCACCCAGCCAGGCTGCCTGCTCCAGGACCTGGCTCCATCGGGGCAGACAGTTGCCACGGTCTTCTTTCCTTGGGGATGGGGTCGGGGGGCGGGGGGGCTCTCTTGCCCACCATTGCTGGCATCCTAGAGGCCCCTCCACCGGGCCTGGGACACCCTCCAAGCCCCCCAGCCCTGACCAGTCCCACTGGCCGCACCTCCAGGGCAGCGGCCGAGCTGTGGCGCAGCCTGAGCCGGAACCAGCGTGTAAATGGGCAGGTGCTGGTGCAGCTGCTGTGGGCGCTGAAGGGCACCTCTGGGCCGGAGCTGGAGGCCTTGGCGGTAGGTGCCCGTGGCTGGGTGCTGGGCCAGTCCCTCCCAGGGCCTGGAGGGCCAGAGGGGGTGGGCCGGACCCAGTCACGTCCCCACCTGGCAGCCGCCGAGCTAAGCAGGCCGCTTGCTCCGCAGGCCACACGGGCCCTGGGGGAGATGCTGACCGTGTCCGGCTGCGTGGGCGCCACGCGGGGCTTTTACCCGCACCTCCTGCTGGTGCTGGTCACCAAGCTGCACGAGCTGGCACGGGGCGCCTGCTCCCCTGACACCCCCAAGGCCCCGTTGCACCGAGGGCCACCCCACAGCCACGCCAGGTGAGAGACCGCGCTGTGGGGAGGCTGGGCCCGCGCCGCCCGGCCTCACCCTCGCCCGCTGCCCCCGCAGCTGCGCAGTGGAGGCCCTGAAGGCCCTGCTCACCGGGGACGGCAGCCGCATGGTGGTGACGTGCATGGAGCAGGCGGGCGGCTGGCGGCGGCTGGCCGGCGCCCACACCCACCTGGAGGGCGTCCTGCTCCTGGCCAGGTGCTGGGCGGGAGGGGGGCCGGGCCGGGGAGGGGGCTCCCGCCTGCGGGCCCTGAGCCGGCTTCCCGCCCTGCAGTGCCTTGGTGGCGCACGCTGACCACCACCTCCGCGGCCTCTTCGCCGACCTGCTGCCCCGCCTGCGCAGCCCGGACGAGGCCCAGCGCCTCACCGCCATGGCCTTCTTCACTGGGGTGAGCTCACGCCCGCGGGGAGGGCCGGGCAGCGGGGAGGGGGCGTGCTGACCGGGCCTCGCCCACGCAGCTGCTGCAGAGCCGGCCGACCGCGCGGCTCCTGCGGGAGGAGGCCATCCTGGAGCGGCTCCGCGCCTGGCAGGGCGACCCCGAGCCCACCGTCCGCTGGCTGGGCCTGCTGGGCCTGGGCCACCTGGCGCTGAACCGCGGCAAGGTGAGGGCGGCCCGGGCGGGCGGGCGGGCGGGCGGGCGAGGGCTGCGCACGAGTGTCTGTCCCCGCAGGTGCGGCACGCGAGCACGCTGCTGCCAGCGCTCCTGGGCGCGCTGGGCGAGGGCGACGCGCGGCTCGTGGGCGCTGCGCTGGGCGCGCTGCGGAGGCTGCTGCTCCGGCCGCGGGCACCCGTGCGGCTCCTGAGCACCGAGCTGCGGCCTCGGCTGCCACCGCTGCTGGATGACGTGAGCCCCGCCCCCGGCCCCCCACCGGCCCCAGACGCCCCTCCAGACCCCTGCACTCCACTGCACTGACCCGCCCTCCCACGCAGGCTCGGGACTCGGTGCGCGCCTCCGCCGTGGGGCTCCTCGGGACGCTGGTGCGGCGGGGCCGGGGTGGCCTCCGGGTGGGGCTCCGAGGCCCCCTGCGGAGGTTGGTGCTGCAGAGCCTAGTGCCACTGCTGCTGCGTCTGCACGACCCCAGCCGGGATGCCGCCGAGGTCCGTCTCTGTCCCCAGGCTGCGCCCCCCACCCCCCACGCGACTCACCGGCTCTGCTCACCTGCTCTCTCCGCAGAGCACAGGGCGGGGCTTGGGGGGGTTCCCTCCAGTTCCCGGGGTCCTGGTGGGGGCAGGCCATCAGGCTCCTCTGTCCCCAGCTGGCCACCCCCCAGCCACCTGTTGCTACTTTCTGGACTGGCTAATCCTGCTCCCCCCCACCCCCGTCACAGAGCTCTGAGTGGACCTTGGCCCGCTGTGACCAGGCCCTGCGCTGGGGCCTGCTGGAGGAGATGGTCACTGTGGCCCACTACGACAGCCCCGAGGCCCTTAGCCGTGTCTGCCACTGCCTGGTCAGTGGCACTGGGGCAGTGATGGGTGTGGTCAGTCGCCCAATTGGTCCCCCGCACCCCGGGCCCCTGTCCCCAAAAGGGAATCTATCTTTCCCACAGAGGCCGTGCCAGGTCTGAGGCCTTGGCCCCAGTGCCCTGCCCTGGGGCTCCCGGGGGATGCCAGCCCTGGGCTCACCTGCAGTCTCCTGTCCACGCAGCATCGACCCCTGTCCCACCATGAGACCTTCCGTCCCCAGGTCCAGCGGTACCCGAGCCACGTGGCCTGCTTCCTGAGCCAGACCCAGGGCTACCTCCGGAGCCCGCAGGGCCCCCTGCGCCGGGCGGCTGCTGTGCTCCTGGGTGAGCTGTCCGGGGGTTGAGTCCCGGAACCTGCCTGGGGTCCCAGGGTGTGGCGCTGCCCCACGGGAGGGCCAGCGCTCACAGGTCTGCTTTATCCCAGGCTTCCTGGTTCACCACGCCAGCCCCAGCCGCATCAGCCAGGGGCTGCTGGACTCCCTGTTCCAGGGTGAGGACCCCACCGCCAGCGTGAGGGTCGGAGGGGCGGCGGGTGCAAGGGCGGAGCAGATGGGAATGACCTTGGCTGGCCCCGCCCTACCTGAACTGCTCTGTCCCCGCAGACCTGGGGCAGCTGCAGAGTGACCCCGAGCCCGCCGTGGTGTCCGCGGCGCAGGTGTCCTCCCAGCAGGTGGCGCTGCTGGCCCGTGCACAGGGCCGACTCCCCGCCCGGCGCCTGGTCCTCCTGGCCCTCCTGGCCCGGCTGGGCCGCCGCAGCCCCCCACCCGCCCGCCCGGCCCCAGTCTATGCAGACAGCCCCTTCCAACGCCGGAGCCGGGCTGGCCGCTGGGGCTGCCCCGGGCCCAGCTGAGCCTGGCCCCTCCAGCCTAGCTGCGAGCCCCAGGGCTCTGCTGCCCTATGGGGCCAGAGGTCTGAGTCAGGCACACCCCGCTACATGGTGGCCCGTCCTGGCCCAGCCAGCTCTGAGCAGACACCAGCTGGGGGGGCACCCTCCGTCTGGTGCTGGATGCCAGTGCCCCCAGGCCTGCCGGGGACCCCTGCAGCTCACGCACTGCCCTGTGGGTCCATCTGCTCAGGCCTGGGGTCTCCCAGGCCCCACTGCTCTCGAGCCCATGCCTGAGGGAACACGGCTGGCACCCTGAGAGGCCCCCCCCCCCGTCAGCGCCTCCCTGCTGGCTATCACCCGCATCCTGCGCCCCTCTCGCTCGCCTCTGCTCTCGGGCCTCGACCTCCCCGCCCAGACCGCGCAGGCCTACCTGGGGGGCCTTCCATGGAAGGGGCCTGCCTTCCACCTGGGGCCAAGGCCTGCGGGTTCAGGCATGGGTTGTGCCTCTGCACCCGCTGCCTGCACCCCCGACCACCCCACCTTGCACTGTGGTGGGTGGCCGGTGCGTGGAGAAGACGCCCCTGGGGGTCTCCAATCAGCCGTTTCTCCCGGCCAGGGTAGACCACCCACAGCCTCACCGAGGTGTCCCGGTGCCCTGCCCACCGCAGGGCTGCCCCCCCCCGCCCCTCCACGGGGCTGCTTCACACAGCCCCGGGGGCCCTCGGAACAGGCGGGCTGTCCTGCCCGCCCCCATGGGCAGCGCTTACAATAAACACACGTGGACTGTGGGCACAGCTGTTTGGGGTCCAGCCCGGTGGTCCTGACCAGCAGAACCGGGGCCCCAGCAGACTCCAGGGCAGTTGCGGGCCGTGGGGCAGGGGGTGGTGGGGCGGCCGGCTCGGCGGCGAGCAGGCAGGGCCGGGCCGGCTAGGTCAGGCAGGGCTGCGCGGCTGGTGCCGGTAGATGGTCAGGCTCCGCCAGGCGGGACGGGGCTGTCTTTGTGGGCCACTCCAGGGTGGGAAGGGCCAGCCGAGGGTGCGGTCTGCCCTGACTAGAGGCGTGGCGGGTGTTTCACTCTCCAGGGCAGATACTGAGACGAGATTAAACCTACAAACAGCACAAGGGCTGGCGAGGGCATCGGACCCGGGGAGGGAGGGGGTGGGAGCGGCCTGGTGCCCTGTGGCCTTTGGAAGTCCAGCCTGGCAGGGAGGCGGCGGCCCAGACGCTGAGCCTGCCCAGCCTGCCCCTTCCTCTGGTCTCGGTGGCTGTGAGAGTGTCCCCCCGGCCCCTGACTCAGTCCAGCCTGGCCTGGGCCTGGCCGGGCAGCCCCGACGGGCAAAACCACTGGCAGCCCAGGACACAGTGGTGAGTGTCGCCGCGCCGAGGGCTGCGTGTCCAGCCTGGGCGGAAAACCCTGTCTCCCAGCTGCCTCACCCCGCCCGGGAGTCTGGCCTGGCACGTCGGGCAGGCCCCCCCAGCCGCCTGCTCCACCCGCAGACAGAGCCACGGGGGCGCCCTCCCAGGCCAGAGGGGGTCGGGGGCCACCCTGATGCTCGGCCCCCTGGGGCCAGGTCCTAGCGGGGTCCTAGCCCGAGGCACAGGGGCCCCCCAAGGGGTTGGCGCTGGGTCCCACACCCAGCCTGGCTGCCGGCCCTGTGGCTCCCTGGGGGGCCTGGGGAGGCCCCGGCTTCACCCCGTGGGGAGTCACTCTCTGCAGCCTGATCTGGGGCGCAGTTCCCTCCATCTTTGGTTTTTCTTTCTCGCTTTAAGTTTCTGATTGCAGATTCAGGACGATGTGCCGTTCTTGGCGAGTCACGCAAGTGACTCACTTAGTCACGTTTCCAATAAAACTAAAAAGCGGAAATACCACAAGTGCCAGAAACACGGTAGCAGCGTCTTCTTGGTGCTAACCCTGGTCCCTGGTGGGCTTCTTGGGGGCAAATTCTTGGCAGAGCGGGCCTCCTGTCCTCCTGTCCTCCTGTCCAGGGCACCGTGGCGCCTGCGAGGGCTCCACAGAAGGGTGGGGACTCCTGCGACCCCAGGCCTGGGAGGTGTCTCGAGAGACTGATTCCGGGCAAGCACCCGGGGCTGCCACCGCCCCCCCCCAGCCGTGTCTCCCCAGGGGCCTGCGGGGCGCCCGGGGTGTGGGGCCATGCCTGTCAGCCACGCCTGCTGTGGCCGAGCAAGCCCCCTCGCTGCCCGTCTGCTCTGGAAGCAGGATAAGACGGCCCTGAACTGCCTCCCCGCCCTGAACTGACCACGAGCTCCCCGGGAAGGCTGGGTGCCAGGTCCCCGGGTCCCAAGGGTGGCAGGGTAGGAGCGAGCCCTGGGGGAGACGCCTGCTCTTGGCCCTACGGCCCTCCCCTGGCCCAGGGCCCCTCAAGAACACAGTGACCTCCAGCCATTCGCACATGGTGTTTATTCAGCCCCGAGTCCACAACCGTGGCGAAAGGCCACCGGCCGCTGGGCTTTGTCCTTCCTGGGCTGCCAGCAGGTGGGCGCTGTGCAGCTTGGCCAGGAGAGGTGCCTGATGCAGGCCAGCAGCTACTGGGCCTCGCCCAGCCTGGAGAGCAGTGCCAGGCAGGCATAGAGAGCGCAGAGCTGGCCCTGGGCCTCGGGCTCCCAGCTCACGTGGGGAGCATCGCCCCGCAGCTCCAGGCCACACTCTTCCAGCAGAGTCCAGGCAGGCGCCTCTGTGCTCCAACTGCTGCCCAGGAGCCATGCGGGCAGGGACACGGGCTGGCGCAGCTGCCACGGTGTACTCTGCTCCAGGACGCTGCCCACCTGCCGGGAAGGTGGCTGTGAGCGGGTTGGCGCCGGCGTCACCCAGGGGCCAGGGCCCTGCCATTGCCCGCCTGGCCCGCGTCCACCCTCCTCACCAGGCTGAGCGGTGCCTGCAGGGCCCTGGTCTCCAGGCCCCAGGCCAGCAGCCCACGCTGAGTGTCACTGAGCGCTGGGGAGAGAGACCGGGTGAGTGCGGCGCGGCTTCTGGGCACCAAGGCATCTGGGGATGCTCCCACCCCACCCCGCCTCACCTGCCAGAGCACCCAGCAGGTACAAGACGATCTCAGTGAGCTCCTCTACCAGCCTCCCGTCGGACAGGCTCAGGCACCCCAGGATGATGCCCACTGGGCCAGACTGGGGTGGCACATGCCCGCTTCTCAGGCCCTGCTCCAGCTGGGGTGGCACGGGGTGAGCCTGTGCTCCCGACCCCCCGCCCGCCCCCGCCCGCCCCCGCCCACCCGCCGCTCACCAACTCCTCTAGACCTCGCAGGGCCTCCTCCTCGGGCAGCACCTCCACCAGGCCGCCCCGCAGCTGCCCACACAGCTCCCCGGACAGGATGCACAGGCCCTTGGCCCGCTCCGCCACCTCTGCCTGGAGGCCCTGCCAGTCCTCGGCGGGCGCGGAGCCCCAAGCAGCTGCATCTACAGGCAGAGGCTGGCGTTGGCCGGTGCCACCGGAGAGCCCGGGCGGGGCAGGGGGTGTCCACGGCCGCTGAGGCGGTAGGGAAGGACTGACCTGACTGGATCCGGCCTCCGGAGCCGCGGTGGAAGATCTCAAAGCCGAGGGACAGGAAGCCTGCAAGAGTGACGCAAGGTCAGCGGGGCTGGGGGGGGCACTGACTGGCCCCCCACTGGCGGACGGCCCACCTTGCACTGCTGGTGTGAGCTCCTGAGTCGGGGTGGGGTGCACACCCCAGGGCCTGGGTGGTGCACAGAGCTGGGGGCTGGGGGCTCGGCTCACCTTCCTGAGGGGGCCCGAAGGTCTTCTGTCTCTTGTCCGGGAAGAGGACGACTTCTGGCAGCAGGCGGGAGCAGAGCGCGAGGCGGTGAGTAGGCCACCTCTCCCTCAGCACAGGGTCCCCGCAGTTCCCCCAGGGCTCCCCAACCTGCCAGAGCCGGCACCCGGGGCCTCCACCCCCGCTGCAGGGAGCAGTGCGGCCAACGCTAACAACTCCTGCCCCCAACTTGTCCTGGGCTCCCCTCTCTGCCTCTGTCTGATCCCCAGCAGCCCGCAAGCCCAGCGCACCCCAGTCAGAACCCATAGTCAGCAGGGCCGGCTGGAAGGCGAGGATGCTGCCCGAGGGGATGGTGATCGTCCGCTTGTGGCTCAGGTGGCCCTGGCCCTTCCCCTGGGGACGGAGAGGCGCAGTGGGTGCTGGGCAGGGGCGGCCTGGGGCAGGCCTCCCCTCCCGCCGGCCCGGCGCCCCGCGCACCTGCAAGCACATGGTGGTGGGCAGCATGAACCGGCCAGCGCCCTCCCGCTTCTGCGTGCTGGTGACCTCCACCTCCCTCTGCGTCCGCAGCGCCTTGGTCACCACGTACAGGTTGCGCCCTTGGCGCCGCAGCTGCCGCAGGATCTGGGGCTCCGGCCGCCGCAGGCGTCTGTGGGCGCGAGTGCCAAGGGTGCTCGCCAGGGCCGCTTCTCGCCCGCCGCAGCCTCTGCCCAGGAAGGGGAGACACGCCCAGAACCCCCAGGAATCGCCCTCCCTCCGTCCTCCCCGTGGGGTACTCCACTCCCGCTCGGCCGGCCGTGGCTGAGCGCCTGTGTGCGGGCTCCGCCCCTGCTGGTGGCCCCCGCTGGCTGCCCGGGGCCCCAGGCCCCGCCTCGCTGCCCTGCCCTGCCCGTCGCCGCACTGCTCCCGGCCTCCCGCCAACACCAGAGACTGCGGTGCCCCAGGTGGTGACTGCGGTGGCCCGGGCTGCCCAGCTCACCTCTCCTGCCGCAAGGCGGTCCACGTGCAGGGGGGCACGCTCAGCAGGCACAGGTGCATGGAGGCGCTGGAGCTGCTGGACATCGCGGCCTCCCCTGCCAGCTGCCCCTGCCCTGGGGCGGCCAGCTCCACGCTGCCCTGCAGCCGCCCGTCCACGGCGTCATGGAAGTGGAAGGGGCCGGCCTGCACCGCATCTGGACGAGACCGGGGCTGTGGCTGGCCCAGCGGCTGCGGCCGGGCCCTCCCACCACCCCACCCGCTCTGGGCCACCCGGGGTACCTGGTTCTGGGGCATCGGGCTCCAGGATGTCCCTGATGGACAGCTCCACACCCTGGAAGCGGGGCTTCCAGAACACGGAGCCACAGGGCTCCTTCACCAGCAGGCAGTAGGGCTGGAAGCTGGCGGAGTGGCCCAAGCTGCGCACGGGCACGAGCTCCCTGCCACAGTCCAGCTCCTGGAGCGTGTTCCTGACCACCTGCTCGAAGGCCGAGGGCATGTTCCTACAGAGGAGAACATCAGGCTGAGCGGTCCCAGCACGGCAGCCCTGTCCAGCGCCCCCCGCGACCCAGCACAGGCAGAAACGGCCGGCCCCCCCAGCCACGGTGTGGGCGCCCTGCGGGGCGGCCAGCACAGCCCTGGCCGGGACCCCGGCTTTTCCTCCACGGGCGGTGGGGTGGAATGGCAAGGCCTCCATCGCTTCCTCAGCCGAGGAAGCAGAGGCCGCTCCAGAGAGCCCCATGAGGGAGGGCGGGGCAGCCGGGGCCGGGAAGGCGGGAGAGGTGGAAGCACCACCTCCTGCGAGCAGGGTACAGGGGCCACAAGGCCCGGCTCTAGGCGTGTTCTCTGGAACATTCTTTGAGTGCAGGGTTCCGAGTGCCCGTCTGGAACATTCTTTGAGTGCCCGTCCGAGTCTGAGACTTCAGGGCCAAAGCGGGCCTCACCGGGGACAGCTGGGCCGCGGCAAGGGGACCCTGGGCACGTTGGAGGGCAGGGCCGGCCGCCTCCAGGTGCCTGACCACCCTGGTGCCTGGCATCCTGGAAGTGCAGGTCGTGGCCAGCAGGTCCAGCGCCCCCACCTTGGCAGGGCGCCAGGAGCAGCGCTGGCCTCCCCCCACCCAGGCCCCGGGCCCCAGGCTGCAGCTCACCGTGCGTGTGGCTGGCTCAGGTCCTGCGCGTCGGGTCAGCTCTGGTTCTGGCCCCGGCCCCAAGCACCTAGACCTGAAAGTGAAACCTGATGCCAGCGGTGGAGGGGCCACCCCGGGCACCGCCCCAGGTCCCGCCCTGCCCAGAGCCCTTCCCTCCAGCCAGCCCGCCCGCCCGCTCCTGCCTCACGCCCTCCCGCTCTCAAATCTGCAGGCCTGGCCTGGACGGAGAGGCTCGCGGCCACTTCCTCAAGGAGGACGTGCAGACAGGCACAGGCCCCGGAAGAGGCTGCTCTGCCGGCCACTGTGGACACGGGGCCAGAACCCGGAGGCCCCCCAGACAGACTCCACCTGTGGGTGGCCTGGCGAAACTGGGGCTCTCGGTACCCCGGGAGTAGTCAGCATCGCCCCCCGCCCCGCCCCACCCACGACGTAGGAGACTCAAAGACGACGGCCCGTCCACCAACACCACGTAGGGGCGGCCCTGCAGCGCACGGCCCAGCACTGCCCACCCACGCCCTCGGCGGCAGTGTGGGGTGGGGTGGGGACTGCTGCCCCGGGAGCCGGCCGGCCGTCCAGTGCCCCCAGCAGCCAGGCGGCAGAGCCACCGGAGGGAGCAGCTTAGAGGCTGCACCCAGCAGGGGCTCTCTGGGGCGCAGGGCACGGGACATGTCAGAGCAGTCGCGGCCCGCGGATTCTACTCACCCGGTGAGCCAAGCGGCTGCCAGTGCGTCGCAGGAAGTGCGAGAAGCTGGAGAGGTGACCACAGGCAGGAAGGAAGCACCATCTGATGCAAGCAGAGCTTGGTGGACGCGGCCACAGCAGGAAACTCCAGGGCTGGGGGGCTGCGGCTGGCCTCCGAGGCCGAGTCCGTGGTCTCCAGGTCCTGCTCCTCTGAGCCCGGAGTCTGCTGGCAGAGGTGTCCTCGGCCACCGGGTTCAGCCCCTGGAGCCCCTCTGAGGCGCAAGCAGAGGTGCGAGCTGGTGGCAGCCCCCTGCAATGTCTGGGGGGCCTCGCTGCTGCAACCCCCTCCTGCTTCCACTTCTGTAGCAAGAACCAGGCCCTGGAGGGGCTGGCTGGGCGCGTGGCTCAGGGCAGAGGTGGCTTGTGAGGGCAGGAAGGAAGACTGTGGGGAGTGGGTGCCAGAGCTGGCCCTGCGCCCTCCCCGGTCACGAGTCCCAGGCTGGAGGGGCACCAGGACATCCCCAGATGCGGGAACTCCAGGGGGGCCCAGAGGTGCTCGCCCTCAGCCACCCAAAACATGGAGAAAGGTGGGGCCCCAGGGAGGTCTGGGCGGGCCCTGGGGCTCAGGGCTGGGGAGGGGTCCCGACGGGGCTGGGGCCCTGGGAGGGGCTTCCATGTGAGGGTCTGAGGGGGAGACGGCTCGCTGCCACTCAGCTCCCTCCCCGGGCCGGCACCCCCAGGCACCGCCAGGCCCCTGCCCTGGGTGCTGGCCCCGGGAGGACGGGGCGGGTTGTTCACGCGCCCAGGAAGGGCCTGGGCTCGGGATGTGGAGAGGGAGGTGCGGCTGCAGGTAGAGGGCCATGGTGGCGTGAGGGCCCTGGAACCCCACCTGCGCTGGGGCGGGGCTGGGTGCACGTTGCGGACCTGGGACACCTCCGCAAGCCAGGCTGGGGTAGCGGGCTTGGGCCCCCCACCCCTGCGCCAGCTCCCATGGATCTCTGGGAGTTCTCAGCTGCCCACCTGGAAGTCCACTCCCCCCCACCCCAGCCCTGCTGTGCCCAGCCCCCTTGCTCCACAGTCGGTTCCCCCAAACAAGGTCCTTGCAGCCACGGAGCAGACAGGCTGGGTCTGAGCGGGGCAGCGCCTGCCTTCCTGGGCTCTCTGGCCAGCCCCGGGCAGGTTGTGTCCACCGCGGCCAGGGTGATGGGTGTGGCGGGCCTAAGTGTGGCGGGTGAGCTGGCCGCTGTGTCGGGAGGGTGGGCGGGCGCACCAGGCACTGTCCAGCCCCAGCTCCCTGGCCCGCCCACAGACGCCCGAGACCCTCCAGGGCAGCAGGGCGGGGGTCTCCAGCGCACGTGCTTTTCAGGGCCCTGGTGGGCACCTCGGCTCACTCCTGAGACCCTCCCTGCCCTCCGCGTTGCGCAGGACGGCCAGGCGCTGGGCAGGGCCCCGGTCACACGCGGGCGTGGGTTGCCCTGAGCCCGGCGCCGACCGCCTGAGGAGACTCCGGGACGGCCGAAGACACGGCCCGGGCGGGCGCAGGGGGACAGCGGCGGGCAGGGCCAAGCCGGGGACGACGGGCGGTGTCAGGCGGGGCTGGGGGGGGGGGAGCGCCCAGACTCCGGGCCGGGGCCTCGGGGCTGCGGTCTCGGGCCGGCAGGGAAGGGCGGCCCGGGCGCCCGCGGGAGGCAGGAGGGGCCGCTGCCCGCGGCGGGAGGTGGACACCGCCGGGCCCTGCGCGCCCGGCACGCGCTCGGCGTCCCTCGCAGGAGGCGGCACGCGGGGCGGCCGAGGCCGAGGCCGAGGCCGAGGCCGGGGCGCCCGCGGCGGCCCCAGCGGCGTGTCCAGGGCCCCCGGGTCCGGCGGCGCCCGCGCAGGCTCCCGCGGGGCCGGGGTGGGCAGGCGGGGTCCGACGCCCCGGGGCCGACCGCACCCCGCTCCGCGCCGGGGCGTCTCGCCAGGCCGCGGGGTCACAGGTCACGCCGCTTCGGCCGGGAGCGCGAGCGCGGCCCTTCGCCGCGCCCCCGCGGCCCCGCCCCCGCCCCGCGCGGAGGCCCCGCCCCGCCCGCCCCGCCCTGACGACGCCCCGCCCCGCGCGCGTGCGTGCCCCGCCTCCCGCGGCCGTTGCCGGGCCGACGACGCGGCCCCTCGGCCCCTCCGGGGCGCATGCGCCGTCTCGGGCCGCCCCGCCTCTCGCCCCCCCCGGCCCCGCCCCGTCCGCGGGGAGCGGGCGCGCAGCGATGACGTGCGGGGGCCTGGCCGGGCGTCGCGGACTCTGGAGATGGAGGAAAAGGAGCAATTACGACGGCAGATCCGCCTCCTGCAAGGTGGGTCGGCCGCGCCGGCGCCGCGCGCCCCTCTCCCCCGCGCCTCCGCGGGCGCCCCCGCCCCCCCAGGGCTGCTCCGCGCCGCCGCCCGGCGGGGGGCGCGGCCGGCGGGGCGGGGCCGGGCGTCCGGTCGGGGGCCGCTCGCTCCGCTCCGCTCCGCTCCGCTCCGCTCGGGCGCCGGCCCCTCGGCGCTGCGGCCGGGGCGGCGGGGCCGTCGCTTAGTAACGGGGGGCGGCGGCCCGGCGGGCTCGGGCGGGCGGGGTGCTCCCTGCCGCCGGCCCTGCCCGCGGCCGCCCCTCGCCGCGCTGGGCCGGGCTCGACTGCCGGCCGCGGCGCCGCACCTGCCGGCTTCCAGGCGCGCGAGCGCGTCCCCGCGTGGGCGCCGAGTCCTCCAAGATACTCCCGCGGCGGCGAAGGGGAGCGCCTGACGGGGGCGTGGAGGACGCGTCCAGTTGGGCCGCCGCCGCCGTCCACACGCGCGGCTTGGTCCTGCCTGCCCCGCCGCGTCACCGGCCCGGGCGCGGCTCTTCGCCTGTGTGGCCGGGGGTCGCTCTGGGGGACACTGACCCGTTGGGCTCCTTGTCGGGCCCTGCGTGGTTCCAGCCCCTCCTGCACCGAGACAGCTGCCCTGGGCGTCGGTGGAAAGCCTTGTGGGGGTGGCGCTGGCCTCCTTGTCCCCTGGAGGACGAGAGGGACCCGGGCGGCGCGCTCTTCCTGTAGGCAGGGGTGGAGAGGCCGGGCTCTCACTGCCCTGGCCAGGCAGGGAGGCCATCTCTGGGCTGTCCGGTCCCCTTTGCCTCCTTGGGAGAGCCAGAGGGCTTCCTTTCAGGCCACCACAACCTGAGGCCTTGCTGGCCTCCCAGAGCAAGTGACCCTGCCCTCCAAGGTCGGGGCTCTCAGCCAGATGGGGTGGGTCATGCCACATGGGTGCCTTGGCAGGATGAACAGCCAGAGTAGAATTAATGGGGAAGGGCCACAGAAAAGACTGGCCTGGGGCTGTGGGGCCAACCGTTGTGCTTCTCGGACACCAGGAGCTGCTCCTCCTGCATCAGGACCTGGCGGGGTCTGGGGCTATCAGCTCTGTGGGGAGACTCGCCAGCTGATCTCACCCTTTGGGGAACTGAGTGATTCTGTGTTTTCAGGTCTCATCGACGACTACAAAAACCTCCACGGCAACGCCCCTGCCCCTGGTGCCGCGGCCACTTCCCGCTGGCAGCCGCCCGCTTATAATAGCAGCAGGGCCTTCGGCGCTCGCTACCCTCGTCCAGGCCGGAGGGCTTTCGCCCTCAACCATGGAGCTGAATGGCGCAAGAAATACTCCCTTGTGAATCGACCCCCAGGGTCCTTGGATCCTGCTGGCGAAGGTGCTACACAGCCCTCCCTCAGGGCGGGGGGCAGCCAGGACCCGGACCCCCAGCAATATGTCCTGGAGAGGCAGGTCCAGCTCAGTCCTGATCAGAACATGGTCATCAAAATCAAACCGACATCGAAGCCAGGCTCAGCAGGTGCCTCGGGGGTTCCGTGGGGCTCCCTGCAGGAGGACCAGGATGCCCCCCGGAGTGACCCACGGCCTCGGGAAGGTGAGGGTGAGCCGCCTGGTGGGCAGCGACAGCCCTCCAGGCCTGCCCGGGCCAAGGGGAGCTGCAGCGCTGAGGACCCACTTCTGGTCTGCCGGAAGGAGCCTGGCAAGCCCCGGGCGGTGAGGCCTGCGAGCAGCGTGGGCGACAGCTCCCCGGAGCCCAGGCGGACGGTCAGCGAGAGCGCGATCGTGGTCAGGGCCCGCTGCTTGCCCTCCACTCCACCCCCGCGCAGTGGCACCACCCTGGGTCGGAAGGGGGGCCCACCTGCTGGGGCCAGCTGTGCCGCACAGCCCCTTGGGGATGGGAGAGCCAACGCCAGCTGCCCGGAGCCGCCAGCTGCCTCCGGTTTGGGGGCAACCCACGCCAGACCAGCCTCAGGCCCCAGGCAGACACGAGAGGCCTCGCACCTTGGGCCTTGTCGAACCAGCAAGTTCCAGAAGAGCAACTACAAGTGGGTGGCTACCTCAGTGAAGAGCCCCCGGGCCACTCGGAGGGCCCTCAGTCCACGGGCGGCTGCGGAGAATGGGTGCAGGGCCCCTGTCAGCACAGCGGAAAAGCCTCAGCCCAGAGCCGACCTGGATGCCAAGGCCCGGAAGCCGACCGCTCCCTCCGTACCCACGGCCTCCCCCAGCAAGTACAAGTGGAAGGCCTCCAGCCCCTCTGCCTCCTCGTCCTCCTCCTTCCGTTGGCCCTCGGAGGGGGGCAGCAAGGACCGTGCCTCCCAGCTCTCTCCCGTTCCATCGAGGTCCCCCCCGGGGGGCCGGCCAGCAGTGGCGTCCAGTAGCCTGAAACCCCTCGTTGGCGAGACCTCGCTTTCAGCTTACAAAGTGAAGAGCCGAACCAAGATCATCCGGAGGCGGGCGGGTGCCAGGTGGTTTGCCCTGCCCAGGGTCCTGTGGGGGGCCGGCAGGGACGGGAGCCCACCTGTAGGGGTGTGGGAGACGGCGGCCTGGGGTGAGATTTCCGGAGGGGGTGAGACTGTGATTATGTACCGCTGAGGCAGGGGCTGCGGGGGGCCGGGTCCCAGCCAGACAAGGCCCCATGAAGGAGGCCGGAGCACCGCAGGTGCGGGACCCCGGGGTCGGGTAGAGGCGCCCCTGGTCGCCAGGGGAACGGTGAGTTTGGGTTGCATCGAGTCAGCTGCTGGCAGCCAGGCCGACACCACGGGTCCTCCCAGGTGGGGGCTTTGGTGGTGAGGAGGCGGGGCTGGGGGGACTCGGTGGGTCTGGTGGGGAGCCCGGGAGCCTGTTGGGAGCCACCGTGCTTTGTCTCCCCAGTCTTCCTGGGGACAAGCAGAGCAGCCCCACGCCCGCCGCCTCTGCCAGGAGCCAGCTCAGTCCCCGCCGGCGGCAGACCCTCCTGGGGAAGACCAGCACCGCGCTCAAGAGGACGCCCCACAGGGCGCTGGCACCCACCGCCAGGCTCCGGCAGCACTGCCTGCCTCCCGGCCGCGCTCCCCTCCCCACCAAGGAAGGTAGGACCTGAGGCTGCCCTGCTGGCCGCCCCACGGGGGGTGGGGGTGCAGGTGAGGAAGCCGGAAGGCAGGTGAGGGCCTCCCCTGTGGGCGGCTGCCCTAAGGGGGTGGTGCCCCATGGGCCACCAGTCCTGAACTCTTCCTCCTGTCCCCGCTTCCTGCCAGCCCAGCTGTGGCCACGAGCTCCAGGCTGGCGCTGTGGAGTCTGGGGTGATGGGCTCGTGGGGCCGGCAGGACCGTCTTTCTGGGGACTGTGCCGTGGGCCCCCGGGATAGGGTGCCAGGGTGGTTGCCCTTACTCTTTGGGGGAGGGTGTCCAGCATGCCACCCAGTTTGGACTGCGCCCCAGGGCGATGGGGGCCCCTGGTGGCCACGCGGGGACTTGTGCCCCCCTTGAGGGGGTGGCACAGGTGGGGCTTCAGCTGCAGATTGGCAGGAGGAGCCTCTGGTAGGAGGGGAGGGGAGAGGAGGGGAGGGGAGGGCCCGGGCAGGCGGGGCTCAGATGGCATCTGGGGGCTGTGGGGAAGAGTCTGGGGGCGCGCGGGAGCTCTCCGCTCGGCCTCGCGGCAGGTGTCGGCACCGTCCAGGCCGGGTGCGGGGGTGCTGACCTGCAGGGGCGCGCTGTGAACTGGGGCAGCAGCACAGCAGTGGTGGTGCCGTCTGATCTGGGGCAACTCTGGCCAGAGGGGCCATCCTAGGCTCCTGCCCGTGTGCTTGGCGGGCCGGGATCCTCCTGCTGCACGCCCTGCAGCCGGCCGCGCCCTAAGCGAGGCAGCTGGCCCTGCTCTCCTAGGAGGTGGCGTGGCAGGAGTGTCTGGCCAGAGGCGGAGTGCGGAGTGGTCCTGGCCCTCCCGGCTCTCGCTCCACGTGGAGCTGCGTGCTCTGGGGACGCGGTGCTGCTTTCGGGGGATGCCTGAGGGCAGGTGCTCCGGGCTGGAGCCCCGAAGGGCTGCCTTGGTTCCGCAGGCCTCTGTGGCTCGCAGGTGCCCATCACTGCCCATCTAGTCTTCTTGGGCCCTTCCTGGCTCTGGAACTCTGGGGGCTGGGCTTTGGGGTGCTGGCAGATTCCAGCATCCGTCCCTGGCCTTGGGTCTGTGGCTGGCCCTGTGGAGTCCCACTGGCCCAGGGTTGGGATGGCAGATGTGGGGCGTGGCCTGGGCTCTGGTGCTCTCTACCTCCCTGGCCCTGATGTAGGGGGAACCTGCGGGGTTTGTGGGGCGACCCGGGTGGGCACATCTCTGCAGCCTGTGAGCCGGCCTGGCTTGCGGCCGCTGGTCTCGTGACCGACACCCTCCGCCCCCGCCGCGGGGCGGGCTGCAGAGAGGACTCCTCTGGACTCTGTCTGACCCTGCTGCGGGAGGGAGCATCCTGGGGCCAGTGGCAGCCCGGGCACAGGTCGGGCCTGGCGTGGCCAGGAACCACGGTTGCGGCGCTGTGTGAGGGCCGAGGGGCGACGTGGACGCCATGGGCTGTGGGGCTCAGCCCAGCGGCAGAGGAGGGGGCAGGATGCGGATGCTGGGCACAGGCCTTGGGAACCAGGTGGGGAGGGTGTGGGGCGGTGGGGGTGCCATGCTGGGGGGGTGGAGGGAAGGCGGGGGAGAGGGTGCTGCTGGGTGAACAGCTGGAGTCACCTTCCTCTGGTCCCCCTACCTGATCCCCCTTCTACTCTCACCCGTCTTTGTCCCGCAGGTGGTGCCAAGCACCTCCCGGGCTGGGGGTCTGGGTGCAGAAGGCAGCACCCGCTTTCTGGGACTTGGGAGCAGGCGGGACGGCACCCTCACGGGGACAGGTGCTCTGGAGAGGGGGAGCCGGGGAGGTGGTGGAGCGCGCAGAGAGCCCGGTCGGCAGGAGAGGGGCTGCTCCTGGCCCCAGGCCTGTGGGGGACAGGAGCTGCCCGTATGGCCAGCAGCCCTCAGTGAGAGGTGGGCGGCCACGTGGGGCAACGGGGCTTGGTTCCGGCTAGGGCAAGGGAGGGGGCCGCTTGGGTGTGCTTGGGGACATGGGGTGCCCGAGTCGGGGCCCAGTGGGGTCCAGGGGGATTGGGGGGCAATGAGCCAGGATGCCCATGTGGGCGAGGCCTTGGAGCCCCCTCGTGAGGCCCGTGCCAAGGTGGCTGTGGCGCAGAGGGGCCTGCGGTGGAGGGGGGGCTGGGGAGACGGTTGGGGCGAGGTGAGGGCGGGTTGTGACCCTGGCGGAGGGCGCAGGGGCGGCCGCTTCACTTCCCGGGCCGCCTTCCTGCCAGGTGGCCGGCCTCTGCCTGGCCTCAGTCTTCCTCCTTGCTCTGCCTGCTTCTGTCCCTGCCCGCCCCCCCCCCCACGGGGCCGGCACGTGGTAGGGGCCTGCGCTTGGGGAGCGGCCACAGCCAGGGTCTCCTGCCTCCTGGAGTATACAGACCCTGGGCCTTGGGGCGGGCAGGGGGGCTGCCCCTCCTTGGCTGCCCTGCCTTTCCCCTGCGCAGATGCTTGGTCCCAGACCCAGTGCTGGGGAGGGGCTGCGCCAGCAGGGAGAGGGAGGGAGAGGCTTCCGGAGGGGCCGCTCCCAGCCCCAGCCCCGGTCAGCCCCGCCGCGGGGCCCAGCGGCCAGCAGAGGGCGCACTTGCCCCTCGCAGCCCCACGTCCCCCTCTTTCTGGTAATTGATTGCCTAATTTCCCCTTTATGTGAAAGAAAGCAGATATCGAGTCATTTGCAGCAATAACCTGCTAATGCCGGGCCAGTATCGAGGCTCCCCTGTTCATTTCAAGTGGCAGATAAAACCCTAATACATAATTATCCTTGCAAATTGGATTGTTTTAAATAACCCAAAGGCTCCGGCCGGGAAGGCGATCCCGTCTCCCCGGAGCGACTGTGCGGCGTAATTGCCGCGTTCAATCAATTTCCCTGGCGTTAGAAATTCCATCGCCATCAACATTAAGCTTTATTCATGGTGATGGCTGAGAGCCGGACCGTTGCTCCTCTTTTTCTTAACTGGCAAAATTAATCAGGGAAAAGATTTTAAACATTTACCCGTGCGAAAGAGGTCAGCTCTGCCACTGTATTGCTCAGCAGATAAGGGGCTAATAAAAAGAAAATTGAATTACTAATGATCGCCAGGACCGGAGTGTATAAAACCTGGCCCTCGCCGGCGCAGGGGAGGGAGAATCAATTTTCTGGGGACAAGGTGCGTTCGTCTTTTATTTTGGCGCATATTATCAGCAATTTAATTTGAGAGGCATAAACAGGAGGAAACAGTTAGGGAATAATGAGCCCGGAGGTGTAAGTGCCGCAGGATGTATGCCGCGCGCGATTTATTGGGCACAACAGATAATCGCTTTAATTGAATTCAAAACTGCCTGGTTCAGCAGGGCCCCGGCGGGGGACTGCGCAGGACTCGGGGCTCCGGCCTGCCCCGCCCCGCCCCGCCCCTCCTCCCTGCCCTTCGCCTGCAGCGTGCCCCTCCCCCCACACCCCCCCCGCCCCCCCCCCCCGTCTGGTGGGGGTCCCCATGTGGCCCCGCGGTCCCTTGTGTGCCTTCCTCCCCGCTTCCCTTTTCTCCAGGGGAGGGTCCCTTGGCCGTAGGGGCAGGAGCAGTGACACCCCAAGAAGTGGCCCTGGACCTGGGTCTCAGCGGCACGGAGACCCTGCCTGACCTGCCGAGGGACGGACCAGCATGCCGGGGGAGCGCAGCTCCTTGCACGACTTTGAGGGCCAATGCACGCCCTTGTCGCCGCGGCGGGGCTCTGGTGCACACGCGCGCGTGCAGTACATGGCCACAGCACGCACACACGTGTGCAGCACACGCCATGGTGCTGCCCGTCAGGCTCCCGCCCGTCAGGCACCATGTGTGCCCTAGGCTGGGCGGGTGGGAGGGCTGCAGCGCCCCTGCCCACGGGGCAAGGGCTGGTGGCTCTGTGGACAGCCAGGACCTCAGGCTCTGGGCTCGTGGCCGCCCAAAGTTGCTCGGAAGCCTCTGCTGTCCTGGACCAGGGACATGCCTCCCCTAGGGCTGCAGGCATGCAGGGAGCCCAGGGCCTGACGAGCTGACGAGGACGACAGTGAGGGGCCGGTGCCCGGCCTTGTGGACAGGGCTGCGTGGACAGGTTAGCCAGATGCCCCTTCCCCTGGGCCTTGGCACACAGCCTGCCTCTGGCCCTGCGACCCTCACCTGCTGTGCTGTCACCCCTGGGTGGCTGAGAGAGGGTCTGCGCCTGCCTGGGCCGCTGGTGGAGAAGGCAGGTGCGGCGTGAGCCTTGCTGCACAGCCCCACTGGCCGGCTCTGGCTGCTGAGGCCCCCTTGGGCCATTTCTGAGGAGGCGCTCACCCCCAGGGCCCCAGCCCCTGGGTGAGATGTTCACCCTGGAGCCCCTACCCCGGCAGGAACAGCCCCTTCGCGGCTCCTGGGCCTGCTGGCCTGGCCCCTCAGCGGGCCCATGGGTGACCGCCTCCCCGTCGAGGGTGGAGCAGTCTCCTCCCTGCTGGGGCACACTCGTCTGTCGGACATGCTTGCGGGGCTCTGATTGAGCGGGTGCCGGCTCTTGGGGAGCAGAGCTGTGCCTACTGAGAGCAGTGACCCACTCTGCCCCAGTGGTCCCTCCAGCTGTCCCCTCCAGCCTTTAAAGGGGTCCTCACTTCACCTGCAGCAAAGACAGACTCAGCCCGCCTGGTGCCTCAGCCCAGCTGCTCTCAGCAGCCCGCGAGCCTCCCCCTCGCCTTGGGGGTCCCCTTGGGGTCGCTGCTGGGCACTGGGCTGCCTGTGCTGGCCTCCAGGGCCCCCAAGGGTCAGTGGGCAAAATGAAGCCCATGACCCTGTCCTGGGCCTCTGAGGAGGGCATTTCCTCACCACCGTGCGCCCTCAGGGAGGCTTCCTTAGGATGGTGTTGGGGAGCCGAGGGCTGCCTGGGGTTCGGCCTCCATGCAGAAACTGCCTTGGGAGCCTGGCCCCGGGGCTCTCCTGGAGTGGGGCCTGCTGGGTAAATGTGGGCATCTGCTGGGCCCTGGCCCAGGCAGCCTCCAGGGCCCACGGGG